ATAAGGAGAGAAAAGCCTCATTTTGACGATCACGTTGATATATGCATGTAACCTTTGTAACGTGGCACAGGACGTCGAGATCTGGACTAGCGTTTTGGCAGCTTGACCCTACGTACTTTGTAAGAACTTCAGTTCTTGCAGTATATAATGTACTCTGTATAATGCATACTTGTAATCATTATGCTTATGTTCCTGGCTTAAGGTCGTTTGGTAGTTGGTATGCTAAAGATGAGTTCCTGAGTTTTGACTACGGCGTACTCCGGACGTAGGTAAGTTCGACGCCAAAATGCGCCTATATTAAGATAGTGCATCAGACTAGACTGATAGAGTTGATAGTTATCAGTTCGGTTGTTCGGAGTACTTATCCTCATCTTTGAACTCCGCATTTTGATTTTCGTCTAGGAGACAACCAACCCAAAATAGGCCCTGGCTATCACCGAGATTAAATTGCAAAGGAAGGTCTAATTTCTCTCGTCTCAACGAATAGTTCAATGCGATCCAGTGGTTCTGCTGGTGGATCTTCCGTACTTTGCGAGTGCTTTTGATTGCTTGTAATCCTCCTAGACTTAGGTCTATGATTGAACCATAGGCTAAAGAGAGGGAAAAAAGAAACCCGGGGGTAGATCAGCTAGATCTCAAAGCGGTAAGGCCCGGGGATGGAATCTAGGCCCTCCGAGCCAACCAGGTCAAAGCATCGTGATTATCGATCCTTACCGCTTTTAGTAAATACCTCCTAAAGCTTAGTGTACTTGACAATGATTGGCTCAAAAAATAGGAAATATATTAAAGTTCCTCCAGTCAAAGGCCTCGACTTGCGTGCTAGACCAGTTTGGGATCTACCTCCGAGGCTGTCTTTTGCGTACGGTATTTCGTTAACTCCGCTGTATTTTTGTACTGTACAGAGATACACCGACAAACTATCGTGTAGAAATTCGTAGTAGGTACGATACCTCAATATTCAAACCGATAGACTTGCGTATTCCTCGTTAAGCTATGGTCTGTTCTCCTTTTGTGGTGGTACATAGACTCCGTTCTGTATCACATAGTCGACTGGTGGCTGCGCTGACTAAAATCTCCGATCACTGAGGTCAGTGCACTAATTGTCCTATCCCCCTTCTCTGATCTATTGGACATTTTGGCAAGAATAATGGCCCCTGTTGCTTATTTAATTTATTTACTATAGTCCGTAATCCGTACTCACCAGTAGAAATTAAATACGAGACCAGCCGATCAGTTAAGCGAGACTCAGGGTCCGTGGAGAACGTAAATCCATCAGATTAATATGTTTTGATGTGACTCCGGGATTTGTATATAAAGTATATGCAGATTCCACCGACAGGATAGAGATTCTCCCGCTCTTTCTAGAAGAAATTCAACTCTAAGGGTACAAATCTTCCGTTTGGCTGTTTGGCTGTTTGGCTGTTTGACTTTTTTCTTTTTGCTTTTGGCGCACAATCCCGCTAAATGCCAATTTTTGAGTCGACTAAGTGATGCGTGGCTTGCGAGGAGATACGTACGTGGCTGTCCAGGATTTCCCCGCGCGGACTGGGCTGGAATCTAGTGTTCGTATTGAAGTATTGAAGGAGTCCTAAGATTCTGAAGAAAGCACACTAGTTGTACATACTGTACTATGTATGCATCTATCCATTCGGTCTGTTAATATATGATTTATATACGCACAACCATTGAGAGCGCAAAGAAGCCAGCGTGGGGTCAAGTTCTGTTTTTGAGTCGATCGAGTCTGTGGCGAATGAGCATTGCACGATTCATGCATTTCGATGGCGCTAGACCCAATACGGGCTACACTGTTAGGAGCTTAATATCTTGTCTTAGGACGCTAGACTATAACCGGTCTAGTTGATGAGCAGTGACCAGGGTCCCTTCCAACTTCCAGTCCGGGATTAGCGGTTGTTTATTCAGCCTAGTTTGTTTTGGGCGTAGTCAGTCGCAGGCATTCGTACAACATTGACTGGCCCGAGGGCACGATTATCGCAATCACAAGTATATATTGATCATTTGAATCTTGAGTCGTGATACGTCTGTAGTATGTGAGCCATTGCGCACATACCTGATGTCGAGGTCGAGGTCTACACGACTCGAAGTATGTCTTCAGAGAGAAAAAGTAGTTGGAATAAGACATCCACTTCGATATCGGCAATCCGAGAGATCCGTTCCGGCCCACGGTCGTTTTATATCCATGCTTCCGATCTACGTACAATTCTTATGGCCGAGATAGCCTCATAGAGATGACGCTGTAAGGGCCCAAAAGAAACAGGAATCACATGGCGGGGCTCTTTCGTTTACAGTATTTATGAATGTATCCATGGCATTGCTTGATTCCGGGGCTTGGTGGCTTGCACTCAACGCCCGAACCTTAACTTTCTAGATTGCTTCACTTGCGATATCTCTAGAGTATGGAGACAGGAAGACATGAAAGAATAGAAGGGAAAAGAAAAGACGAGGCAATCCCTGATAAAACGGCACACGAGGATCGAGAGGCGATAAGATGACTGATGATCAAAGGAACTAGACCATGTACAGAGAAGTATTACTGATCGCTCGTGTGGTCGATCATACAAGTGCCGGTGTTTGGTCAGAGTCCGTCTGCACATCTCCTCAAGCCTCAAAGAGTCAAAAGTCTCAAAACGATCATGATCAGTACTGATGACTAATTTCCGAGTATGGTGGCTGGTCACGCCATATGAACGACTACTTAGAACTGCATATACGTACAGAATACTAATTACGCTGGAGGAATTGCACGCATAATAAGTTCCTGCATCACCCTAGTCTTGCACCTGAGGCTAAAGCCATCATCTTGATTTTTTTCAGTGCATAATCGCCACTTTCGTGTAATCGCGCATCGGAGTACGCCGTGCTTGATGTTATCTGCCATCTATTCTTCTTTGTCAGGTCAAGTTTGGATGATACGCACGTATCTTGCATGTATACTTATCTCCTCAAAGTCGAGCGTTCCTGATCGACGATGGTTAGTTGGTGGCTTTACCTGAACCAGAAGAATAGACATGAAGTAATCCCGATCGGTATTTGTGCATTTACACGCCGTCTAATACTTAGTATAAACTATAAACTTGGTTTCTGGAAGGATCCTCGCGCTATCCATGACTCGTATCCGATGCTGATAGAAAGATATATCTCCTATTACAGAGGACACCTTTTACAGCCATGATGCTTCTATGCATGTATACTCAATCAATTGATACTCAACTGAATACGCAACAGAGGTTAAAGAACAAGAAGAGGGTAAGTCGGGAAAGAAATGAAGGGGAAGAAAAAAAAAGCCACTATTTCCCAATCCGGTATAAGTCACCACTCGGCAATCCAGAGTTTGCCAACGGCGAAAACCGAGATAGAAGAGAAGACACTAAAGAATCCTTCCATCAATAGTTTTGTGTTGTACTGCCCAACTACGTACTTACTCCGAGATCCTAGTGCCCTTTTCTATTTTGTTCTTTGCCGCTGTAATCGAGCATTAGTTAGGATGTCGTGATGAAATCACATGTCAGCAAGACTTGCAAGACGAGACCGAGAGACTGTAGATTAACTAGGAGCATGGATCGAGCCGCGTCTATTTTTGACCAGGATATAGAGCCAGATTACTTATATCCAACGTTGAGGGCTTGCACCGTTTCTCGTAGACCTCTTTCTGTGATTGGTTCCATGAATATCAATTGATGGAGATCCTTTCAATTGCACAGTACCAAGATATTTAAAGAGTTTGACCAGTGGCCGTTCGATACTGGGGGTGTTTTCAGGATGTTTCCAGGCGGGAGTAAACGGTGCGAAATTAGCCCGATATGGAAACTTTTATCTTCATTCCTTGAGCATATCCGACGGTTGTATGACCTGCCCTTCAAGATACCTATCTTAAAATAAGAACGATCCACCACCGGTCGCTCTCTCCGGATCAGCGAATGGTTTAAAACACTGGCTCTATCCTGTGATTAAACACCACACCACACCACCGATCTCTGACAACTGACCTAATCACCCTTGATACAGTCGGCAGAGCACAGACTACCGACAGCGGAGTCTGTGCCTCATCAGCTGGCAATTAACAGCCGAGACTCACCTGGCATTCCTAGAGAGAGGAAGCCAACTGCTAACCGTGTCTGGTCGCGTCCGGCCAGCTACCCCCCCCGGGCCTTGCCCTAATCAGGATGCAGCTAGCCCGGCACGCAAACGTACTAAAACAACTTGAGCTAAAACAGCAAATCATCAAACTAGCCTAACCCCTCTTCTGCTCCGTCTAACCTGACCTGACCCACTGTGCCCCGTGCTGTATACGTCGGAATTTGGGCCCTTCTTAGCAACCACTGCATGACCATTACCATACCATACCGACGATACCGTACGTAATTTACACCCCCTCTGGAAACAGCAGCCTTTATCACAAGATGCAGCTCGCCCGCCTTGGATTTGATTAATTATAGCTTCGTCTCCCCCTCTCTTCTTCGACCTCGAGATTTCCTCTAATCCTTTCTTCACTCTTGACGTACATCTTTCTACCTTCACCCGTTCCTCTGCTCCACTCGTCTCTTCTACCGCGTTTGAATGTTCATGTTGTTCATGTCTATGTTCATGCCTCTACGCCCATCCTCCTAACCCGACACTCGCCCACGACCGGTACCTGTCGCGCATATCGTACTCGACTGAATGAAACTGATGATTTTACGCGCCATTCGGAATCGCCCTCGTCTTCCTTAGAACTGACTGTCTCGCGCCGTTTTTGGCAGATTGAACGTTGCTGCTCCCGTTATTCTTCCCTTTCCGGCCTGACAAAACGGAAATTGCGTTTGCGGAGAAGAATCCATCTCCGCCATCATCGTCAGCCCAAACAAAGAAACAGATTTCTTCAACAATTACAAGAGTATAACCTCTGCAGAAACATTCGAACTGGCTTACTTTATCGCACCCCATCCCTCCTGTTCGAACTTCTCCCGCGGCTGTAGACCAGCCCGCGTGCGACCTTATACAATATGGAGCCTTCCTTCGATACAATGACAATGCCGTACATGGCGAGTCCGCTCTCGCTGAGCCACATGCAGAGCACCGACTATCTGAACTCATTGCCCGGTCTGGATCTTCCCGACCAGCGCTCTAATTTCGACGCCGAAACATTCATTAGGTGCGTTTTATTCAATTCATCGCCGTTCGCCTCCCCCCTTCTTTCTTTATCCTGTGTCCGCTGCACAAAACCCTGGATTTTATATTTCTCTACTACTGTATTTTCTTCTGGCAGTACTGACATCTCTCACAGTGGCGACGACATGAGCTTTTCACAGGCCAACATGTCTCAATTACGACGCTTCAGCTCGTACGAAGACGCTTTCCCAGCACCCCCGGAATTGTTACCACCATTCGAGACCGCACCCGCCGAACAACAGAGTAGCGACTCCATTGAAGGTAATCACAAGCTACTCTCGTTTTCTCTGCCTGTCTACGGTTTCACACTGCTCGATTACTCCCTCCGTCGTACGTCGTTGAATGTATCCGCTCAACTGCATGGGATGTTCTTTCTCGCGGAGTCACCATGGACCAATTCCCCCAACGAGGTCCCACCGCCACACGTCGCAGAGCTCACCTGCTATCGGAGAAATCTGTTTCAGATCACCGGTTCTGTGACTTTACCCCGAAGTCTCCGGTATATCATGACCGAGCAGGGAGATCGCATCCCCATCCTCGCTCAAGAATTGACCGTGTCTGCGACAGAGTCTGTGGAGGGAAACCCTGTTAAAATTATTTCCGTGCCTTGGAAAACACCAGCAGCCGCCGCTGCAAACGGTAGTGCTGTGGCTCCCGCTCCCGCTCCCGAAGAAAAGGCCGAAAAAGAGCCTCCATCGATACCTTTGGATACCATGGCTGCTGGACAGGACATGGACTCAGATTATGCGACTTTCCCTATTGCCTGGAAACGTCTTCAATTCCGGATAGCTACCGCCAACAATGGCCGTCGCAAGGAGCTACAACAACACTTTGTCGTTCGTCTCAAGGTTGTAGCAACACTCTCGACCGGGGCCAAGATCCCGATCTGTGAGGTGCATTCTGGACCAGTCATTGTCCGTGGGCGTAGATTCCACGCAACTTCCTATCTCGAAGGACCTGCCTCTTAGTGGCAGTGCTGCTTCTCCAGGAAGAACCAACAGCAGCGGCACGAAATAGTGCTATGGCGCGAGCTCAGCAAAGGCGACCGCAGCTTCCACCAGTAAGAATACCGCTTCACCATCAGAGATGTCTCAGATCTTCTCCTTCGATGCAGGCGCCGCACAGCCCCGGACAACTTCATCTCCTCCATTCGGAGACTGGACACAGATACCTCCCCCAGTCACCACGACAGGCGCCATGGCAACGCCCACGTTTGCACCATCCCATCGGATTTCTACATATCCCCAATCCAGTCCGAGTGTGACTCGCAGTGCTGAACATCCCACAAACGTTGCGGGATCTCCACCGATCAATCTGTCACTCGTGGAAGATGACTTCAAAACCCCTCATAAGCCCACAGATCCTCAACGCGGGGTGATCTCCCGCGAAAACAGCTCCGCTAGTATTCCTGTCTCATTGGCTGGACAAAAACGTTCTAGTCCTGAACTTTCTGGGGCACCTCCAACCAAACTTCAAAAGATGGCTTCCAGTGGTGGAGTATCAATACCTAGACCAAGACCGACAAGATCGATCTCGGCCACATTGCCAGCTTTGCAAACCTCGGGTCTTTTGCATCAGCCGTATCATGCCCCACCATCATCATATCCAACTGCCATGCCTTACTCCGGAGAAACAGCTGATTTGCTTTACGAGTATTTTCCATTGAGCATGGATGACTGGCAAGCACCAGTGGATGTTGTTTATCGGCCTCATATCGTGCATCACACACATATGCCGATAGATTACAAGTTCATGGCGTCACGAAATCGTAGCAAACGATATTTCGCTGCTGAAGACGTTTGCTAGTTGACCGTCTTGTCTCTTACTTCTGGCGGGACCTTTTCATTCGAATTCCAAATACAAGTTCAGGTACATAAAATTCACTCTGCTTCTACACACGGCCCGGGTTGCAACATTTCAACATGATGTACGGGAAGCGATGACATTACGAAAAAGTCTTTCAAAACATTTCAAAAATGCTCCGAATCTCCTACCTACTCTCTGAATGTCATACTATATGCAAAAGGAGTTTTGGCGTGAGATTATCCTGTCTCTCATTTTACAATCGTCTTTTGAAGCGGTTTTTTTCCTATCCCACGCAACGGTAACGAAGCACCCCTTGGTTATGTATGTACTCATTGACACGGCGTTTTACAATGTTTGATATCACCGCATGTTTACAAGTTTTGGGCGGAATGGGTTTTCTGATTTGCTTTCTCTGTTCCTGATTTTTATTCCCCTGTTTCTGCTTCGACTGTATGTGTTTGTTATCTATCCTTGTTCTTGGACTTGGGTTCGATGTGGAGGAGGTTGTACGATATGCTTCTGTATTTTTTGACCGTGACTCATTAAATTCATGCATATGAGTGATACCGTTTCTTTCTATGATATTTCTTTCATATGTCAAGTATATCCGTACGTACGTACAATCTATGGGGAAGAAGGAAAACTACCATTGGTACTAGCTGGTTCAAAGAAATGTGCCATCTTATTGTACAAGGCCCTGTCGTGATCCACACTACACCGTTGACTTCAGTAGACTTACCGTATCCCCCAGAACAACGATCAAGCACACACGGGACTGCTGGCTAGATCTTTACGTATTGAGGGCCTCGGATAATCCCGTAGTACATTATCATATAACTATCACCAAACATCCCTACCCTTTATTTTGTACAGAAACGAAGCTAAATATCGTCTTCTATTGAATCACAGGCTGCCATAATGGCACTGTTGCCAGATGCAAACTCGGTGATGTGATCAACGTCGAATTTTCAGTAGATAAGTCATTACAATGACCATTGTAAAGTTCAAGGCAATAAAGCCTATGAAGATGCCAATGTCAGAATAGCGATTTGCAAAGTCGAATCCGTATTGGTGATACTATACAATAAGCGAAGTCAGCTTCTAATTTTTTTTCTCTTTTCTGATTTAGGTACCGTTGAATGCCACATACATATGATTGACCATCTCGATATTTGCAATATTGACAGTCCGAAAGACTTTCCGGGTTCATCAAGTACCCTGTCGCGGTTTGCAAGGAATCCGCCGCATACTGACCACAACTCGTCCCGTTTGGTGGATAAAAGGTCGACATCTCAGATTGCTGACAGCGAATAGGAAGATCATGCAATATATCCGTCACAACGCCCTCATTGTAGTAATAGAGAGGAGAAACAGTGTAGTACCAACGCCAACCGGACGAGGTCACCGATTTGGGCGACATTGTCCCCGCTAAAGTATTGTAGAACATGAAGAAAAATCTATTCGCTGCAAAGGCTGCTTCAATATTTGGCATAATAGATGCACATAACTGGGCTAGACTTGTTTCAAAGACACCGAAGAGCTCGTACATGAGAAAACTGTATCCTGCACGCGAGGCAGAACCGAAATATCCGACGGGGAAATACCATAGTAGCCAGTACACCAGAGAAGTAATGAATGTAAAAGGTAGCTCGACGATGAATGCCGATAGGACAAAGGTTAACCAGTTATAAGTCAAGCTCTCGCGTTCTCGATGAAGGAAAATTTCTTGCAGAAGGAAAATTTCTCGCAGTGTCACGAATCGCGGTTGAACTTGTAACCCTAAAGGGGGTCCGACGATGAGCGCCATAAAAGCGGAGAATACACGGCTGTATGCTCCTTGCTGTGTGTTTGATGCCTGAAGATAGCTAAGACCGTTGAGGAGAGAGTTTCCGACGTTCAGCCATATCTTTGAGACAATGTAATCCGGTTCTCGCCAGTAATATAGCCATGTTCTTTGAAGCACGACCCATAGCTGGATGTGAAAGGGTGCTGCGTAGAGTGATTGTCGCTGCTTGGAAGGTGCTATCTGACCGCGTGTCTGAATTTTAGTTTCATCCCCTTCTGGAAGTTTTTCTCCATGGTTGTTTTGCTTGTGGTGATGCCACAGATTAGGCCAGTCCTTTTTGATATCGTTTCGAGTACCCGCACCGATCACGTCTAGGAAGAATTCTGCTGGATTCTCACCTGGACCACACTTTCTGCTATGCTTCTCAAAGTATTGGGTTGCCTGTTGGCAATGAACACCCAATGGGCCATCATAAATCAACTTACCCCCTCGACTGAGAAGGCACAACTCATCAAACATCTCAATAAGCTCAGCAGCCGGTTGATGAATGGTACATACTATTGCCTGACCGGAATCTGACAATACACGGAGAAGTTGTATTATCGAAAAAGCTGATTGCCCGTCGAGACCAGAAGTGGGCTCGTCCAGAAAGAGTATTTCCGGTTTCGAGGCCATTTCTACACCTATACTCACCTTTTTCCGCTGTTCAAGGTTGAGTCACACACCAGGGATACCGATTAGGGCATCGGCGATGTTCTCCATACCTAGCCACTGAATGACTTTTTCGACATAGGTATATTTCTCTTCTAGCGAGACTGTCGACTTTCGTCTCAACCGCGCTGTCATTTGCAAAGCTTCACGAACTGTTTGTGTAGGGAGATGGATATCCTGTTGCTGGACGTAACCCATTCTACTGCGGAAGAATTCAGGAAGTAATTTCCCATTCAGTGCCAGTTCACCCGTCAAAGACCCGACTGACGAACGGCCAGCAAGTGCATTGAGAAGAGTGGTTTTTCCTGCTCCCGAGACCCCCATTAGAGCTTTGAGTTGTCCGCTCTTGACACAACCACTCAAGTTGTCTAGTAGGCGTCTGTTGCCGTCCTTGAATTTAATATCGAGACACAGATTTTTCCATGCAAATGTATGGCTTCTATCTTGTACAGCGCACTGGTTGTTATGATTGACTGGGGCTGTACCTTCCGGTGCGACACCTCTGCCGAGATATCCTCCCTCTATGTCTGACTTGGTTTTGAGTCTCAATTTACTCTGCTTGTAAAATACCGTGGCCGATTTACCGGCAGGCGTACTCAACCTTTCCATTCCGATTCTGCCAACAAGAAGACAAGATTAGGAAAGCTGTATCACGGGGATTCCAAAACGAATGAGCTTACCCAGAGCATAGAGCAAAGAACACAAACAGTGCAGCATTGATCCCGACATTTCTCCAGAGGTGCGCCCTTTCAAATCCATACGGTGCTTTGATGTATGACATTCCTGAGATGGAAAGCTCACCAGGACGAGAGCCAACAACCGCGCAGACCTGATTGTCGATATTTGTATAAGCTGATCCGGAAGGCACGATGTCAGATGAGCTACAATGGTAGCTCAGATCTCGAAATTCGTTGACCATGACCGACTCGAAGGCGTAATATAATGGCTTGATATCAGACGTATTGTTAAAGACTTGTGATGCAAAGCTAAATAGTTGAGACTTACATTGAGATATCTCAACCATGAAAGCCACACCTGCATCTGAGGCTCTGGCACGTAGAAACCCGTATACAACACGTACATATTGAAGAATATACCAACCGGAAGTATGGCGCGATGTATGCTTGGGGAAAATACGGCAACCGACCTGAAGAACATAGACAGAGCGAGATGTTCTATATAAATAACAAGGAACCAAATAAAGAAGTTCCCTGTATTGCGTTGAAAACCAGTTAAGAAATACAACGGGATGTTGTAACTGATGGATGCAATTTTCCACACAACATCCGTTATAACCAGACCCAACGCATATGAAATAGGACGACATATCCGGTATCGCTTCTGCTTGAGGATGAGTGGCCGTTGTTCGAATCCATTTCGGAATTCGGCCATTGATTGTAGGGCTGGGACCAGGACTGTGAAGAACAACGAAGATGCAAATATGAACAGAGACTGGGTTGCTCGCTTTTCGTCTCGAAACAGAGTCCCTAAAGCAAGACTTTGCACAATAATTGCCAATGGCTCTACAGCCCATAGACTCCGGTTTCTCATAATGATTCGGAATTGACGAGAAGCGCAGTACCAGGTCTGGCGGTAAACTGGCAGAGAATAGGCAGGCGTATTGACCAAGTCTCGAGGCTTTGAGGTGATCTCCTTCTGGACTTCACTCATCGACTCTTGTAAAGTTTTATAAAATCGACTGGCATGAAATGCTGTCTCCAACTCCTCCGAAGTCCGTGGCACCTGGCGCTGCTTGCCTTCTTGCACACGTCGTACGTCTGGGTCAGCCGACATCGAATTGAGGAAATCGGATATCGTTGTTGTAGGTAAGCACTCAAACCCAAGTCCTTCAAAATATGATTTTGCTTCGTGTAATTTGCCGTAGAAGATCTGTCGACCCGAGTTTATCACCAAGACTTTGTCGAAATATGCCACAACCATATCGCTAGCTTGGTATACACTCATGGCGGTGACGCAGCGACTTTGATCGGTCCATTCCCTCATCATTTTAATAAATTCGAGCGCAGTAGAAGAGTCTAACCCGCAGGTTGGGTTATCAAAACAAATTAATCTGAGAGAGACGTCAGGCGGCCTATAGCTAGAAAGAGGGAGAAATCAATTACCGAGCACATGTTGCTAATGCTTCTGCCAGAGAGACTCGTCTTCTTTCCCCACCACTGACGCCTCGAATATACGCATCGCCGACTTTAGTATCTATTACATGCTCAAGGCCAACCAGCCTGGCGAATTGAGAGACCATCATGTCGATGTCCTTCGGGGATGTATCTGGCCTGCATCTGGCTCGGACTGCAAAGCGAAGCGTCTCTGCTACGGTCAAAGTAGGAAAATGGTCGTCGGATTCAGCTTAAAAGAAAGTTAGTTTACAGATACCTCTGTTAATAAGATTAATAAGTATGAAAACCTACCACAGAAAATGACGTCTTGAGGGCGTTTGGATAGTAGCTCCTGAATGGGATGGCCGTTCAAAGTAAGTCCGCCTTGGACTTCTTTATATTCCTCCCACATATAGGATAGCGTCTTCAGAAATGTAGTACAACCACTGCCTGGTTTTCCTATCACAAGTAACATCTCTCCAGGATCGATGGTACCCGAGAACGCCCTAAGAATTGGTCGAGAGGAACGCTCTGTCAATCGATGTTGGAGAGGGTTGAGTACTCCAAAAGCCGACTTCATTGCTGATAGGATCGTTGGTGCGGGCAGTGTCTAGTTTACATGTCAGAATGTATTGGTATACTGAATTAGTGTTATCATTGTCTGTATACTTACGCCTGTCCCGATACCCTCAACAGAGATGTCGTTGAAGACGACGGTAGTCTCATATTCGATGCCACTCTTGCGCAATGCAAAAAATTGTCTGATACTCTCTTTGGTATTTCTGCCATTCAAAGTCTTTTGTTCCGCTGATTTACTGTCTTCTTGAAGAGGTTCGACATTGTTGTCATCCATGATCAACTTATCGCCAGAGCCCTCAGACGGCGTCGAAGAATCCATTTCATGGCCGTGCAGATCAAGATCTCGGCCAGGGGAGCTATCCCTCGGTTGAGAAGACATGGCTGTGCGCCCTTCAAAATTTAGCCTTTCAAAACAAGTTATGCAGAGAAGACTTCACAGAGAATAATATTGTCATGGTGTCAAATCTAATGACAGCATCGGCTGCTATTTAAGAAATCAAATAGCCGCTTATACTGAACTCCTGTTTCCAAACAAAACTCCCAAATAAACCAAGCTTGGATAGTTAGACTATTCCAAGCTAGTGTCTGAAAATGGAAATGTGTTGCTAAAAGGAGTTTCGGAGTTACTAAGCAGAACGTCCCAATTAGGAAACTAAGCATAATTTCCTAATCGGGAAATCTCTTAACCCTCAAGTCCTTTAAGGAGATAACGCAAGATCTGAGCATTCAGAGATCCTGTAATCATACAGTTAGGAAGCGGGAAGCATTTATCTTATTAATGAGATGGTCTTAAGTTAGCTCAAATCCGACTGATATGTACTTCTTGAGCATTACAGATAGGACATTCTTCAATCAAGTATCTGAGTTATACTTTCTGCTTACAGGTAAGCACCAACACAGCCAGTGAAATTTCTCCAGATTTTTGCAAAAATATTAGGTATTTTCTCCTAATTGGAGAATCTTTAGGTTGACTGATACTCAGTGCTCTTTTCGCCCATTCGGCAACACCAAATTTGGAATTTAGAACGTCTCATTCAGATCTGTGTAGAGGTAAACAGAGGAGTTTCTTCTTCACCAGTGCTCCACTTAATGTTGAGGGAAGAGTGGCAGCGCCTCCCTCGAGCATAGCTGTTAAGTAGTTTGAAGATCTGATGGAATAGCCCTGGAGCTTGGGAAGCCCAACGCAAAACAAACTTTAAACAAAATCTCATTATTAGAACAATTTCATCTGCGTTGATGTAAAACCCGAAGGAATTATAATTTAGATCGAAACCAATTCTGTTAATGTGACTGAAGCGTTTTATGTAGATTATACCGGACACATCATTGACAGAAGTCTGTTACTGCTCCTACTCATGTGTAATAGAGATTCCTGGCTAAAAACATGGCTGTATACTATAAAGTCCTTAAATAAAGCTCTCGGCAAATGTAGGAGCTCTAATGGTTATGGCGTATCCAGTGTTGCTCAGGTAGGGTATGAGGTTAGGGTTATTTCGCATATTTGTGGAGCCCTCACCCCAGCCCAGGTGAGGGTTGGGGTAAGGCCGCGACAAGTCCTGCTTATTAATTTTTCATTGCAGAACACAACCAACAGAAAGTTGAAATAACACAAAAATCTGTCAATGGGCAAAGCTATCCGCACGACTTCAAATTACGTTTCTTTCATTTCGCTTCTTCAACAGACTACTCATGTTTTCCACTTTCCCCGCCCACGAGGATCCTAGAACCACAACAAATGGCTCAAAATCCTCTACTCGACCACGACGACGCCAAGTCGCCAGGGCTTGCGATTGGTGTCGCATAAACCGAGTCAAATGTGACGACAAGCTACCTTGCCAAAATTGTCAGAACCGGGGTGGGCATTGTAGCATTTCCAGGCCGGTAGAGGCGACATCTCTACCCGCTGCGAACAGGTATGTTTAGCTTGGTTCGATTAAAGAAAAGCCATTACTAATATGGGAAAAGAGATATACAACGACTACGGAGTAAAGTCAAAGATCTTCAGGAGCAGTTGCAGATAGCTAGACAGGAAGCTACCCAAGCACAAATGCACCAAGCTCAAATTCAGACTCCCTTTCAGAGCAATCACACAACTCCATCACTGTATACATCACCAGATGCAGTGAATGATTCGACTATAGTCACGGAGCAGGACCCTGGCCTAGTTGTTACCAAAGGATGGCAAGGACTACGAGATCTTGGCACACGGATCGGAGAGTTGTACTACGGACCGAGGTCCTCATCCTATTTTCTGGCTCGAGTCTCACGATATGTCTCCTCCACACTCAACGAGTCTTTGGGGAATATAAACCTCAAACCATTTCTGGTTGACATTGATTATGAAGCTTTTTCTAAATGGCGGCAGCAACCGCAGTCGGATGCACCAGAATATGCAGAGGGCTTGACGCGCATTCAGCAAGAATACTATCTCAATCTGCTATGGCAAGCATTCCATTGTGTATACCCTATTCTCTCCGAGCCGAAATTCAATCGATACTATGACTCTTTGTGGACCTCAGATACCGCGCCTGATAGAGCTACCCGCAAACCTTCGGCATTGGTTGACATCTTACTTGCCGTGTGTATGCAGTTTGGCAGTGTTTTCCTTTTCAGCGATTCCAGAGAACATAACAAGATTCAAGAAGCACAGAACCCCCCGCAGTCAAGAAAAAACGCACATATGGCTGGTCACATATACTACCAGAGAGCTCAAAGACTTGTGCAAAATGAACTGGAGCATCCTTCTATCACAACACTACAGACTCACATCTACTTGATTATCTACCTTTACAACATCTCCCAGTTAACACTGCTCATAGCAACTTGGGCACTACATTGCGGATTGCTCAGGCTTTAAAACTGCATCTCCAGCCGGAGGGTACATCATTGGAGGATCAGGCGCACCTCCGTCGGATATGGAATGTCATTTACCGTCTGGATGCCCAGCTCTCAATGAACTTAGGACGGCCTACGCTGGTTCAACATTTCGAGCTCGAGAACGATCAATCAGAGAAAGCTCTCTTATCTGGAACCTCACTTCTTTCTACCTTTGAAGAGATAAGTTGTCTCAGCTTTCACAACCAGTGCACAAAACTCATCTCTGCCGTTCAAGGAACTCAAGTTGCTTTTGAAGCCAATTGCTCTCAACTGCTCGTCGACGGAAATAATGTCAACGGAGACATCCATGATAATCCCCGAACAACGGAAGCACTAGCAGAATTTTTCGGACGCAAAACGATGCCAGTTCGTGAGTGGGTTCAAGGTGTCCCTGAACCCCTCAAGTGTGCACGCAGAGGTGAAGGAGTATCATTCTCAACAGACCGATCGCCTTTAAATCTAGATACCTACATCCCCTTGTGGCTTCAGCGCCAACGCCTTCTCCTCGAACTTCTCTACCATCACCTCCAGATCTCTCTCTTACGACAATTCCTTCGCTTCCCTCCCGTGGCTGTATCTCTTACCCCTCTTGCCGACGGACTTGGCATCTCATGCGTCTATCATGCCATAACAATCACCAATATCCTTCACCAAGTCCTCTCCGAAACAGACCTGTTACATGGCTGGTTCCACGTTTATCAATTTCAATGGGATGCCGTGTTGTGTACTCTAGGCTTTGTCCTTGCGAATCCGGTTTGTCCGCCTACGCCGCCGGCAAGAAAGTCTTTGCAAAAAGCTGTAAGGAATTTGGAGATTGTTGGCGAGCATTTTCCGCTGCTGCCAGTGCTGCGCTGTTAATTAGTGATCTTAATAAGTGTATGGATCGAGTTATTGATGCATTTAGGCGGGATTTAATGGGTAAGCGTTGCTCCTCCGCAGCAAGTCAGAAGGATTCTGCGTCCTCTATACCCCTCAATGAGACAGTTCTACAAACGTTGTCTGAACTCTATTTGTCACCAACCGCTACGGCATCATCCCTGGGATTAGCGCATGTTTGGCCTGATCACTCCCTCCCCGCACTGGGAATAGCATCAGAGACTTTGGTGACTACTACTGATACACCTACGGTGCCCACGGCGATAGATGACTTGCAATGGATGCAAGGCAATCTTGAATCCTGGACCGATTTTACAGTCTGAATCCGTAATTGCGCCTAGATACCCACCCACCAAGGACATGTTTGTGTTGCAAGCGATTCGTTCATTCATGAAGTCATTCATTGATACGGAAGTTTTAATAGACACAGGGCATATGTAGATGAAATACAATCGACACAGAATTGCACAGTAATATGAATGGGTATGTACTCATGACGGACAGGAGTATCATCCCCATGGAGAGTTGTCTCCTAATAAAATTCGTACAATGCAATAAAAACTCTTTCTCTCATATAGACACATATCATGAGCACCTGTCCACACATGGTAGACTATTTCGAGGGGCAAATATCTTAGGATGGCTGCATCAACTTCCACGTCGTCGCGTCACAGGTAACTTCTTCAAAGCTATGAAGCACCGTAAATCCCATTGCCGTCAAACTATCAAAATTTCCGTCGCCGTCGACCTATATTCAAGTTAGTTCTCAGCTCTTAAGCCGACGTAGAAGAATAAACGTACACAGTCAAGCATAACCGCATCTGCCCCGGATTTTCGAACTTGCTTGATTCCCAATAGAATCAATCCCTGCATCAAGGTTGCATATTCACCAACCGAAGGCGAGATGACTGGTGACGAAACCCCGCCTCCTCCTCCTGTGTTGTTGCTTCCGTTCACGGTAGAGGTATTGCTACCATTAACCTGTTTCTCCCTCTCCTTGTCCTTTTTATGTAATGCTGGAATGTACTCCGCTATCGCGGATTGACTGTTATAAATCACCACACTACCCAATATAGCACCATCTTCGGGCCGCTTTGCTCTTATGACGCCGGAGTGTGGTGCACCATTAAGTGCCATTTTGTATATTTCCATTACACCCTGTCGAGAATTGGTCTTGATATGGTCGAATATTGACTCCGCGTATTCCCAGCCATGGACAAGGTCGTAGTCTACCTCGTTTGTGTGTAAGCTTTTCGCAAGACCTTCAGGTGCTGTCCATGTCGATAACGGTCGAAGTAAGACGCTGCATAGAGGTCGTGATAGAGCCGTGTTCCATCCCAACTGAGCAAACCATTGTCGTAATCTTTTCCGTTCTACGGGGTTAGCAGCAGGAATTCCTAGATATATGCTCGGTAGCCGAGAGCCTAGTTGGAACCGCTTAACTCCTTTCCGTTGTAGTAGGCTTCGAATTGCCCGGTTATGAAGTGAATGTCCTATGGACAGCTTTCGTCTCGCGGGGTCCACGAATATGGAACCAATGACCCCGGTCCCAGTTGACCGGAAGAAATACGTCGTGCAGAATCCATATAATGCCTGTGTTGTACTATTTCGCACCACAAAATGTGCTTCATCAACATCGTCGTTTCGGAGAAGAAAACTATGGGACGAAACATTCGTTAATTCAGCATGCGAGCCGCTTTCTCTTACAGCATCTAGTAACGCATCAAGCGCTTCACTGTCACGCTGTTCATTCCACGCTTCGACTAACCAGTGTTGGCGCGATTGATGGATTTTCTGGCTTCGGCTGACCGTTCCAGGTAACGATCCGGTAGGTGAGAGTTCACCATACAACACTTTGACAAGCGCCTGTAGCGCCGTCTCGGTAAAATCATATGTACATATATACGTGCCGATAGACGGGTCTATAGCGAAGTCATACGGCGAGCTCACCGCAACCACAATGACGGGCTTTTCACGCCGTTCGCCTGTCTGGGAGTACTGCGATTTGCAAATCATGGATACGTGTTTGGTGAACCCGTGCTGATAGAGATTCCGATTCGAGTCGGCTGTGAGTATAACAACGGCACTGGCTCGGTCGATGAGACTCTCATGTATCGGACGTACTCCAGTAGATGTGTAGGAAGTGTGCAGCACACGTCCGGATCTTTGACGAGCAAGGGATCGACCGAATTCCCGAAAGACGCTCTCGCCGCTAGATATTGATGACCCTTTCTCCCACGACGCCGACGGGTCGGGTGAAGCGGTCATCAGGTCTAGCATCGACCGCGAAACTGCTGATGCAGGCAACGGCTTGACTAAAGGTGTCAGCAAAAGCAGTTCCTCATCTGGTTCGAGAATTTGCGGCAAAGGAAGCAGGTTGTTGGTATCGCGAACGAGAGTGATAGAGCTATCATACGCGCGGGTTGAGAGGCTAGTATGAGATGGCTGCATATGCGTCAAAACCTCGATACCACCTGGGTTCAAGGCTTGTTCCCATGTCGTGCAACGCGCCTTCATGGAAAGAACCCTTTGAAGGGACTGAGTAATACGCGAGCGACTGATCATGCCATTCTCAACTCCCAATTTCAGCCCGTTCAGAGCTTCCAGTTGGAAAGGATACGACCGACATAGGAGGGCCACATCACAGCCAGCCTTCATCGCCATGACAGTACCACCGCCCACACCGATGTTGTGTGTAAGAGCTTCCATTTCCAAACACTCAGAGACCACAACTCCGTCAAATTTCATCTCTTTTCGTAGAAGTCCGTCCACCACTTGTTCAGAAAGACAGGCATGCATTACATTCACTCCAGCTGAAGACATGGCAACTCCGCCAACCATCATCGCATCCAGGCCATTTGCTATGGCGTTGCGAAATGGAACCAAGGCACTCAAACTAAGCTGCTCCAATGACTCCGTAATCACAGGAACATCGGTTTGCGAACCCACAAATTCTATATTCCCGTACGAAGGAAAGTGTTTACCGCACGTGACCAATCCTGCCTCTTGATATCCTTTCATAGTTTCGACGCCGTATTGCGATACTTCCTGAGGATCATCTCCGCTCGTTCGAACACCGATGGGCTGACTGCGCACGTTGGTCAGGACGTCCAAAACAGGACCTAGAATCCAATTGACGCCAACAGCCCTTAACTCTTGCGCAGTGGCTGACGCAACTTCGTGGGCGAGTCGCTTGGAACCCGTTGCAGCAATGCCCATTGCACTAGGAAATTGTCGTATGTATATTTCATCGTATAAACTATTAACCCCTCCATTCTCTTGGTCTAGAGCAATCAGAAGTGGAACCGGATGTCCAGCATCCCGCGCTATTGTTTGGAGTTCCAGAATGAGCTTCGTAGTTTCTTCGGCAGCTATAAAGTATCATGAGCACTGTCCTATTTGAGCTGGATCGAAATGCCATACATTTAAGATTCTTGGCGGATAGCATAATACTGCCGACATGATAATTCTCGATCAGCGATCGGATCTGGTCGTCCACGGTTGTTCCGTCAAAACCCATCATAAAGAGCTGGCCCATTTGCCTACAATCGCATTATCAGTCCTAGTCCGAAAAGTCCTCTTTCCTATATGCATATGGAATTTACCAGTCCAAGTCGTCCCATATTGGGGGCAATGTCCCGTCCTTTGGGGCCATGACGGCCCGGCGCGAGGGATTGCCAGCTCGCGCGATGATCAGGCCAGACTGGCTTCAATTATGTCGGTCGGAACGAGATCTATCTTATGTGGAATGATGCGATGGACGGTATCGCTATTCGAATAGGGTCTGGGCGGTAGTAACGTCGTCCGCGCAATCTACAGACCGGGATCGGAGGCTGGTCGCAAAAATAAGCTCACACGTCTCCGACAGTCGTCGCAGTGCGATGAGAACTGTGTATAAGCTTGAGATAACACTTGCAATAGCTGATAGTTGTTATAACGGTAATGTAGGTGTATTATTCGAGAGACCGAGGAGTCGAGTCGCGAATTGTAGCTGCAGAAAGGGTGATGTTGGATGTCAGATGAAGCCTCACCGGAGTCTGGAGATAGCTCCGCGGGAAGGCGTTATGACAACAGCAGGGTTAAACACGCAAGGGTCTCGATAGCCTGAGCTTATCTGATTTGCGACATCAGACACAAGAAGATAGATTATGGCAATATCAAGACAAAAGCTTAAAAAAAAACATGCGACAGCTGTGCCTGAGTCAAAAGGGACTGGAGAAAGAATCATGGGGGACGCTTTGGCTCCTCAACTTCAGTGCTCTTACTACGGAGCAGCTCACGTGCTGACCTCGACCGATAAGGCCAACAGATAAGCTGAATTAATCGACGTTGATTGGGTAGATAACTTGGCAAGATCACCTGACCAGCCTCTAACTCGGCACGACCCCAGACTGGGCCAGAAGAGGACTAGCGCTAATTTCTTTAATATTTCAGTTTCATTTTTTGGATCTTTACTTCCGTGCTCATAGAAACCTCAGCAACATACGACAGACTCATTACATCGAAATATTTGGGGGAGAACTAAACGGCCACAACCCTAGAAGACGAAACCTGAACGCTTGAGGGTACATATACGCGGACTCTACATTGAGAGTATCGTTTATAGCAGATTAAATGAATTGCTCAAACCGAGAACTTAATCTCGGCATACAGCTTTCCAGTTAATTTCTAAACAACCTCGGAGGTGATCAGAGCTGCATATATAGTGGCTTACCTTACTGACATCTAGGTTAGTCTTCTAGAACACGTGCGATGAAGGTGCCATGTCACAGTTAAAGACAAGCAGCGGTTTGTTACTTAAGTTAACCATCAGTGTATGGCTTATGTAACATACTGCCATACAAAAGAAGAGAATGCCACCGTTGCAGCAAATGTCACGTTGCTCTGGCTGGATGCAACCATCCTTGGACGCCTTGGCATGTCCGGATGCGCTTAGACATTTCATTTTGATATGGCATGTAATGTATGAATCGCAATCGCATATGAAGTTCCTTGTCGACGATGAAGCGAACATGGATGAAAAAAGAGGGATTGAGGGCATATATAATTTATAATTTCAAAAATATCTTTCGGAGTCTTGTCTGTCTCTCCATAATGGGTCGGATCGGACTGTTCGGCGTGTTGTACGGAGTATGGTCAGTACCTGACAAATCTTACAGGTACATACAGTACGGGTATGTAAATATTGAATATAGAATGCGTATTGTAACGATCTAATACATGTAGATATTCAGATATGTATGCATGCAACCAATTCCATGTCGGGAAAGAAAAGATAAGGTGAATTATTGCTATGCGCAAACCAGCTATAAATGAAAGAGAAGTCTTCGCAGGTCGAGTTCTTAGATAGTTACTGGACTAGATCATCGGATGAATTCTGCTATAGCTTACAACTGTTGTATGATGAACAGGAATATCCTGCTTATCACTAAGTAGTTAAGAATATGTTATCTGACATACAAAGCTTAATATCTATTCGTCAATGGCGGGGCTATAAGCGCAACATGACATACGATGGAGCCGTTACACTACAATCTTCAGATTCAAGGCAACCGTCGCCGTCGCTGTCGCCATCCCGCCGGAGACGGGGCAAATGTAGTACGTACCGATACGTTGCTGGCGACATCCATTACATTTACGGTGCTAACTAATGAATTCTATGAGTGGTAAGTGTGATTGATACAGAGAACGTAACTGGCCAGCTCTATGCATATACATAGATGTGTAATTTTACTACTCCGTAAGTTTCTAATCGGCGTAATCAATTTGAGTCTGTATCTTACCCGTAGAGTATGGTTCCATCCTTTATCACCTGCGTTGGGTCCATGTAACTCACTTCTGTCTATTTTTTTCTTATTCATCTACTGTTTCTTTCTCTCGTCGATATTCCATCTTCTAAATATATACGCAAGACTTGATTGACCATATCTGCGAAACAACATCTACAGCCTGCAGTTCGGCATCCCGCATCTTCTTATCGGAAGCTTAGGTGAGGTGACGTAGTTCGCCTTCAATCTGCACAATGTAAGGGATAAACCGCGTTGAGTGCAAACCAATCTTATCTGACTGTTCAATAGGAGGGTTATCATCCGTGAGGATCCTCAGGGCGTCTCTGAGTACATTGCCGAATATATAGTTAGTATGTATTGTCTATATCATTGGGAAAAAGCGCATACAAGCTAACTTGGATCAGGCCGAATCAATGCCTTCAACCCTACGCCTGAGAAGCCGTTTGTCCTCGGTCTTCCTACCGGTAGTAGTCCAGAGATCATCTATCGCATCCTCGTGCAAAGGCACAAGGCCGGCGAGGTTTCGTTTCGCAATGTTGTTACATTCAACATGGTTAGTGCAAAGAAAGAAAAAAAAAAAAAAAAACACGCCTCGATCATGGTCTGATAGAAACAGGACGAATATGTCGGCATCCCGCGCGACCACCCCGAATCATACCACAGCTTCATGTACAAACACTTTTTCTCCCATGTCGACATTCTCCCCGCCAACATCAACATCCTGAACGGCAATGCGCCCGACCTCGCCGCCGAAGCAACCGCCTACGAAGCCAAAATCGCGCGCATGGGCGGTATAGAGCTCTTTCTCGGCGGCGTCGGACCAGATGGGCACATCGCCTTCAACGAACCAGGCTCATCACTTACAAGTCGCACGCGCGTGAAAACCCTGGCCTACGACACCATAGTCGCCAATTCACGCTTCTTCGACAACGACGTCAATAAAGTGCCCAAAAAGGCATTGACAGTCGGTATCCAGACGATCATGGATGCACGCGAAGTCGTTATTGTTTGCACGGGATCGCACAAGGCGCTTGCGCTGCATCACGGTCTGGAAGGCGGTGTCAATCACATGTGGACTCTATCTGCGCTACAGTTGCACCCTCACCCGCTTATCGTCGCGGATCGGGACGCTACGATGGAACTCAAAGTGAAGACGGTGAAATATTTCGAGTCTATCGAGCAGTCTGGTACGGATGCGCGTACACAAGGGCCGCCGCTTGTCTATCGTCCGAGAACCTACGTCCCGGCCCCGTTAATTACCACCGGAACTACAGCTGCGGCCGTAAAACCAGCTGTCACATCGGTTCCTTCTGAAAACCAACGTGTCCTCGTGCCCAAAGATCTCAAAATCAACACCGATATGCGCCGCTCCGCCGACGAGGACGGCGAATTGACGCCAGATAGTATGTCGTCACGGATATTAGATTCCGGTATTTCGGGGCTGGATGCTGCGCTCAAAGGGGAATTATCGCCTGACCGTATGGGGTCGAGGATGACTACTGTTTAAAAGTGTGTTCATGAGCATCTATGTAGTATTTGTTATTTTCTTTGGAAAGATCGCATCTCGAGCAGGTTAGGGTTTGCTTTTTGTCTACCGTCTATTAAATTGGCTAGATTGAAACAATGTTTACTGGAGTTAGGTTGTATGTACTAATATTTGGCACACTATTCAAATGATGTACATTCTATACGACAGGACTATAACTTTGCAAAAGCAGTAGCCACAACATTACTCATATCCACCAAGGTACTCTTATTCCGTACCCAAGCCTCTATCCCCCTTCTACCATTCTCAACGCCAACACCACTCTGCTTCCATCCACCCACGCTCATTTCAGCGGGTGACTCCCCCCATGAATTCACCCATGTAATACCAGCCTGTAATTGGTCGATGATACGATGCGCAAGGTTCAGATTGGACGTGAACACGCCCGCTGCAAGGCCTAGTTCAGAAGTATTGGCGCGTTGAACGGCTTCTTCGACGGTGTCGTACGCAAGGATAGAAAGGACGGGACCGAAGATTTCTTCTCGGACTATCTTCATTGAATCCGTGCAGTCGGTGAAAATGGTCGGCTGAACCCAGAATCCTGTTTGGAGCTCTCGCGGTAAATTGGCGGGTTGACCGGGCCCGCCGTAAAGGAGTTTTGCTTTATCTTGCTCAATGCCGTGTCGGATATAATCTGTGACTTTTTGGTGATGGACTCGTGATACGAGCGGACCAAAGTTTGTTGCGGGATCCATGACAGGACCCGCTCGAACGAATTGCATTTTTTCTACCAAACGTTTCTCAAAGGCTGCCTTCATATCTCTGGGGACAAAGACCCGCGTTCCGTTTGTGCAGACTTGTCCCGTGCTGTAGAAATTGGCCATCATGACACCGTCAACGGCATTTTCGAGATCAGCGTCTCGTAGGATAAGGAGTGGTGATTTGCCGCCGAGTTCCATTGTGACGTATTTCATGTGTCCAGCTGCTGCTCCGGCTACTCTTTTGCCTGTGGAAACCTGTCCGGTGAACGATACCTTGGCGACTGAAGGATGAGCGGTCAGATATGCGCCAACGTCACCGGCACCGTGGACCACATTGAAGACGCCAGCAGGGAGACCGGCTTCGGTGTATATTTTGGCGAGGGTCTCGCCGTGGAGGGATGTGAATTCGCTGGGTTTGTAGACCATTGTATTACCGGCTGCGAGGCAGGGTGCTGATTTCCATAGAGCTCTATATCGCATTAGCCTTCTACCCGTCTATTGGGAAGGAGAATCTCACATCTGAATAGGATAATTCCAAGCTCCTATACCCACGCATACACCCAGAGGCGCTTTCTTAGTATAGACCCAAGCATCTTCCCTCAATTGAGTGGTCTCGCCATTCAGCCCACCACCACCCACCAAATTCGCAAAATATTCAACCACATCGGCGCCCGTCGCGACATCGACTACACTAGTCTCACTGAATGCTTTCCCGGTATCATGTGTTTCAGCCGCGGCTATTTCATCGTTGCGTGCGCGCAATAGTTGAGCTGCTTTTTGCAGAATGCGCGCGCGCTGAATTGCGGGCGTGGCGGCCCAGGACGGAAAGGCCCTTTCAGCGGATTGAATGGCCTTGTCAATGTCGGCGCGTGAAGCTTCGTGGATGTCGGCGATGTGCGCGCCGGTTGCAGGGTCGATACTTTCAAAGGTCTTGTTGGAGGTGGCGCGTTGAGTCTTGCCGTCGTAGTAGAGCTGGCGAGCGGAATAGGTGGCCATGTTTGCTATAGTGAGTGATCACTTGGAGAGAAGTAAATCAATCGAGAAGTCGTGAGAGTAAAGGAAGGAAAGTACAACGAGCTGGAACTTTTTACCTCATTGCTTCTTCCTGAGGGGCCGCGGCGACTAGCACCTCGGCGCGTCATTGGCTGTGCCACCACTTCAACATTTCTAGACTCGACGTACTAAGTTATAAGACAAATACTACGTACGTACTATCACTATTCAAGATCAGACAGTGTCAATTGAAAATATACCGCTTGATTATTTACTTGATACAGGTTGCCCCGATTAGGAATTCCCACCCCGATTGCCATTTCCGATAAGGCTTCCCGGTACTAGCGTCCCTCTCTTATCGAGCGGATCTTCTTTGATTCGGGCATAGAAGCAGAGCTGGTAATGATAATATGTTCTGGCATTCTTATACAGAATGCAGTGCCATATGTATCATATCCTCTACATTGATACGTACTTGTATCGAGCATTCAGGTCAAAGTGCCCCCCGTCTCTAAAGCACTTACTAAGCTAGTCGCAAAAATTTTCCATAGTCGGCTGGGCAATTGTGGGGGATCCTCACCGACGTCACTTAGGTTGTTTCACTGAAGCACAGCTCAGAGTCAACAGTATATACTAGATGCTAGACGCTAGATGCTAGACGCTAGATGCTAGACGGCAGTGAGAATGTGGCCAAGAAGAGTCATTGCAGTACTTAACTCAGTATGACACTCTCTCCAGTCAGTCAGTCAGTCAGCAAGGCGTAGCTGGTTGGCAACTTGGGGCAATGTTATCGGCTTATCGGGGCCAGTAGGAAAACATGGCGGCCAGGATCCGGCAGCCACACACACGCACACACATACACCCGACATACTACTATAGTAGTACAACATGTCTATGAGATTACGAGTCTCTATCTTTCTAGTCCAGAAATTTAACTAGACAAAAACAGTTAAAAAATATCTTCGTGGCTGTACGAGCAGCCCCACATGTCCTGGATCCACATGACATTGATTGCCTGAGGACGAGAAAACCTAGAGCAATAAATCTCCAGCTCGTCTCTTTTTCTTTCGTTATTCCTTCCACACCCTGTACAGTCAATCTCCTTCTTATACTTATCAATTGAACAACCACCATGGCGATCACAGTCCTTCTGCCACCCAGTGAACTGGACAGCTACGACTATGTCATCGTTGGAGGAGGTACCGCTGGTTGCGTGATCGCCTCGCGCCTCGCCGAGTACCTTCCCAACAAGCGCATTCTGTTAATTGAGGCTGGTCCCAGTGATTACATGGACGACCGAGTCTTGAATCTAAAAGAATGGCTGAGCCTGTTGGGCGGAGAGCTGGACTACGACTACCCAACGACTGAGCAACCAATGGGTATTACCTGGCCGCGCCCCCCTTCCTCCGAAAATATACCTTGACAAAAACTGACAGACCCCAGGAAACAGTCATATCAGACATTCCCGAGCCAAGGTCCTTGGCGGCTGCTCTTCTCACAACACTCTGATCTCCTTCCGGCCTTTCGAGTATGATTTGCGTCTTTGGCAGGAATCCGGATGCAGAGGCTGGTCCTTTGATATGTTCACTCGAGTGCTCGATAACTTGCGAAACACTGTTCAACCAGTGCATGAGCGCCACCGTAATCAGCTTTGCAAGGATTGGGTACAATCCTGCTCGAGGGCATTGAACATCCCGATTATCGAAGATTTCAATAAGGAGATTCGTTCCAAGGGTCAATTGGAGCAAGGAGTTGGCTTTTTCTCTGTGTCGTACAATCCAGACGACGGTAGACGCAGCAGTGCTAGCGTGGCTTATATTCACCCTATTCTCCGTGGAGAGGAAAAGAGACCAAACCTCACCATTTTGACCAATGCGTGGGTTTCACGGGTCAACGTGGACGGTGACACGGTCACCGGCGTTGATGTGACCCTCCAATCTGGTCAGAAGTATTCTCTAAAGTCCAAGGTTGAGACTATCATCTGTGCTGGTGCGGTTGATACCCCACGACTGTTGTTGCTATCCGGAATTGGCCCTAAGGATCAGCTATCATCGCTTGGAATTCCGGTTGTGAAGGATATCCCCGGAGTCGGCGAGAACTTGCTTGATCATCCCGAAACTATTATCATCTGGGAACTCAACCGACCCGTGCCACCTAATCAGACAACCATGGACTCTGATGCAGGAATCTTCTTGCGCCGAGAGCCACCAAATGCCGCCGGTAACGACGGAACTGCGGCTGATCTGATGATGCATTGCTACCAGATTCCCTTCTGTCTGAACACCACGCGTCTTGGGTATGATGAGCCTGTAGACGCTTTCTGCATGACACCAAACATTCCCCGCCCACGTTCTCGCGGTCGTCTCTACTTGACCTCTTCAGACCCCAACGTCAAACCCGCTTTGGATTTCCGTTATTTCACCGACCCAGAAGGTTACGACTCCGCAACCATTGTTGCTGGCTTCAAGGCCGCTCGTGAAGTCGCTAAACAGGCACCCTTCAAGGATTGGATCAAGCGCGAAGTCGCTCCTGGACCTGGCGTCGTCACAGACGAAGCACTATCTGAGTACGGCCGTCGCGTAGCACACACAGTGTATCACCCGGCTGGAACAACCAAGATGGGCGACATTGAATGTGATCCACTCGCCGTGGTTGATCCACAATTGCGAGTCCGCGGGCTCAAGAAGATCCGTATTGCGGATGCCGGCGTCTTTCCGCACATGCCTACTATTAACCCTATGCTTACTGTGTTGGGTATTGGAGAGCGAGCAGCTGAGCTCATTGCTGAAGATGCGGGTTGGAAGAGGAACCAGCCTAGGCTGTAATCTCAAAAAACTTAGAAGTATATTTGTGGAGATGAATAGAGGTGGAGAGCAATGGTAGCCTTGTACGCACTACTTTGATACCCTATAGAGCATTCTTGATTATGAGTGGTCTATGTTACGTTGAAATATACAATGACATAAACATGAAAATAAAAGCAGTATAATCTATGGCTTCCATCTACTCGAATCGAGCATGCTATGCAAATAATCAAACAATACGAAATAGAACAACACATCATAACCGTCCTTAATATTTACAAGAATATCCACCACGCCTTACCGTTGAGCATCCAAATCCCACACACCCCCGAAAAGAAGAGAAAAAAAAAACTACAAACTCTCCTCCGAATCGAACACCTTAATCCCAAACTTCCACACCTGATCCACCGTCAAAGTAGGTCCGCTATACGAATCAATCGTCTCCCCCAAGACCACCAAATCGGCATCCGCGCCATGGTCCAACGTCCCCTTGACCTTCTCCATGCCCAACATCTTGGCCGGGGTGAGAGTAACGGCACTCAACGCCTCGGCTGTAGTCGCCGATGTCCATCGTCGGAAATTATTCACGCATTCAATCAAAGTCGCAGAACTTCCGGCGATTTTATCGGATCCTTCGAGCGTGAGTCTTACGCCCTTTTTAATGATTCGATCACCGTTCGTCCAGTCGTAGACTCCATCCGGTAAACCACACAGACGCATCGCGTCAGTCACGAGAATGAGTCCCTCGCTATGCGCATTGTACGCAATCTTGATAGAGGTAGGATGTAAATGGATCCCGTCGGCAATAACCCCAAAGTAGGGTTTTGGTAAATCGCTCTGTCCCAAGAGACCAAATACGCCGGGATTGCGATGATAAAAGGGACGCATGGCGTTGAATAGATGGGTTATCATTTTTGCGCCCTGGCCCACGGCGCTCATGGCTTGTTCGTAGGTTGCGTCTGAATGGCCGATGGAGTAGATTATGCCACGGGATGTGAGGTCGGGGATGTTTTTAATCATGGTGCCTACTTCGGGGGCGGCGGTGATCATTTTAATTGCTGGTCTTGCGGAACCGTGTTGGGTGTGACCATTGGTCAGACCGTTTGCGTGAATGCTCTTGTGAAGGGATTTGGCAATTGGCGTTGCTGGTGTTGGCGTCGCGACGCCTTCGTCAATAGTGCCATTCTCATCATGCGTAATCACCTCGGGGATGTTTTCACGTCCGTAGCAATTGATAATATCCTGAAACCCTTCTGTTGAAGCTAATAGAACCTCAGGCTTATGAATCCCATTTCGCGATGGACTGATAAATGGACCCTCGACATGTGCCCCCAAAGATTCCGCACCATCTTCCGGTCTACGTCTCCCCGTCGGCGCAAGAGAAGGAAGAACCTTTTTATAATTCTCCGCCGTTGTACTCACAGTCGTCGGTAGGAAAGAAGTCACACCAGTCTTGATCAAGCCGCGATTCGAAGCAATAAATCCCGCATCGTATTCTTCCTTCGTGGCCTGAGGAACAGAGTAATCAAACCCCTGGGCACCGTTGAGTTGTACATCGATAAAACCCGGTGCGAGAATGCGACCATTTAGGTCGATGACTTGATCCGGTGAGAGATGGAGTTCATAAAAGGCTTCTTGGTCCTTGAGGACTTTGCCGGTTAGGGAATCGATCCAGAGGTCTTGTTCGATGAGCTGGTTGGCTTTGAGAATGCGGCAGTTTGTGAATTTGGTGATGCACGGAGGCGATGTTGGCTGGCGGGTGGGCATGATGTCACTTGAATCTGCTTCTTGAGTATACCTGTATAACAAGGATGACAGTTGTGTATATTGACTTGTAGTATATTGATCCAGCTATGACTGAATAGAAAAGAGAAAAGAATAAAAGAAGAAAATAGCGGGCACCGGCCGATAAGTATAGATATGAACGCTTGTGGACCAGGCCAGGCACACTCCGAAGGTACGTAACAAGAAACAAATGGCTCCTCGGCACGATGGGACATGGAAAGACTCCGGATTGTGGTTGGATGATTCAATTATCTTACTCTTTGTATTGTTATCGTTGCGCCCTCAATTCAAAAACGGTACTGTCTGCTACGACGACATTTGCCAATACTACGGTACGATTTCCATGATAATCGGTAACCACTAGGTATTTACGATGTCGTATGTATTGATACGTAAAGATCTTTGCCACGAGGCGTGGCGTGACCGTATCGTGGTCGGAATGTCGGAGTCTAGTTGTCTACGCCGGATACGCCGTAAGGGATGCTTTCGGCAAGCCGGGTTGGTTTTGCAACTACATAGTAGGTGTTCATCGCCGTTTTTGATTCGGACAGTGAATCGAATGAGAGGTCATACTTATTTGCGGAGTGTGGTAGTGGGATGCTTGTATCGGTAAAACCGATACAGACGTCGCTGGTATCGGTAATACGAAGGTAATTTACATAGACATCCCTCACCTCGTACAATCATTTATCTTGTTGAGTATTTGAACATCACGTTCATGTACTTACAATATTGTTTATTATTAAGATCACTATTCGTCCCATCATGAAAATACATCAAAATACATCATGTAGATGTACCACGACTCCATAATAAAAGTGCTATGTGATATTGACAACGGCGGGGTAGAATGCAACCGTATCTTTATGATTTCATCCCATGTAACGCTTCAATGACTGATACTGGCCGAGGCGGGACGTGAATCAGTTCTACCTTCATTACGAAAAATGACTACTTTTCCTCCTATATATTTCCAAATCTCTTGCTTTGAGAGACATTATTTAGATGTTTGAATAGATGAAGCGAACAGAGCAGTAGCTAGAATACCGGGCCCGATATATCGGAGTAATGCTCAATGTTCTAGGATATTGGCTGAACCAGAGTACTGGGTCAACGTTAAGTGTAAATCTGCTCCACTGCGATCCATTAAATCAACTTATCAATCAGATTTAACGAATAGAATGTCACATCACAAGGGTAATCGTTGACATTGAAACACACTGTTGACAGCCCTAAGGGATACACTATCCAAAGGGCTACGCTAACCCACTTTCGGACAGACTAGCTGTTTGCGTGCATGATTGCCGCATGCGGTAATTTTGCTCTATCTCCATTTCTGGCCATTCATTCCAGCCCAGCCAAAATTCATGATCTGCCACTAGTATTCAGTATGGTTCAGCCTAGGAAAATCTCTAATTGCACCCGGGCAATATGTGTTGTTGTCTCTTGTGATAAATTCTAGACATGTCTCGCATTCCTGAGACATCAAGAATGCGCAGAACCGATCGAATCACGAGTCAGGTCTCATTGCAGCCGCTTCGGCTGAAATGCAGCCAGCCTGCTGCTTGATCGCATGCTGCAAATAAATTCGACTCCATTATTGATTCGCCCGTGGAACACTCGACGGTCTGAAATAATCTCCGTAAAAAACTATCGAAAGATCTGCAAGCCCGCTTTCAGTCTCCCGCCTACTTTTATCCAAGGCGATAGATACTATTGTTGTCTTGTCTTACCACTAAACCCACCTCGTCATACATATCGAATAGGTTTCTCTATGATTTGTTTCGTGCGTCGAACTTGGCAAAATTGCAGAATGCACGAATCAGAATCCGCCTTTCTTGTATCAGTGTATCTTGCTTTTTGATCCTTGTTCATACTTCGTAAGCTCCTAACTAATCCGGCGTGCTTTTAGTCAGATTGTTCGGATCGATTGAAATGTTGTAGCTCGTGACTGACTCTACTTGCATGTTTTTTTGTCTTGGTCCGCTGCAGTTCATTTACTTTTGTACACTGTGTGCACCACCTGTCTTCGGCGGATGCTTATCTTGAGTCTCACTGTTTCGTTTCTCTTACATGTCAATATTCATTACGGCCGATCATCCTGAACATAAGTTAAGACTATTTTCGACCACAGGAACGTCGAAAAGCTTTTATACAAGCCTCCATCTTCAACAATTGCCAAACTGGTAAATCAGTCATAATGACCGCCGAGGATGAGAAAGAGTTCTCCAAGCCTATACACGAAAATGACAACACTACCACTAAAGAACCATCCCAACATCTAGCATCAGGAGAAATGCAAGCGCAAGCACATCAACCGACCGGCGAACAAGTCGTGCCCTCAGTACAAGGCAAACCGTGGATGTACAAACCCCTCAAACTCGGACCATGGACACTTCCGTGGTATGCCTCTCCCGAAACTCAATTACTAATGGTCTCGTTCGTCTGCTTCCTCTGTCCAGGAATGTACAATGCCGTCAATGGCCTTGGAGGAGGTGGGCAAGTCAATTTCCGCGACGTGAATAATGCAAACACCGCTTTGTACAGTACCTTTTCAGTGGTGGGGTTTTTCGCGGGATCGATTGCGAACAAAATCGGGTTGAAGTTAACGCTTTCCTTTGGCGGATTCGGGTATTTTTTATACGTCGCTTCGTTGTTGTCGTATAATCATAACCAGAATGTTGGGTTTTTGGTGTTTGCGGGTGCGTTGTTGGGTGTTTGTGCGGGATTGTTGTGGTGTGCTCAGGGGGCTGTTATGATGAGTTATCCGCTTGAGAGTCAAAAGGGTTCGTTTATTGCTACCTTTTGGATTATATTCAATCTAGGGGGAGTTATAGGAAGCTTGGTATGTTCACGTACTTACAGATTGCAACCTGTTACTGACAAATAAGGTCCCCCTCGGCCAAAATATACACTCAACAGCCGGTGAAGTTAATGACGGAACGTACATCGCATTCATGATCCTCATGGCAATCGGCTTCATCCTTGCTTGGGGCCTATCAGACTCGAAATATATCAAACGCAAAGACGGGTCAAGAGTCATCGTCATCAAGCAACCCACATGGAAGACCGAGATAATGGGTCTATTCGAAACCCTCCGCTACGACTACTATATCATCTTGCTTTTCCCCATGTTCATGGCCAGTAATTGGTTTACAGCATATCAATTCAACGCGATGAACGGCTCTTACTTCAATATCCGTACTCGATCACTGAACAGTCTGCTGTACTGGCTCAGCCAAATGATTGGCGCTTTCGTGTTTGGGAAATTACTTGACCTCAAGTTTTTGTCGCGGACTATGCGAGCAAAGCTGAACCTAGGCCTTTTGTTTGCGCTCACAATGGGTATTTGGGGAGGAGGTTATGCCTTCCAGAGGCAGTATGACCGTCAGACAGTCAAGCCTGATATGGACTGGAGTTCGCCGGGTTATGTTGGACCCATGTTTTTGTACATGTTCTATGGGTTTTATGATGCTTCTTTCCAGACATGCACGTATTGGTAAGATGCTCCATAATAATGGACAAGGGAATAGTGCTTACCGATCTATAGGTTCATGGGCTCCCTGAGCAATAACAGTCGGAAACTCGCCAACTTTGCTGGATTCTACAAAGGTATCCAATCTGTCGGCCAGGCCATTACTTGGCGGTAAGTCTTATATCTTTATCTGTGTCAAATAAATATACTGACTGCTTTCAGTATGGATGCACTGGAGACATCTTTCATGCGCGAATTCGCAGCTTGCTGGGGCATCCTCGCCGGATCCCTCGTGATTGCATCACCTGTAGTCTTTTTCAGGATCAAGGATCATACAGACGTTGAAGAAGATCTGAAATTCTCGGACGAGACTCTGAACGAGGTTGCTCCTACTGCTGTCGTGGAACAGAAGTAATTTCTTACTGGTTGTCGTTGATAGTCATGCTTTCCTCGAGGCCTCTTCTTTTGTATCGCTACGTTACCATGCTCGATCGCTTATGGTGAACTACCATCCTTATGCCATGCATTCTCGTTTCTTAACTTTGGCATTGCTTCGCATTCTACCACTCGTTAACACTGTATTGTATGGGAGGGATTTCTGGTCTTTATGTAATTATATTCTCATAATGTACCTAGAACAGAGCTTGACTTTCCAGGGACATGTAGGATACCAGAACCAAATACTGAACATACACCCATCCTCGCAACCTTTCAAACTAAAGCGACGCCCTGATCTTTCCTTGTTCCCTCTGTACCTCCTTTTGAGCTCGCTCTCTCAAGAACCGTCTCAATATCTTCCCACTAGGATTCTTTGGTAATACGCTTACAAACACCAGACCGCCAGTAATCCTCTTATGCTGCGACAGCTTCGAATTTACTTCTGTAGTGATCCGCTCCGCCGTCGACTTTGAAGCTTCAACACCATCCTTCAGCACAATATATGCACGAGGATGTTCTTGTCCATTAATTGTAACGCCCACGACAGCTGCGTCGGCGACGCCTTCAGACTCGAGACAGACCCCGTCTAATTCTGCAGGCGCCACCTGCATACCTTTTACTTTGATGAGTTCTTTCAACCGTCCACTGATAAAGAACTTGTTCTCGTTGTCGTAATAACCAATGTCGCCCGTACGTAGCCATCTGTCTGGTGTCAATATTTCGGCAGTTGCTTTGGGGTTTTTCCAGTATCCCTTCATAATCTGAGGGCCTCGCACCCAGAGTTCGCCGGCTTCATTCGGTCCTACTTCTTTGGCCTCTGACGCGGTAGGCCCGGCGGAATGTTCATCGGGTAGGGACATGATTTTTGCTTCCGAGTTTGCAGTAGGCCAGCCTACACTGTTGCTGGTGCTGATTTTACCTGCGTCCCAGCCGAGTACTGAGCATGTTGCTCTATTCCTTGTTAGTACCGTTCTAACAACTAGTGAAGTGAAATGGTGACATACTCGGTCATCCCCCATCCTTGATGGATATTAATTACCCCCTTTGGCCACAACTTCTCAACTTCCTCAGATACCTCCCTGCTCAACGGCGCAGCTCCAGATCCGACGCTTCGCACAGAGCTAAGATCGAACTTCTTCACCTCCGAACTCTTAGCCAGCATGACCACAACAGGCGGGACGAGCTGCAAGTGCGAAATCCGATACTTTTCAACATTCTTCAAAACAGTCAGAAAATCGAACTTTTCCATGATATACACCGGTGTGCGACGGTATTGAGACACGCCCAGGAATATCATTTGCGCCATGGCATGGTATAATGGAAGAAAACAGAGCCATTGTTCTTGACTTCGATATTTCAATTCGTATTCCATATCTTGGCACATGGAGTTGTTGTATTGCAGGATGTTGGCGACATAATTGCCGTGAGTTATTTCGACGCCTTTGCTAAGACCTGTCGTGCCTGAGGAGTAGTTCAATGCCATTACCGTATCTTGAGCTTCGTTGGGACCCATCAATTGATCCCATGCAAAACCTCCACCTTCTGCTTCAGATACAATCAATGAGCTCCAATGAGGGCGGCCAAAGTCTTGGTCCTCCTGCTGCACCTTTAAAGGTTGCCCAAGTGCAAAGTATCGACTGTCAAACATAAATGTTCGCTTTTCATGGCCTTTCCCTACTCTCTTCGCTGCCTCCAGGCATGTCTTCATCGCATCACCGCCTTGACTCAGCACATATTTTGGATCTGCATCTTTGATCTGATGCGCCAATTCCTGCGTTGTATAACTTGCGTTACAGCCGCTGAATATGCCACCAGCCATTATCACGCCCATAAACACAACGGGATAGAAAAGATTATTTGTACTGAATACGACAACCCTGTCGCCTTTGTTGAGACCAGCTTTTTGCAGACCAGCTGCGAAGCATTGGCTCCATAGTCGAAAGGTGTGGCGAGTAAGATAGTGCGTTTCTGGTTTGACATGGTCGAGGAAATATGGCTTGTCATTAGGGAGGACGTCTTCTGGAGAGCCGAAAAGGAGGGTAGGGAAGCTCTGTTGAGGGATGTCAATTGTATGTTCAGATTTGACCACCATGTTTGCTACTCAATTAATGAAGGATGTCGAAAAAGGAAAATTGCCTTGATGTAGTGAAAGAAGTCGTAAGGAGATCTCACTGGGCGGGTCGAGGAAGATCAAACGAGGGAACCTGCGGAATAGCCCAAGTACGCAATAATATATGGACAAACAGACACAAATATAGTTTCTTTTTCCTTGCAATAGATCGGCGAGATTACTTTTTTCCCCCTCAATATTCTCTTTGTGTATACTACTAGGTAAATTATCCATAAATAATCGCTCCGATATGGGCTAAGAACGATCTGTAATACAGGAAATTAATGCGGGGAAAGCTCTTCGTCTCTCACTAACCCAAATTCAGGCACAAACTATTTATTTTTGTGTCGATAGTTCTGGTCTCAGCCAATAGAACTTTTTTGTATTGCCCTTATAGTTGTTCTAAAAGGGTCCTGTACGTCACTTGATCAGTATTTCTGCCGGGTATGTGAGATGCTGCCGAGGATGGTCGGTAACCAATAAATATAAAGGCATTAAGACCACAGGTCCTTGCATTAACTAGCGAAGATATTTACGTTACGGACGGAGGAGCTATCGTAAGGATGAGTTAGGGTTACCATGCAGAACCCTAACCCTATGGTTACACATATCCAAAAGGGAATGTATACATAGTAGATACCGTCCACCAAGATCTTATGTGTATGTCCTTTGTCCACATCAGCGAATCACAAAACCCCTGCTGCAACTACTGTGACTCTATCTCTTGCTTTGGACCCTATTGAAGCGCTCTCCATTGGTGGTTTATTCTTTCTTTGAGCAACCTACAAAGGAGAACCGCTATCACAAAGAAACTGTGATCGAAAGCATTGTTTCTTCATTTCCGCTTCAACCGAGGCATGGTAGTGTTTATTTATGTGCCTGCTTCTGAGCTTCCTCGAGTCGTCTGTTCCTGAAGTCATAAAATTAATAGCGTTATCTGCTTTTGCTTTCAGTCAAGCAAGCTTTCATCGTTTAGCGAGTCAGTCCATCAACTCGTTCAAAGATAAGAGCAAAGATCTGTCGATGATGGCCCCATCCGATAACTACACCACATCTCTACCTTGAATTCGTCTTAATGTAGTTTCTCTCGTCCAGTCTAAAGTGAGGCCGAACGAAAAAAAAAAAAAAAAAAAAACAAAAACGACGAAGCCGGCTCGGTCTGAGAGTGATATCAGTTGAACCCTATGCAGATTTCAGAGAGAGTTCGAACACTGGATGAAGAATTCTCCAGGGCAAGTCGGCCTTCTTCCAGATTCTATTGGCAACATACGCCGATATCTTGCGTCAACTGAAGATCTGTCATCTGTGTGGCCAGGATCTTTGCAGTTGTCAAATTCGTAGTAATCCACCGTGTTGCGTTTCGGGGATCAGAGGGACTGTGAGCTGTCCTTGAGTAGAATCTCGGGCGCAAACCTCCAGAGAATGAGAACCGGCACTTTTACGTAAGTATAAGTTTGAGTAAGTGATCTCGAAAGCCCTATATTATGGGACTATAGGCCGCTCAGTTGAAGAATGTAAAAGAAAGGCTGAACTGCAGAAGCACACGAATTTCATCCTGTCGCGAACGCCTATTTCAGAAACTTGAGCATTCCAAGGCCGCACTCTTAGTGGGTCAATACAGTGGCATCAACGACATGCGGGCATCGAACTTTTCCAAGACATGTTTCTTCTTTCCCTCTTCTTATTTTCTTTACTTTGTCCGTAAATGAAGGTATAGCTAATGCCTTGTTACAGCTACCATGACAAATGAGCCCTGAAACACCCTGAATGACAATACCGCATTCGCCGAAATGGAAGTAGCCGTAAAGAAACTTCGGGAATCTGCTGGAACCAACGGTGTCGACAAGTTTTTGACCAGAGCTAATAGCCCATTATTCAGTTCGGCATCTGCTGCTATTAGATCTCACTCCTGTCCCAGAGGAATAGTATGGCTTCTGAATGAATAGACGGCAAGGGTACCGTACCGGGCCGTTTTGTTTAAGATAATAGCAGGATGTAATCCGACGGTACTGATCTCTCGATTAAGAAGAGTTGTACTGGTCCATAGTCCATTACACGCTTCCTTATTACATTGCAATCTTTGCTATTATTCTTAAATGGGCGGTTTCGTCAGGATTTAAGACTTTCTCGCCAGTCTCACTGTACCTCGGACTCTGTAACCATATTTTTTTTAGCATGGTAAACAGGATTTCTGAATCAGTAAAGCTATATGTATCCTACCTAGCATGCATGGGTATAGAAGGTCTACAGCAAGTGTCTGATTTCAGCACTTACCAGCAACATTGAAGTCACGGACGTGCGATTTGTTGTCAATGGGGGTTGACAATTATGCTCTATTTACACGGTATAAAACCTAACATATCTGAAAAAAAAGCACCAACTGAAACTTACAAAAAGAAACAAGCTAGTAATTTGTAAATCATCACTGAATATGTTCCAGAGTTTCCACCGATCATCGCTACTTTCTAGATCATGATCGTCGATCTATAGCCAGCATAATATCCCTCCCAAAATTGGTAATTGATACCTAGCTGAGCTCAACGGTCAATAGACTAGCATGAGTAAAAGGATAATCGCATGTGAAATTTGACGTCATCTAATGGCTATTAGCACATGTAGTTTAAATGCTTGACTATATCAAAAGTAGACTAATACAGTTAAGTTAGCCTTAGGGCTAAATACAACAACTAACACACTCAAAAGCCTTGACATGTGAAAATTGCTGCTGTCTAGAATCAAGACAATCAGCATAATAAAAGATACCTCAGATGACCTTTTACTACTGTAGTATTTGTTTCTATTAGTCCACAACGCGCTAAAGGACAATCAATTTGCATGTGAAAATTCCAAAGTCTGTCTTCTCTGGATCTGACCCCCTACTTCAAGAGTGCATACACACCATATTGAAATCATTGGGTCTAATAACTGTGTATGTGACTGGATATGCATGAAGATGTTTACGTGTCATCGAGCAGAGTATGTACGCACGTAACATACTATTCGGCATGCCGATCCACGTACCTCGGTATGCCTACCGAGGTTTCTATCTCTCTTTGCATAGACAGACACATTCATGTTCTGCTAGTTATTTTGGGGTTACATGCAAGTAGGCTCTTATGAGTAGTAGTGTATTTTCAATAATTTAAAAAATTATGCCAGTATCAATAGCAAGATCTCCGTGTAGAGATTAAACCCTAGAACCAATCCCACAAAAACCACGCACCTACACTGCACTGCCTCATGTAAGCCAACCTCAACAACCCCCCTTCCAACGGTTCTCTCCAGGTCTTTAAATCTCCGTCAAAGCCACCCCCATACCGACTCCTTAATTAATCTCGGGACTCGGTTTTCGGCTTTCCGATACGACCGAGTGAGAGCTCAACGCAGCGAGTGTTGGTCCGTGGATACCGGCTTACGTACGTACGAGTATGATCTTCTCTTGTTCTCCGTACCCAGTCTACAAATTGAGTTAATAGTTTGTGGGGTGTGAGTGGGAAGGCCATGTGACTCCTATTCTGGAGTCTTGTGGGGATGAAGAATTAACTTACAGATTGAGGTAAGTGCTCCGATGCATCATCTTCAAGTCTCGGAGAAATTTCAGAATAACAAATAAGTTAGATTGTTGATGGATGAATAGATTGCCATCAAATGAATTATGTACAATATGAAAAGAAAGTACACCTTGCGCTAAACCCGTCCAGACTTTTGTATATGCCAGTCCCATGCCAATGACAAACCGAATGTCGGTTGTAATACATTCTCGAATAAAATCATATTCACAAAACCCTGTGTAAAATTATCATAACTCATACCACAAAAAAGAAACCGCCTATGCAAGTCATATAAACCATCTCATAACTTCAAAGTCAAACCCATGTCAGGGTCGACATCACCAGAAAACCCATCGTTTCGTTTAGAATAATCATAACTAAACAACGTATTCACGTTGCTGTCGTTGGCGAAATCAGGAATATAATCAAAGCCAGACTTTCCCTGTGTCTGAGGCTGTCTCTGACTTTGATGGCCGTCGTGCTGGTGATTGTTGCTGTTGTGGTTACTATTGAACGTAAAAGCCATGATCCCATCTTCGGCGCCGAATAATTCGGGACCACCATCGTCGAAATTGAGAAGAGCATCAAAATCATTCTGAGTTACTTCGGCGTCGTTGGCCAAGTCGATGAAATCATTGAGGCTCATGTCAGGCTGTTGTTTGAAGAGATTCGGGTTGAGGTTTTGTGTACTGCCGTTTTCGCTGCTGTTGGAGTGTGGTGGTGTTGCAACATCGAATGGGTTTATTGTAGTGTTGTGGCTTGGTTCGGCTGGGATAGTGAAGCCGGCAGATGGTGTGTCGAATGTTGAAGGATAAGTAAGATCTGGCAGCTTCTGTGCCGATGACTCTGGAGGCGGTGTCAAGGCTGCGGGACGGACAGTCTGGGCAGGAGGAGGAGGATGGACTGGCTCGTGTTCGTCCAGATCGGAAAGATTAAGTGAAATACCGGCTTTTCGAATAGCAGCTTCTAAGAATGAAGTGGCAAAGTCGGCAGATGCGTAGATCTCACGAAGACGCTGTAAAATTCGCATACATTGGTAAAATCGCTGCAAACTAACCATGCGCACGTTGGCGTCGTTGGACTTGACATCAAGCAAATGTATGATAACAGCGGGCAAGAGAACAGTGACTCCAGCAGTTGGCAGAAACCGAGTAAGATTGAGTTGATGCAGGCGTTGTGCAGTGTTGGTAATCTCAATCGCCGCGTAACGGACTTTATTGCGCGAGATTTCTTGCAATGCAGCCTCGACAGCTGGGAAAGGCATCGCTGGAAGCACTTGTGGCCGGTGGAGAGCACTGGAAGTAGTAAGATAAATCATTCGAAGTAAAGCGCGATGCACTTGTAATGAAGATTCGGCTGGCGAAAGAGAGTCAACGCCCTCAAGAGATGTGTACCGAATCTCAGAAGGCAGATTCGCTTGCCATTTTTCCAACTCCTCATCGCACTTTTGAACTTGTATCGTTCCAGCCTCCGATTTCTTTGGTACAAGCATCATGGTAGTCTCGGTCGTACCTCCAAATCGATGGCTGAGAACAGAGTACTGAGCTGACAAAACGTGGCTCACGCAAAGACAAAGCTTAGCCTTTTCAATGAACATCATGGCCAAATGTCGTTGGTGCTCGGTATTTTGTAGGAGTTCGCAGTCACCCAGCATGTTCAACACCTCAGGGGGGAATCTTTTGAACTCAAAGTCGTCGAGAGTCAACATTGGCACATCACAGTCATCGTCTTTTACTCTCATCGGTCGGCGCATGCCCAAGGCAATCAATCGGTCTCGTGTGTATGTACTCCACCAGATCCGTTTCCATAGCTGTTTTCGTCGTGGTCCCATGCCCGAGTTGCTGGGGTCACGGTGAAGGCCGATGGTATGGGCCAGAGACAAGCTCACGCCCATCCAATGCCAGGTGTCCTTTTGGTCGTCTGGTGTTTCATACCAATAGGTCATAAGCAGGAGCGACTGGACTAGTGAGATGCGATCCACTTCGTAGTCAAAATCATACAACAGCTAGGATAGTCAGTATGTATACGAACACGGGGCATCACAATCAACGTACTCTTGCTCTTTGGAAGAATACTTTGCGGGCAGTCTTTCGACTATTATATCCCGCATTACGTAACGCTTCCATTTCTACGAAAGCAGTTCCAGCAAACATGACAGCTTGAAACAAAAGCAAGCTGACGTGATGAGTTCCATCGTTGCGGGCAAGAATTTGAAGGAATTCTTCCAAGTCGAGTAGAGGCATGTATGGATGCACGTAGTGGATATATGCTTTGAGCAATGCATCTCGCAAGGCTCTATCCGGAATAGTCAAGGCACCTTTTGCTTGTAAGTAGTTAAGGTCCTCGGTCTGTAAACGCTGTGGCAGACGCCTGATGTAGTCCGGCAGCTGGTTGGATTGACTCGGCGGGGTAAGTAATTGATGTATGGCGTCAGCAAAGCTTGGCCCTATATTAGCTGCAATTGACAGTGACTGGGAGTAATTTGAGCGCCGTTCTGGCAAATTTTCATTATCAATGTGCGAGCCACGTGATTGATCTGCGAGAAGTGTCAATAGAGAGAACCAGCAACTCGGAAGAAGTACTGACAGATAAAATGTGGCACGTGCTGTCCTTGATCCAAATCAATGGATTCTTGGAATGGCGACAAGGGATCGTCCTTTGTGAGACCATCGAGACCTGATTGATCGAGTCCATCCAGGCCATGGCTGGAAGTGCGGCGTTTCGCCGCATCTTCAGACAACTCGGTGGACGAGTCTGGGGTGGTCTTGACAGCCTCAGTCTCAACACGGAATTTCCTGCTTGGATCAGTACCGTACTCTTGATATGCAGTGGATATTACTAACTTTCTTCGTCGACTTTCAGTCACAACGCATTCTACCTGGTCGAGACGACAGTTGGTACAAGGTGAGCCATTTTCCACAACGTCGCAACGGACTTTGCGTGCGCGGCAGCAACAGCAAGCACGAGAGGCTCTTCTCTTGATCGGTCGATTTCCTGCCGAAAGACCGGCAGCGGAAGCCTTTCGCTTATTCTGTGATGACGCCGTCTCCGGCGGAGGAGAGGAAGTGGTGGAAGCCATATAGTGAGTGGAGAGTGTGCCAGATAGTTCGGATGGCGTTCACATCAATGCAATTGCAACATGTATTCCATGAAGGAAATTGACCGAGCCGGTTTGAAGAAGATCAGAATAAAAAGAAAAAGAAGAAATTTAAAACCGGGGGCGGGGCCGGCGTCTTTTTATCTCTTGTCTCAATCCAGAAATGAGGAGGATCCCTCCCCCATGTTCGGTTCTCCATCCTAAGCTAGTCTCTGTCAAGGAAGGGCCCACCCTGAGCCACAGTGATGACCAAGTGCTCGCGCATGATTGCGCGAATGAGGTAGTTTTTGCCTCCCCCGGATGAGAAGTGGGCATGGGCGTTTTGGCGAGCAAAGGAACGGACGGACGGGAGTTTGGACTCTGACAATAATGCTGGGCGGCGGGGACTACGTCGTGACGGAGGATTTCCGCCAAGGCCCAATTCGGACTAGTCTCCTGGTGGCCGAGCTGCACAAAATTCCGCGCTTAATTGCCACTTTTGGGTTAGTGCGCATGCTACTCCATCTTACGGAGAATGTGCTGAAGCCAATCATCCGGTGGCATTCATGCTACAAGGTCCCTTGTCGGCAGCTTCGTACGTAACAAGAGATGATAATCAACTGCACAGGGAACGCGGTCTAGAGGAATCTGATCTCCACGATCGTTTCTTTATCACAAGGGGGAGCCACTTAAACAGCCAAAGCCGACGACATGATTTGACGCTCACGGTTCTTTAAGCCGCTCCACAGTACAATTCACCATACAACGGGTCTGCCGCCTGGATTTTCAGCAGATACAACGCCGACTTCAAAGGGCTTTTTCAGCACCTTCCGACAAGTTTTTCAGCTGCATTGGAATGATACTTCAATATTCTGTTGTCGTATTCTGGGGAAGTACTGAGGTAGAATGCTCAGGTCGGCGTGAAAGCCGGGGTCTCGCCAGGCTTTCTCAATAGGACCCGCCCCCGGCCGTGCCGATTTTGTAAGGGAAGACGGGGCGAATTTCCTGATTCGGCTTAGTCTATTACTTTCTATCGAGTAAGGGTATCGACAACTCCAACCCTCTTCATATCCAGATACGGTAGTACTCGTCGATTACCCCAGTCTTGCAAGAGTCTTGACGAAAGTCTTTTTTCTTGTTTTTCAGTGTTCAGTAGATCTGGAGAATGCTGTCCAGATGTAGCAATTTGTCTCTCGAGCGTTTCGATGCTCCACCACAGCCAATCACGGGAATAATAGTAAGCAATTATATATTTTGGGGTAAATCGACATGAGCTATTATTGAAGCATAACCCCCTGCAAATATCATAGTATGTAATGCTGTCCAATCACCTTCCGTAAATATTGATCCGAGAATCGGATATTTGCCACATCCGGGATAGTGGTATCGTCAAAAGATTGACAACGTTCTGGATCAAGGGGAGCCCTCGTGACCGATTCAGACTTTTTTGACCGAAGCCCGTGTCTGATTTCGTCATTGTGCGATTGCAAGAATGGATTACAAGCACTTCTTATATCACGCGCCCATATATCCATGTATGTAGCACTGCAGTTTGAGAAAAGGGATGTTTGCGCGAGCACGTGGTGCACCCGAAACGTTTATTGTCGATTGACGACTTGTAATTTTTGTTATCGGATAGCTGTAATTCACCGCATTTTCGCAGGACAATTCTCGCTTCCGGTAATGCAAATACCAAACCCCGGATCCGACGTTTCGGATCGAGTCACGATCTGTAAGTTTCAGTCCATCGTATGTTCCCCAGTCAAGCCCTTCCCAGCCCTAAATTGCCAATCAACTTACGATCGAGTTCTCCGGTTTTGCCATGAATTCCGGGGAATACTCACCTTAAAACACCCTCATTATTAATACGGAGTACTTGTGCTTAAGTCCAGGGATTGTTTGAGATCTCAAGCTTGGCCATGAGTTCCCCCGGTTTTTCCCTACTTATCTCCAACCCTTGTATATTAGGTATGCAAATCTAGACATTCGGAAAATTATCCGTGCATATATATTATGGATTGTTTCAAGCAAATGTCTAGATTTGGTAAATGGCTCAACCTTATATCTAGCATTATCAATTGCATTGTTAATGCGTCGGAACACTTGTATACTTCCACCGGAATCGGGATACGTGTTGTTAAATTGTACGTAACTCTACGCTAACAACTCAAAATATCTATTCTCAAAAGCCTCGCAATTTCCATATTCTCGAAACTCTAGATTACGATCAAGCCTGAACTATTAGTTGGTCCAATATCACATCCCTGAGACCGCTTCTTTTCGATTTCGTCCCTGAAATCCCGTTCTCTCCGCGGTAGAACCGACCTCCAGATCTCCGGATTGTTTGGAGAGATAAAAATTGCGGGATATTCCGGCTTGGATTCCTGATGTGTTGGCTCCGAATATTTTCTTTTACGCCATAAAACTTTAGCAGCAAAGGATCTAGCCTTCGGGAAATAGAGTTTGCGCGTGTCTGGATACGAAATTTCTGCCTTTTATCGGAAGTTGGTGACAAGGATGTGATTGAATATTCCGTGCAAGGCTGAGTTTTGTTGAGTGAAACGACGCAAAATGGCTGTCCGTGTATTTTTTCCAGAGGGGAGACTTCGATACTAATTTTCTTCCGCGGAATGATTGCCTAGCTAGGGTTTAGGGTTTTGTAGAGCATAGCCCCTTTTCCATGACAAGTAGTTCATCCTCATTGTAGATTGTAGTTAACTGGATCTTTCAATAGCAATTTGTAACAAAGAAGAGAAATGAAAAAGCATCAAGAGCCATTCAAGGCATTGCTAATAGTTTGCTCCGGGTTGACCATCAGATATTTCAATACACGACTGAAGCTAGCAGCAATTCCATTGATCTGGAACTCACTAACTCTGTCTTTCCAGCTGACCAGCTTAACTTGCCAATTGTTATCAACCTCGTCAATCACAAGTGAGACGTCATATTCGAATGGATCCTGTCCGTCGATGTATTCAAATCTCAAAGGAATGTCTTCCTGTGGTACGGGTCTTGGATATTTTCTAAACAAGAGTTAGCCATGCTCTATTTGTATTAAGCGGAATATGAGATATGTACCTGAAGTTGATCATTGTGTTAAAAAGCCCTCGACCTAAGCCAAGGTCTTTCTCAATTTGTTTAATCTCGCAAAACTTCCGACTCGAGCTTTGAATTGCGTCGTCGCGTATATCAGTCAGTAAATCACGCAGTAGCATGCTGTCCGATAGTTCTTTCCGACAGAGTAACATGGAGATCAATGGTCCTACGATGTTATCAACTCCATCGATTTCTAAATCTCGACCGGACACCAGATATCCAAAGCATACTTCAGAGCCAGCAAGATGACTAGAAGAGGAACGAAGCTTCAACACCAATGCCCATACTGTATGTATCAAGTTTGCTACTGTGACACCCTGTTGCCGGCAAAAGAGGGAGATCTCACTTGCGCCGGGAATCGTGACTGGGGTATGGAGTAGTTCCCTGGGTTGTTCTGTATGCTTGGATAATGACCATGGGATATAGCACGGAGAAGCACCAGCACAGTACTGTCGCCAGTAAGTCACATCTTGCTTTGCTTGATACCAGATACGCTGAAGGTATTGCGATAACTGTGGCGCCGGCTGGGGTGGCAGTCGACCATCGTACGCAAGTTCTAGGTCGCGGAATACTGTTGCCAGACTGACCGCATCTATGATGGCGTGGGAGATTTCGAGATTGAGGACTGCTTTTCCATTCTGAGCTTTCCCAACAGTTAACCGATGAGGAATTTCGCCTTCAGGCCAGACTGGATGAGGTTGGATGGATTGATCCACCGCCAGAGTACTTGTTTCTGACTCCAATTCCTCGTGTAGGGTTTGCACCGGCGTGTCTAAAATGCGCTGTACACGTTGTCCCGTTTCATTGGAGAACTTGAACGTAGTTCTCAGAGCATCATGTCTCAGTATGACTTGAGACCAGGCGTCCTTGAGACGCTGGATATCCAGTGTCCCTTTACAATTAATGTTGAAAACCATTTTCACGTTATACAACCCTTCCGCATGCTTTTGAACCATTGCCTGCTGCAGAGGAGTACATATGTATGTATCCTTGCTAAACATGCCACTGATTGTGTTGATATCTTCGGTCCCTCCATTGACCTCATTCGGATGATTGCCGTTTATGTGTTTAGTACCATTGGCTAAGTGCCCATTGCTGTTACCCTGAATCTTTTCAGCCACATGGGATATTCCCTTTGCAAGTAACAAGTCTTGGATACTAATATCCAGTGACTGTTTGCGGCACTCTTTTACCACCCGAATCGCAGATACCTGTTTCTGTTTTAGCAATAGTGGAAAAAATCATGATGAAGGGAACTTACTGAATCGCCGCCATAACTCAAAAACGATTTGTTGGAGACGATATCAGCCTCTGGAATGGTAAGCACACTGCTCCATATCTTTGTGAGAGCGATTTCAACGTGTCCAACAGGTTTTGGTCCGTCACTATTACCATTCATTGCATGACCGGAATAAGCCTGGAGCAAGTCCTGTTTGGACAGATTATCGATCCACGCCTTGACAGTTTTGCGACTGGTTTTGCCAGAAGTTGATAGAGGGATATCATTAACACAAAGCCAAATGTTAGGAATGGCATAGGACGGAAGATGTTCTTCGAGTGTGGCTTTGACACGCTGAATCTGATTCCGAGATTTTTCCGATGAGTTTATTGTGAGAGGTGGTAGATCTGTCATTGCCCCTTTGGTATTTAGGGAGAGTACCGCAGTGAATTGAGTGGAAGCACCTGAGCTCCGGGAGACAAGGACTACGGCGTGTTTCACTGTTGCAACCGTTTGAATCCAATGCTCTACATCTTCGACCTCAATGCGTAGACCTCTGATCTTGACCTGAAGATCTTTCCTTGATACGTATTCCAAAAGGCCGTGACGGTCGTACCGGACGAGATCACCCGTCTTGTAAAATGTACGTCTATCTGCAGATGGAGGCTCCCCAAAGACGATTTGTGACCAAGAAGGAGACTCAATGAATGCAGCTCGAGTACGAGATCCATCACTCAGATATCCGGACGCCAGAATCGGCCCAGAGACAAGCATTTCTCCTACAGTCCCTACTGGTGCCAATTTATCATGATTCTCGGGATCAACAACAAAAGCATTACATCCAATAGGCCGGCCGATCTTGTTTGCAGAATCAGGTGTGTCGATGTCCCGAGTGACGCAGAACACGCATGCTTCTGTAGGACCGTATCCATTCATAATCCGGACATCACCAGTATCTTTCCATCGGGCTACATCCCCACTACCGACCTCTTCGCCGCCAAGGACCAATGTTCGCAACGTAGGCACCTCAGAAGGATCAAGAAGTCTTGCAACACTTGGAGTCAAGAAACTCCAATTGGCCTCCAGAATGCAAATCTCTGCGGCAAGATTATTGAGCCGACCCCAAGACGATGGTACGCATACTGTGCCTCCAAACACCAGAGTTGTGAATATCTCGGCAATGCTGACATCAAAAGTGTAAGAGCAGAACTGTAGTGCGCGTGTACCCTTTCCAAAGCCCATGGCGTTACCATGAGCGTTGACAGATGATGATATTGCACGATGAGAGACAACGACACCCTTTGGGATTCCTGTACTGCCTGATGTGAAGATGGCGTACGCCGGATCGGCAACAGTGCTATTGCCCTCAAACCCTTCTCCTGTCTCATTTAACAGAGCAAGACTGTCAACGTGCTCTCGGTCAACCTGACGCGGTTTTTTCAGATCAGTTATGTGTATGTACTTTGACGAAGAAAGAATGACGGAGGCCCTTATTGCTCGCAGGATTAGGTCTCGACGACTGCTGGGAGACTCCGGATCGATGGGAACAAACGCTGAGCCGCTTTTGAGCACAGCAATCATGGCCACAATTGCCCAGATGTCCTTATCAAAGAACAGTGGGATGAATATCCCTGGGCCTGCGCCAGCTTTGACCAGGTCATGGGCAAGCCTGCTCGAGAAGTCGTGTAGTTGCTTGTATGTTAATTCTTCTCCCCATGAAGAAGTGATTGCAATTTTTTCGGAATATTCGCCAATCCTTTTGAAGACTTGCTCATGCAAAAGACAGTTCACGACTTCCGGGGTTGAACTTTCGGCAATCTCATTTTTAAGTTCCAGGATATCGCCCGGGCTAATCAAGTCTATCTTATCCAGTACTGTCGAAATGTCTATTGACGATATTTGCGCAAGAATATGCTCATAAAGCCTGATGATTCGCAACGCTTCGATCTCGTGAATACGAGATTCATCGAATGTTACACCTACAAGGACATCATCACTAGCATCGTCAAACGAGCATTGAACCACTAGTGGATAAGTGAAGAACTTTGATGTATCGCCTTGAGCCTCAGAGACCCAAAGTTTAGAAAGATCCGTATTCTCTCCTTTGGGCTGAAGGACAAGGAGATTCTGGAAATTGCAAGCTTCAGGAGAGATAGAACGGATAGTATGTAGCCCGGTATGTCTGTATTCATGTCAGTCTTGTGTCTAAGAATCCTTAAAAAGAAGCGGGATATAACTTACTCATAGTCGATCATCTCTACCGACTGGTCCTGGATGCGGTGCAGGAAGTCTCCAAGTTTCTCTTTAGCATCCACGTTCACTCTAATAGGAACCGTAGTGAGTGTTGGTCCAATAAGATCTTGAATCCCAGGCATTGCAACATTTCTTCCGGCCAGAGTGGCCCCGAAAACAACATCTTGATTTCGAGTGTAGCAATTCAGTAGTACAGTCCATGCAGCACGAAGTATTGTTGATTTGAGAATACCCGGGAGTGTCTCCGGCTGACGGAGCAAGAAGGAACGTTCTATTTGAGACTGGTTCCCTGGTTTCTCGCCAGGAAGGAGAGGTGCAGGGAAATGAACAAAGTCTGCATCCTTGAATTGTTTGGTCCAGTACTCGCTGACGTCAGATGGGCGGTTACGCAGGGTATGCTGAATGAATGTATTGAACATTATATGTGTCGTTGTTGAGGGCATCGCATGGTAAGCATCATACACCTTCTTCAACAACAAAGGTATTGACCAGCCGTCATACAAAGCATGATGAATGGTCAAAATGAAGAATTGTTTGGAGGTTTTGAGATCTGAAACAAGGGTAAACTGACATAGACGGGTACCTAGGCCCATGGTTATGGTCTTGTTCTTGGACATGAAAGCAGCTAAATCATTAGCATGTTGCCATTCTATGTCTTCGGAGACAACTACTTGAAATGCCTCCCGTATGCCCGTTGGTTGGAATATTCTCGTGCGGAGGATCTCCTCTTGTTGGTAGACCTTTGCCCATGACCTAAAAAACCTTTCGATATCAACTCCTTGCGCTAGTTCGTATACCGTCCTAGATATGTAGGCTCCCGGTTCGGCCATGGAAAGCACTACCAGTCCTTCCTGTAGAGGGGTCGATGGGTAAATGTCCAGAATACTATTGCGAGCTACACTGCATGCCTCTGCAGCTTCATCGATAGTCGAATCCTTCCATGCATTCAATGTTTCATCCGTGTGCTCACCTCCCTCGATCAAGGAGAATGGTGCAATTGATGTAGTAGGCTTGTCCGTAGTAGATACCAGAGCAGCCGCTCCAGCCATATCTTGAAAACGGGGATACTGGAAGATGCTTTTAACGGTGAGGCGTAACCCCCGGCCACGACAGTACTGAGCGAGTTTCAAACTCAGAAGCGAGTTACCGCCGTAAGTTTTGATAAATTCGTCACCAGGAGTGATGGTGCTTTTGTCTGGAATACCTAATACCTCAGCCCATGCATCTGCCAAAATAACCTCAATCTCACGATTTGGACGCCGAACCATATCCACTGCGTCTATATGGTTTCTGGCCTTTGAGGGTTGACGAGCGTTTCTTGTCGGGGGATGGGGAATTGATGGCCGGATAACAGATTTCATATCTATCAAAGAACTGCCGGAAAGGACAGATGATACAACACGCTTCTCCTCTTCCAAACACAGGGTATGGATAAATCGTTCAAAGATATAAGCGAGCGAAACTACTTCGTCGTCACTGATAGCATTACTATCATAGCTAAATGCAGCATCCACATGATCTGCGTTGGTGAATAGGAGAACCATCAAGCAATGGCTGTTAAATCTTCCATAGCCACCGACTGAGTCATCAAAATGAAATAACTCTTGGTAGCTTTTGTCGTCTGGTGTCTGGACAAGGAGAATAGTCTGGAACAGACAAGCTGAATTGCATTCGGGAGTATACGCGGCAATCCTCTGCATACCCGTGTGCTCAAAAGGGATCGTCTCTATAATCGACGTCTGTATTCGTTCGAGATACTCCGCGACGCTGTTACTTGAACCATCGATAGGTCGGGTTGGAAGAGTCACGAACGTCGGTCCGATCACATTCTCGATATTTGATACGGGCGCGGTGCGGCCAGTAAGCGTGACACCCATGGCAACATCCCATGTTTTGGCCATTTTGACAAGAGACAGAGAAAGAGCAGCGCGGAGGAGAGTAGCGGTAGTTATATTGGATCCCAGTCTTCGGGTAAATTGAATATGCCTGTCATACACAGATTCGGGACGCGGACGGTAGTCGGGTTCTGGCAAAGGAGGATAGGGCACTAGCTTCCTAGTAGAAAATTGCTGGCGCCAAAACTTGGAAGCTGATGTTTGATCCACGCCTTGGGTATATTGTATGAACCGGTTGAAGAGGCCAATTTCCAGACTTGGAGCAATTCCATAGTATGCCTGAGTCACTGTGTTGAGCAGAGTAGGGACAGACTCCCCGTCGAATAGAGCATGATGAATCGTCCAGACTATCTTATCAGGCGTGATGATTTCGCCGTTCTCAGCTTTGGTTGACGGAATTATAGCATAACGCACCAAGGGACTTCCAAAAGCCAGGTTCTCCTGAATGTCTTCTTGAAGATATTCATCAAGATCAGTGTAACTTTGCCAGTCGACTAAGGAGCTTTTGATCACCACCTGAAAGGATCCAGAGGCACTCTCTATAAACCTGGTACGAAGTGTCGGGACAACACTGACAACAGTCTCCCATGCCTGACAAAACTTGTGAATATCAACATGCGGGTTCAGTGTCAGGATAAACTGACCCACATAATCACCATCCCGAATGAGTGATAGTGCCCACAGTCCCTGTTGTTGCGGTGCAAGTGGATATATATCCTCAATCTCATCTCTAGAAACATCACATTGAACAACGGCGTCAGAAATGACTGATTCCCTTACTGTGTCTTCAATGAGACTGAGCGGCGGAATCTTTGTATCAGAACCGCTCGCACGGGAGACCACTTGAGAAAGACTGCGTAAAGTTGGCGCTCGGAAAATATCGGCGTAGGAAATTGCAATTCCCTGGCTCTTAGCGGCAGCAGTGATTTTCAAGATGGTAACTGAAGATCCGCCCAAGGCAAAGAAATTGTCTTCAGGTCCAATTTGATTTGGTTCTAGAAACAAAGCGCTAGCCCATAATCGTTGAAGATCTGCCTCCATTTCACTCAGACCGTGAGAGATATCATGATTTGGTACTGGATCTTTGGCCTGCAGAAGACCTACAAGCTGGCTTCGAGTCAAATTGGATACCATCTGGCGCAGTTTCGCGCGGTCCAATTTTCGGGACGAATTATAGGGCATCTCATCAACGGGGATGTATACTCGCGGAACCATGAAGGCAGGTAATGCATCTGCCAGTTTGCTTTGAGCATATACTTTCAGTTCGTGTAGGTCTTGGCCAAAGTTCTTGGGAACACAAAAGAATGCGACCAGAATAACTTCTTCATTTTCCCCGGCCGGTCGAATAATGTCCGCAGATGCTTGAACTCCCTCTGGGAGACAGCGCCGAAGCACTGTCTCTACCTCTTCCAGCTCCATGCGCTGGCCGTACAGCTTGACCATTGTATCTTTGCGACCAACATATGTCATATTCCCATCTGGAAGATAACGGACCAGGTCCCCTGTTTTGTACATTTTCAAAGCAGGTCCAATGTTGGCCTGCAGGCGCCACTTGGGAGGTGAAATTAAAGACTGGTCCGTCTTCTCTTGGTTCTTAAGATAGGCGCGAAACAAACTGGTGCCTTCCAGCAGCAGTTCACCGATAGCCCCGATGGGCATCAAGCGTGTCTCGTCATCGGGACTCACAATCCATGCACGCATGTTAATTGGCTTTCCGATGGAGATAGTGCTTGAGAGACCGAGCTGTGGTTCCAAGAACCATGTTATCGACTCTGCAGGTCCGTATGCGTTCAGCACTCGGACTCTGTCCACCCAATCCCTCACATCGTCGACCGTTACTGCTTCTCCTCCGAGAATAAGCTGTGTCAAGCCGGGTGTATTGTACCTGCGGAAGAAGCGAGCAAACGAGGGTGTGAAATAGGCCCAGTCAACATTCATGCGGGTCATGCACTCTTCAACGTCATTGAGACGCTCCTCCTCGGAAGGTATACAGACGAGGCCACCATAAATTAGCGGGGAAAATGTTTCTGTGATACTGACATCGAATGTGTAAGCAGCCCACTGGAATAAGCGGATATCGCTCCGATTAATCCTTTGAAACGGGGCGTTTGCAAGAAGGCCGCTGCATACAGACGTATGGCTATGGATAATTGCCTTCGGATTTCCTGTTGTTCCCGACGTGAAAGCAATAACACAGGCATTGGAGGGTTGGACAAGAGATGTAGGGCGTATGCTTGGAGTCTCGAGATGATAAACAAAGTCAGCATCGACGATAAGACTGGGACATTTTTGGATCAGTCCAGAATGCGCTTCACAGCATAGCGCGATTCTTGCGTTCACAAGCTCTGTCATGTAGTCCCGTCGGGCTTGGGGATGTGCAGGGTCGAGACAGCAGTACGCTGCCCCTGTCTTTAGGACAGCAAGCATGGTCACAACTGCCCAGATGGATTTTTCGAAGCACAATGGAACTATTTTTTCAGGACCAAGGTCATAGGTGTTTACGAGATAATGCGCAAGTTTGGAGGAGTGTTGGTCCAATTCGGAATAGGTAAGACTTCCATCCCATGATAAAAGCGCTTGGGAATCGGGGTTTCGGGAGACTGATCGCTCGATGAGCAGATGGAGGCAATCTTCTGTAACAGTCGGGGTACTGGAGTTCCACTCAAAGATCTTCATCGCATCATTGGGATTAAGCAGGTTGATATCGGCGATTTTCTCATCGTCCTCGATGGTCAAAATGCTCTCGAGGGCCTGATGAAATGCTTTCGCAATGTTGTCCATATCTCTCGTGTCCGCGATGGATGGCTGGTAAAGCATACTAACAATCAAATTGGATGGTCCCAAGTTTACGTGAATTTCAACATCAAACTGCTTCAGTCAGCCTTGTGAAATAACTCGGGAAGGGATATTACATACGTCCTTGTCAAAATGACTATTCCTCACGCTACTACCCTCAGGTCTTGTGCTATGAGACACTTTTAGTCGACTCCACACTTTTCTCAGTGAAGCATCTACACCTTCCACTCCCGAATGGAGGAGAATAGTATCCTCTCCCGGTTCTTGCCTTCCATCACGCTGAAGAGTTGCTATGACCGGAGATTTTTTGATCAACTCTGGCAGAAAACTTATGAGAGTTTGAATGTTTCCATGGGTATCTTCTTCTTCGTACAGGAAGTCGCTGGTATCAAAATAACAATTCTGAATCAACGCCCAAGTGAGCTGGAATATTGTACGAGGCGTAACAGCATGGTCAGTGCAGAACTTTTCCGATGCCCCAGCAGAAGGAGTAGGGACTGTAACGGAGAGCATAGTGAAAAATCCCTAAAGTCATGACCTAGGTAGGTAGGGAGAATAACATTAAAGAGAAATACAGCTTTCCTACCTATAAATACTTACATTCAACTGATTCGTATGCTCGCAAAGTGACCATCCCGTATTCGACTAACCCTAATCCCACGTTGTCTTTTAGTGCTATATGTGCGGTGTAATGGAATACGAAGCAGTCAATACAGCTAGTTAGTTTTATGCATGCATGTTCAGCCAAGGCTGAAGTGTCTAGGGCGTACTCTATCTACTTTCCCCATCAGGTAGGCCTGTGCGCTTTTAGAATACCCGTGTCTTGAGATGGAGAATTTAAATTGGCCACATCCCGAAGACCCCTGTTATTTAGGCAGTTTCTACAGCTAAACATTTCATTATAGGAAAATACGCCATCCTTAGGTAGTATCGCGCGGATCTTACTACTGATTTGGTATTTGTTTCTTTGTCAGCAGGAGATGTGGCTGGATCAAGTCTGGGCGAAAACAAAAGACGGTCAATACCTAGGAGAAGTTCAGCCCTCTCTTCTCCTTCTCTCTATTTCACTCCTTTTTGTTGATGTATGTCTTTTGTGTCAAACCGTCAGTATGACCGCCGAAAACAAGTCTCCCAAACTATCCGTTCTCGAGAGAGATGCCGGTGGCACTTCAGACGAGTCTGAGGTATCGGCGACAGCAAGCAATACTGAAAGTACATCTGTGCGCAATACGGAGAAGGACAATGAGGCCGATGTTGAGAAGAATGCGAATCCGAGCCAAGTTACCTCTACAACCCCAACACCAGCTCCTGACGTGCAGGTGAAATTAAGTCGGAAGCAGCTCGTTGTTATGTGCATAGCTCTGGCTCTGACAATTTTCCTCATCTCTATTGATGAGACTGTGATTGTCACTGCGATCCCACGAATTACCGATGAATTTGACAGTATTCAGGACGTAGGATGGTATGGATCCGCCTATCTGTTGACGATGTGCTGCTTCCAGCTTCATTACGGCAAGTTCTACAAAGACTACCCAACTAAATGGGTATTCCTAATATCCATTGGTATTTTTGAACTGGGATCGCTGCTGTGTGGAGTGAGTCCCAATTCTGCTGTATTGATCTTTGGTCGTGCCATTGCCGGAGGAGGTGCCTGTGGTATAATCAGTGGTGTTCTCATCCTTATTGCAAAGAATGTTCCATTGACAGAGCGACCGTTGTATACGGCCGGAGTGAGCTCTGTCCGTATTATTGCGGGAGTTGGTGGCCCATTGTTTGGTGGTGGGTTAACCGATAGCATTGGGTGGCGTTGGTAAGTATATTACATTCCTTCCTTCAATCATCAGATACTGATGGTTGCCATGCAGGTGCTTCTACATTAATCTGCCGTTTGGCGCTGCTGTGGCTGTCATTTTTTTCTTCCTATATCGCCCATTACCCGAGAAGCACGACAAGGTGTCTCCCATGGAGCGATTGAAGCGACTAGATCCTGTTGGTTTAATCTTGTTCATTGGATCTATGGTCTGCCTAATTTTAGGTCTTCAATTTGGAGGTGTCTCGAGTACTTGGAACGAACCACGAATCATTGTTCTCTTCACATTTTTCGGTGTTTTATTCCTAGCATTTGCCGGATACGAGACCTGGATGGGGGAGAGTGCGACGCTACCGCCTCGTATCGCGAAGAATCGTACTGTTATGGCAGCATCTCTATTTGTTCTATGCATTGATGCACCATACTACGCCATTGCCTATTATGTGAGTTGACAACATTCCTCTTGTTACGACACCAAAAGCGCAAGCTAATCTATTTCTATTAGCTACCTATATACTTCCAAGTCGTGCTCGGCGTTTCAGCTTTACAGTCCGGTATTCGATCTATTCCTCAACTCGTGGGAGCACTCTTTTTCTCCTTGTGCTCGGGTATCTATATCCGCAAATACAAATTCTTCGCTCCTGTAGTCATCGCTTCAACTATTATCACTTCAATTGCATGTGGTCTGCTGTCCCTACTATCCCCAACTTCTGACGCTGGGCAGTGGATCGGTTTCCAGTTGATGGTGGGGATTGGTATAGGGTTAGGCATGCAACAAGCGGCGGTGATAGTCCAGCAGACGCTACCACCGGAAGATATACCCCTAGGCATTGCCTCGGTTACATTCTTCCAGGCATCCGGTCCAGCAATTATGGTCTCTGTTGCCCAAAACGTGTTCAACAGACGACTTTTGACTCGACTAAGTAACGAAATTCCCGGCTTGAGCTTGTCGGAAATCGTCAACACGGGAGCTACTCATTTGGTTGGTCTGGTGGGAGATAGTATGCGAGGGGAAGTGGTTAATGCGGTCAATTACGCACTAAAATGGGTTTGGTACAGCTGTACAATTTTGGCCGTATTATCAGTGTTTGGAATTGCAGGCATGGACTGGCGCAAGCTGAACCAGTTGCGGGGGAAGAATTGACCATATTGGGGCAAAATAACGTGATGTTTGGCCATACAGAATTAATATACACGACTTGGCCGTTTCGCTTTGGCAACAAATCATCGCCTGGTGACAGGGCTAACACATGGTTGTAACAATGAAAATATAGATACATAGTGAATTACTTACCAAGAAAATGGGGGCTATTAGAGTTGTAAAAGTACAGTCATAACCTAATCATTAGAATTAGGGCTTTACCCACCCAAATTTGACTTCCCGTACCGCAACCCCGCAGCTTTATCTCAACATCAGACCATAAGAGGTTATTCCGCGTCTAACTATCGTTGATCCAGGGATCAACAGCGCCACTTCTTGGCCCAGCTGGGCGAGACTGATACCGTACGGTAATAATAATCAGTCAGATATCCACCAATGCACTGAGTGCACGGATCGCTTGACTGTTCTTTGAGATGCAGCCACCCCGAATCACGCTTAATACGATAGCTCCATCTGTGTGACAAGGGGGTCCATCTCATATCCCGAAAGCCACTAATCAGTCAGCCGCATCAATCGTGTTGAATGTAGCAGAGAAAATAATGCCGAATGCAACGTGACTAAGATTAAATAGGTACCTTTTTGCGATTCACCCCTTCACCCTATCCAATCCCCAGTATAATTCCAGCGTACATCCCGAGCATATACAAAAACATAGGTCAGCGCTAGAATCAATCATTTGTGCACTGACTAATACGTATTCTGACCTTTTTCACACCATATCGACCTTGGAAGTGGCAATAATCCAGAATGTCGAGGTCCCCAACTACCATGGCCATTCTTGGCTGTGGGACAATGGGAACTGCCATTCTCGACGGTATCCTACGGACTCTAACCCTCGCATCTCCCTCAAGCTCTGCACAGCTTCGGCCTTCCCGTTTCATTGCCTGTGTCAACCACGCAGAATCAGTCAAACGGCTTGAACGCCACTATGCCCAATTCTTCGGCTCCACTCCCTCTCCTGTGCAGATATCTGTTTGGCAGAACAAGACAGCCGAGGCTGTGAAACAGGCTAATATAATCCTCTTGGCATGTCAACCTAGTCAAGCTGCAAAGATTTTAGGGGACCCATTGGCACGCGGCCATTTCTCGCACAAGCTACTTCTCAACATCTGTGTGGGCGTGTCCGTTTCTCGTATCCACGAGATGCTCTACGGCGGTCCAAATGCACAACAGCCACCACCTGAGGAAAGGGCCTATGTTGTTCATGCAATGCCTAATACGGCGTCAACCATCAGCCAGTCCGCAACTGTACTCAGCAGCGAGGGCAGCGAGCATATCCCGCCGGAACATGAAGAAATGGCACGCTGGATTTTGACTAGTATAGGCACTGTTACTGCCGCAGCACCTTCTCTAATGAACGCGGCTAGTGTGACGGGGGCGTCAACCATTGCATTTTTTGCCACAACACTGAGCGGAGTTGTAAAGGGGGCCATAGAAACGGGACTGCCTGAGGAGGATGCTATTCAATTAGCAGCGCAAGCCATGAAGGGAACGGCTGAATTGGTGTTGAGGGGGGAGCAGCCGCTGAAAGTGAGAGATCGCGTCATGACTCCTAATGGGTGCACTGAAAAGGGGGTCAATGCGCTTCAAAATGGTAGGGTGGAGGAAGTTTTTGTAGAGGCGATGAAACAAGCCGTTGAGAGAGTGTTTGAGCTGGGTAGAGAGTCTTCTAAGTGACCAATTCGGCAAGGTATCTAGACAATGAACTCAACTGATTAGATTACCAGCCATAGCTACTGTCTTTACCTACGCAGGGAACAATTATCGGGGCTGAATTTGACTCAGCGCTGGGTTGGTGTGATGTGACCTTAATTCGTACTTGCATATCCTGAAGAAACAGGTCTGTCCGTCAACTTTCTGCTACTCTTCTCGGAGATTCGCTATTATGCTCGTCTTCCTCATACAGATAGTACTCATATCGAACTGGTGCATCGGGACAAGGTACACTTAATTAGTCATATCGTTAGTTAGAACGTAGTCAATCATGTTTTGAGATTCTCGCAGAATCCCTGACAGACTCGTTTTACGATCATACGATTCGCGTATTATATTAACTCATTGGTCAACCTATAAATAAAGACGTCGATCTGGCGGTTTTCACTAGTATTCCATACGTATACAATTCAATTACAGCGGGGAATATGAATTAAAATCAGCATACCTCTATAAAACATATAAAATACCGCCTAAGCTTGGTTTTCGAATCATCTTGGAAGCACCTGCATGCTTAGGTGCATCTGATGACTTATCACCTCACTTTCACTTGGCAATGTCCAATTGTAGACTACTTCCCAGCCCTCTCAACCTGATATCTCAAGGTTTGGGTTCAGTACGGTTCAAAACGGCTTATTAGCGTCTATATTATAGGGTTGGACGCCTTACAATGCCTGAAGAACTACATGAAGGGTTCCAAGGTTAATCTCTGCAAGGTCCGAGCACCTATAATGATCTTATTTATCGTATGATACTACCAATTTTCATCTAGTCATCCCAGTTTTGTATCCGAAAATACGAACCTGCGGTTCTGACAGCTGGAAACTTTATCCAAATATGCCTATATCAACCACAATTCATTAGTAAACTTGGGGGCCTTTTTGTGCAGATCAATCCGTGTTAAGCTTTTATGAAATGTACATATATAAGTAATAACTAGCTGAACATGGTGAATAATCACCTGCATTTGAAGTCGTGGGTGTGGGATAGATCAAGAAAAGCTTACTAAGATATATGGATAGATTCAAGATTTCAGATCGATCTAAAGAGCTGTATCCAACAAATACTCTACTAAGATTAGCTAAGCAGACAATGAAGAGCATACGAAGGTAACACAATATTATAGCCATGTGTAGAATGGACTTGGGAGAACCCTGAAATGAACGGTCTTCCAGGGGTCAAATAGGAGGCCTATGCATATTGCTTAGAGCTCCGGACTTTGAGTGGCTTGAGGTTGGTATACTGAGTCGTCCCTCTGGTCCAATGGTGTTCATCTACCTTTTGATTAGTCACATAGGTATACCAGCTCGGACTCTGAAGACCTCGATTCTCCGAATACGTTCCAATATCGAGTCATTTAGGCCACTTTCAACTCATGGTTGCATGACACTCAGATATTATGAAAACTAATAGACAAGGATTAATAGCCTGTAGAGCATAGAGTGATATGCAGCCTTGGTGCTTGCCAAGGGTATCAAGAGGACTGGGCAGGTGGTAAGTGTAAATCACTCTCAGGCCTGTGAACGCACTAGATTCACACGATCCCACGATCCTGCGGCAGCATCTTAATCTGATTGTCCTCACAATCTCTTATTTGGTCTGTTAGGATTACCTCTATTTTGTATATACATAGGTGTAATTGAGATTACGGGGGACCATATCTCAATAGTCCGGGATTTGATGCTATGGATGCGTGGCGATGCACCAGGGCATCATTACAATCACCTCATCTATATTGAATACGAGCTTTTCAGCTCAACCTGGCTTCTAGATCTTGTGCTAAAGCCTCGTGCCATAACATGGTTCGAGAGTAATGCATCTTGATATTGGGACTATAACGAAGGTAGCCATTCATGGTCCGTTTCTCCCGAAATAGCATCATACAGCGTACGGTAACGCCTTCTGAGGTTACAATTTCTCGTTCTTAGTGTCTTTAGAATGAGTTCGTCTTACAATGATCATACTTCAATATCAGGTTTCGAGATAATGGCTCACCTGGCCCCCACCGTGGTTGTCGAAGAGAGAGACAATCTGAGCGTAGTCCCAAACTAAAAGAGGAGAGCTCGTATGTTCAACTTGATGGGGACGGAATATAAAATGCCGGGATGTACGGGATGTACGCATAGTCCTGAGGGCATCACTGAAGATCCAGTTTTCCTCTCATCATATGCCTGAGTAGAAATTGTTATCTCATTCTTCTTGTCAAAATGACTGTTTTGCAATTGCCTTTGGTTGACTTCGGTCATTTCACTCATGGCACCCCAGAGCAACGCGAACGTGCTGCAAAACAACTTGTTGATTCATTCTTGAAACATGGGTTTGTCCGTCTCAAGAACCACGGCGTATCCAGGGAGTTCGTTGAAGAGATCTGGGAATGGGTATGCTCGCTTCACATCGCATTACTGTTATGTATGTACTGTAGTTGATTGACGCATACTAGGACCGTCGATTCTTCTCCATGTCCGAAGAACAAAAGATGAAAATATTGCATCCTCCTGGCCCTGATCCACAACGGGGATGGAGCCGCAAGGGCCTCGAGACGACATCTAAGATCCGTAAGGAAAACGCTGCGAATGCTCCCAAAGACAAGGGTGAGCTACTTGATGAGAAAGTACGTGAACTTCTCACATCGCCATGTCTAAGCTACCCAATGCCTAATCCTCTGTACTTTAGGAACACTTTGACTGTGGTCCTCCAGGAGATGCTGAGTTTCCTAATAAGTTCCCCAACGAGGACCTTCCCGGTTTTCAGGAGTTTATTGAAAGATATTTCCGGCTGGCGCAGGATGTCTCTTTGAATATTATGCGCGCCTGCGAGGTCGGATTCGGCATGCCCGAAAACGCCCTCGTCGAGCGCTGTGAGCCCGCTGCATCTGAGCTTCGTCTCCTGTACTACCCTCCAGTCTCCGTGGAGCGTCTGGCAACTGGCACTATCAAGCGAGCATGGCCGCACTCGGATTTCGGGATCATTACTCTTCTCTTCCAAGATGGTCTTGGTGGACTCGAATGCGAGGACCGTTCTAACCCTTTTACCTTTGCGCCGGTTACGCCGACATCGGGTGAAGTCGAGATGGTGGTAAACACCAGCGATACCTTTGAGCGTTGGACCAACGGCGTTGTTAAGCCGGGCATACATCAGGTCAACGTGCCTCCTGCTTTACGCAATTTACAAGAAGGTTATATCCCAGAGCGATACTCCTCTGTTTTCTTCTTCAAAGCACATCGTGGTGTATCGGTGGGTCCGATTGATCACTTCGTTACGGAGAAGCATCCTGCCATTTACCCTGACATAACTGCTTTAGAGTTTCATCGAGAACGAACACATATTCTCTACTAAAGCTGTAGCATCTAGGTCATAAGTGGTGGATCAATCCTACGTGTACCGTATGCTTTAAGTTGTACAAAAGAATGCCATGTTCCATAGAAACCAAATGACCATCTTTTGTCATGAATTGTGAATATACTGAGATCATTATATTATTTTTATTTTTTTTATCAGTGTCTTGTTCCTAGTATCTTGAATAAATTCTGGTCAGCTCCTTATAGATACATGAGCTTTGCAAACCATGAGCATATATATATATATATATGTACCTACATAGGTAGAGAGAAGTAAAGGAACTAGAGATTCTTACTATTATCAAATGACCCAGGTCCGAAATTTGATTCTTGTCTGATTACAACATTGAAGAACGGATAGGTTTCGGAGTGAAAGGGCGTATGATGCTTACCTAGGTACGGTCGTTCATCGAATTAGGGCTTTGCGGGACGTACCATAGGTAACTGTCACCCTCAAAGTCCTCCTACAACAACGTTAACTGAGTTCTCTCAACATAGCATACATACTTTTATCAAAAAGATTAAATACTAGGCAGACAAATTCTGCCATGAAGGAGACAAATTTATACGAGAACAATTATTTGGATGCCTACCAAAAGATCCATCTTAAGAAATAAAGAGGTCCGACCACGTGCCATTGGCCCAAATATCCATAGATCCTCAGAAGCTAAAAGCTAACCGTTGTCTTTCACTTCAAATTTATTCATCGAAGGTTGATCGACCTCAAGCATCAGAGAATCCACAAAGCCGCACTCCAGTCATTGTTGAAGTTGGATTAATATAGCCTCCTCGAACATCACCTCACTCCGTGTGATCACCTTGCCAGCAGGAATTAATAAACGACAATAGCCCGCAAGATGAAGATAGTTATAATAGGCGCAGGTATCTCGGGCCTTGCATCATATCTTTCTCTTAAGAAACACCTGCCGCGACCTTCCACCCCAGCTGCAGATCATGTCTACACTATATACGAGGCTTACGACACAGACAAAGACAGCACTTTTGAGCAGCGCTTGTCATCTTCCAGAACTGAAGCCAATCTCCCTACTTCAACTCTAATCGTCGGGGGGGGTCTAGGCATCGCACCGAATGGGGTGAATGTGCTTCGACGCCTTGATTCCGATTTGCTGAAAGACATTGTTACTGGTGGTTACGTTATATCCAAATATAACTTGAAGTCCAAACACGGAACACTCCTGATGGGTCTCGACCCTCAGGTCCCTGCTTACGATGATGCCGATAATGAAAATGAGGGTGATAGAAAGATGATCCATACAGTGGCTACGAGTCGTCATTCACTATGGCGCTGTCTGCGCACGCGAGTTCCTGATGGAATTATTAGTAAAAAGCGAATCTCGCAAGTGATAGCAGGCTCAAATGGTGGACCAGTCACTGTCAGATTTGAAGACGGCAGTATGCCAGTTGAAGCCGATATGGTGATTGGAGCAGATGGGCTTCGCAGTACTACCAAGAACGCATTGTTTCCGGATATCAAGGGAGATATATATCCACCTCATTATGAGTAAGCACTTCGTTCTACTGGAGGATTTCATTCCATTGACACTATATCAATTAGGGGATTAGTCGGCATTGGCGGCTTTGTAACTGCCCCGCCGCATATTCGCGAAAAAGCTGGCAAAGGCACAATGAGTTTCGTTTTTGGGGGGAATGGATTCTTCGGCTACTTCCCAGCTGCTAGCTCTCCTTCATCTCATCGTGATTCGGTCAGTCATGTTTCCGAACCGAGTAATCAGCTAGGATGGTGGTCAACGTACGCAATGGAGGAATGTCCTACAGATCTACGCAATGTCAATGGGGAAGAAATCATCAAAGACCTGCGTGCCAGGTATCGTCACTGGAGTGATCCAGTTATTCAACAGATAATCAGTGATGAGGAGTTGAACATCAAACACATATATCCAACTTGGACCGCTCCTGAAATACCGACTTGGGAACGGGACGGTGTGGTGCTAGTCGGTGATGCAGCACATGCGCTGCCATCCACTTCAGGACAAGGATCATCACAAGCTCTGGAAGATGCTGAAGCATTCACTTTGTTTCTTTCTCATGAACTTCGCAATATGTACCAGAACCCTCTTGAGTCTCAGGCTGCAACTGAGAGAAAAGCTGTCACGACAGCAGCCAAGCGATATGTGGAGCTCAGGAAGCCGCATGTGAAGAAAATATTTGACCGTGCGAGAAGTATGCAGAATCGCAAGAAAGACATGTCGATCTTCGAGGAGTATTTTATGTATGCTTTTATGTGGATTATGGGTTGGTTTCCGTCTGTTATGTCCAAACCACAGCAGGAGGTGGCTTCCTATAACGTCAGGAAAGAAGTTGAAAGGGTACTTGAACAAAGCTGATCGGTGTGATTCAAGCCTGATTAGGTACCCGTACTACCCAGTCATATATTTGTTATAGTTAATTCGTACATAATTCTCTCCTCAGACATTCAGGATTCGAAGAGTTCCTCATCGTAAGATGAGTTCTGGTATTTTCCCACTCCACGCTGACAGCAGAAAATAGAGATAGCTCAAGCAGCGAAAACACTTTGAATTGAACAATATTCATTCATGAATAGAGGAAGCAATCATGAACCGAATAGATGAATGGAAAGATCATTACTGGAAACCTACGAGATAGTTACTTCCACATCCGGATTAGCTCCTATAAATTCAAACTATCCCAATAAGGACTAGCTCTGTTTACCGGGCAACGGGCACAACATCATCACATCAACCCGAACTTATAAACACTCCAGTGCAAACTCTGCTACTTACCTACAACGACATTCTTCCTCCCCATATACAGTCATAAAAAGCCATGACACAACCCCTATCCCCCCTATCGCCGTCCTTTGGCAATTCACGCGGACAATCACCTGCTTATGCTCCGCCATCGACCGTCCGTCGTCGCGGAATTGACGAGATCATGTCATCGACCGACCAGAACGATAAAGAGAATGCGCCGCCGAAGCCTGCAAAACGCGCCTTCTGCTCTTATGATGGTAGTGATGATGACATAATTGATGAAGAAAATGACGATGATTACGAGCTAAAAGCTTCCACAACTCCTGCTCGAAGCAACAATAATAACAATGTCGAAGCGGATATTGGCGACGACATGACGGTTGATCTTGCTGACGGTCCACCAAGTTCGCCATTCCAATACGAAGCGCGTGATGATACCGTAGATATGAATAGATTACAAGCGATGACTATGCCAACGGCATCGTCTACAACGACAGTATCGCCTAAGAAGCAAGGCCCCGAGATATACGTTGATGAGGAGGATCGCATTGACGAACCTATTGTCGCTGGTCGAGAACCTATATCAACAGAGACATATGAATCTCACGGCCAAGCGACCGAGCCAGATCATACCACGACAATGAGTGATAATGATGACACTGCTAGTGTACTTCACCACGAACCAAAACATGCCGATAATTCAACCATTAGCCACAGCTACATGGAAATGAGACACAATGAAGAAATGAGCACAGTTGCTCACATCCTTCCCTCCGAAGAAGAGTCTCATCCTAATGACAATGATGCGATGGATGATACCTGCTTTAGCACCTTCTCGGCCGTGCCAAATGTTGATATGACCATGTTTTCTAAACTGGTGGCCTCGCCCACCAAGAAAATCGGCGATATCCAGGAGTCTCCTGCGGTTGACCGAACTCCAGGATACTCTCGACGATCAAAGGCGACAACACCAGCCACTGCTCGTAGGCGAAGGATCATCGATGATACCTCCCCAACACCTCAACGAAAGAAGCGCGACGATAGCATAAATCTCCTTGACTTCAATGACTCTTTCAACTATTTCCATAGAGTCTCTCAGCGGTTTTCTATGTCAAGCAATCGCGCTTCCATGAGTCCTAGACGGCGATCACCGTTAAAACAACGTGACCCGACTCCTTCTCCTACAAAGTACAACCTGATAGATTTTGACCTGCCACCACCTGCTACGCCAATGTCAATTCCATCGATCACTCCCCGTGAATTGGAGTCTCTAAAATCTGGATTCATGTCCGAGATTTCTTCATTGAAGGCCAGCCTAAGCGGCAAGGAAGCGGAGGTGTCAAGTCTTAAGCAAGCGGTTGCCGACGCTGAGCGCCGCGTGGGAGAAGCGCTTGAAGAGGCTCGAAATGAGGCCATACACAAGGAAGCACTTGAAGTCGAACAGGTTGAGTGGCAGCGACGCGGTAAAGAAATGGAGTCGGTGTTGCGTGAAGTACGAGCTGAGATCATTGACGGTGAACGCGAACGGGAACGCCTGTCAAAGAAATCCGACGAAGCGGAAAAGCGCAAGGAGCAGCTCGAAGGAAGGATCGTCGAGCTTGAGAGTCAACTAGACGCCGCGAAGAAAGCCGCTGCTACCAGTCCCAGCGCGACCATGACAGATGGCGACGGCAAATCAGGCATGCTGACTGCCGAGCAGTCTGCAAAGGAGGTTCAGGAAGCTGTGGAGCGGGTCGCTCGCGAATTACACACGTTATACAAGGGCAAACACGAAACTAAGGTTGCTGCATTGAAAAAGAGCTACGAAGCTAGATGGGAGAAACGGGTCCGCGAAGCAGAGAATAAACTCCGCGACGTCACAGAGGAAATCGAGCGCCTTAAGACGGAGCGTGATACGACTATGTCTGGACCACTGAACCCGAACATGAGTATGATGAGTGTCATGGGACGAGACAACGAAGAGCTAGAGACAGCAAACAAGGTCCTTGGCGCTCAAATCAAGGGTCTCGAGGAGCAACTGTCCACACTCAAGCGGGACAATGAACAATTATATGCGGAACTTAAGATGGAGCGTTGCGAAAAGGGTGAACTGGTCGCTGCTGTCGATGAATGGCTAGCTATGCAACAAGCCAATACTGCTGCTCAACCCGCCGCTGTATCCTCACGTGAAGTCTCGAATTCATCATCCTACTACTCTGCAAGCGAACAAGATGCGCCGTTATCATCATATTCCGGTTCATCGTCTTCCCAGACCAGCGCACGCAAGAAGTCAATCGACCAACAGCACGTCGAGACTTCTCCCAAGCAGTCACAACAACAATTACCCACATTCAAGCGCAGCACAAGCCGATCCGGACCGTCTTCCAGCGCTCTAAATAGTAGTAGCGGTCTTCGCCCACCATCATCTGGTCCCGTCAATAACAGCACCGGTATCGAGAAACGAAGCCGTTTGGGTATATACAGCGGAAGCAGCAGCCATGTCCGCCACAACAGCGGCGGTAGTAGTGGTAGTAACGGTAGTGGTCGCTCGATCGCCATGCCGTCTACGACTCCAGGACGAAGTGGGATTATGAGCTCGATTGAACGTATGGGTGCTGGGGGACGATAGGTCTTCCGTCTTCCTTTTCAATATCATTTTTCCATGTCCATAGTGTTATTGATGATTCATGAATGGAGTTGGAGAGCCTTGGAGTGGGCGGATTGTTTGAGTTTGATCCTGTTTATATCTTATTCTTTGGTTTCAGATTGCTCTTTTCTCTTTGATTCTGGTTTTTTGCTTTAGTTGCAGTTATCGGTGTTGCTGTTGTTGAGTTATGCTGTGATACCATACTGAATTACTATTATGCAATGAGAATGAGTTATGGATTTTTCTTTTTTTATTTATGATTTGCATTTAATGATAGTGTATTCATGTCCAGGCTCAAGATATGTACATTGAAAACATAAGGATGAAACGCCAAAGAACGCCTCTTTCCAAAACTTGCTCAAGAATGAACGCCGGGGATCTCAAACCAGAAATGAACCATAACCCTCAAAATGATGGACGACGATACCGGGCTATTGAAAAAGAAAATTTCTTTTGTATGTAGGTGAGACGAGTGAAATGTATATGCAGACGAGACCTGAGTTATAATGAGCCATTGGAAGGATATCAGATATAATCAAGCAACGTCATAATCCTCCTCACTGACCATCACATGAATCACTTCACGCGGATGGGTGTCAGAAGCGGGAGGTCCAGCAGCAGCCAGACACGGCGCTGCAGACCGTACTGTAACTGTGTCTTTCCGACGCTTGATAAACCACAACTGTGACGTACCGATCAACGCGATGAGTGTGCTGCTCCACCAAGCAATGGCGGTACATCCAGCTGCTGTTCCAGTACTATATAAGTATCCAGCGACAGGAGGAGCGATTGTACGGCATGCGGCACCGGCTGAAGCGGCCAAGCCGTTTATTTTACCCATGACGGAGGGAGAAGAACTTGATTGTTTGATCAGGATGAGGAGAATAGGGTAGGCAATGATGGAGAGAATGTTGCGGATTGCTAGGCAGGTATAGATACCGGCGTAGACGAAATTCGAGGGAAGTAAGACGAGGAATGGAATGATAAAGTATGTCATGGGATGTAAAGCCGTAACAAGGACAAAGAGTCTCCAGACACCCAGCCAATCGGTCAACGGGGCGAATATAACACTTTGAATGAAAAGTGCCATTAGTCCATCTACAGACATGATGAACCCAACGGTTCGAGTAGACAATCCCAAGCCGCCTGAAATACGAGGAAAAGAGTGAGAAAATCCAACGTCACGCTTGTCTTGCAGGAAGATTGGAAGAAGATGATCAAAAGTCATCGAGTGATAGGTGAAAATGCCCAGTGCAATGATGAACATCAGAACTTGGGACGTGAATGCCACTTCCGTTTGTGGCGAAGACGATCTCTCTTTGGATCTTTCGCCATCGTTGCGCCAGCTTTCATTTGAATGCATATTAACTTCATTGAAAGTACCATACGATTCAGCGCGAAGGTCAACTCCGGGATTAGCCGTAGCGCCAGCGGTAGCCATTAATGGTGTCTCGCGGTTCACTCTATGTTCTGAATCCGAATACCGTGGCTGAAACTCGGGATGAGTCTCCTGCAAAAGTAAAGCACCGCCAATGATGCTAATCAAGAGGAGACCGGCACAGAAGAGGTTAGGCAATAGGAATGGGTACTTTGCGAATAAACCATTTGGTGAGAATATGGATGGGAAACCTTCAACGGGTTTGGCAAGTAACCCTCCGACGGCTGATTTTGTTAGCAGGATAAAATGGATATCAGTAACTCACAGAGGAATCTTACCAGGCCCGAGAATAGTGCCGATTGACCAGACAAACGGCATTACGGCGTAAGCACGAGCTACGACATTATCAGTAGATCATATCAAATAGAATACATAGAGATAGACATACGCTCATGCTCAGGACGCTTCACAAGCTCACCGACCATGGTCTGAATCACGCCTATGTTTCCATTAAGCACACCGCCAATGATTCTACCAAGGAGAGCTACCCAAAAACTCGAAGCAAACCCGACGATCAACAGTGAAAGCATGGTGCCAGCACAACCGAGCAAGAGGACGGGTTTGCGACCAATGCGATCCGAGAGTGCACCCCAAAACATTCCGGTGAGGGCTTCGGCTAGTGAAAACGCAGCGATTAAGATTCCGGCGTAGAAAGAGGCGTCATTTGGGTTGCCGACGTGGAATTCTTGGACCATTACCCATGAGTAGGGGAAGATCGAAGTGAGAGCGATAGGCTCCGCCACACGGCAGATGCCTGCTGTCAGTCAGTATGTTTGGAAAAAAAAAAGCAGTTATATAGAGAAGACATACCCAGAAGAAAGAGCTGCAGCGAAGGAAATGCATCGTCGTTCGAAATTGGTCTTGTCTGTGGCGTTGATACCATGATTCTTTTGACGCTTGAACAATTCTTACCACTACCTATCCCCGCAAACCACGCAGGCAAATCCCTTTCTCAATCTCGTTTATTCTCTTCACAAGTTAAGAAGATAGAGCGAGGATAATAGAATGTTCTTTTTCCTGCGTGACTGCCTTCCCTTATGATCAGTCGACTTTCCACCTTTTTCTTGGATATTTGTGTTACCCTCGATTAAGCCTTGATGTCCCGAACTACTTTAATATTGCCCCTTTCCTCACAAGATATAGTCGGGTAGAATTGTTTGACTATTGTTTTTGACTCTGTGGCTGATTAGTTAACGCGATTCGTAAGGTCGATTTCAATGGCGTGCCGTGGAAGCAAGAGAAAATAGAGAAACAGAATCGAAAGAGACAGAAGACGGGAATAAAAGCAGACGAATCGGGTGACTGGTACAGTAAAAATCGTTCTCCGGACAAGCGAACCAGGGACTGATAGGCGGAAGGTGGCAACCGGAAACAACTGCCTGGACTCGACTGCCGTTACACCTGTATTACCATTTTCCCTGATTGTTTCAACTTGTTTGTATACCCAGCGATGTAAAGAGCGGTAACATGACGTACAGGCTTGAATTGATAGCATTAGCGTCCGCTTAGCGTCGCCTTGGCGCCAAGTCTATTAAGGAGCGCATGCTGATTGGTTCATACTGTCTGTATAAAACAGTAATTCAACCCCATGTCTTAGATTATGTGTTTCCTTGTGAAATGGATATATAGCAGATGATTGTACGGTTTTCAAGCAAATATCACCAATGTGTTGATCAGAAAGTATACACTGCCAGGACATGGAAATTGGACAGTTTCCAGTTACGTACCATAATCTTTCCACCCGGTGACCGCTCTTTTGAGTTTGTGCAACATCAATGGATATTTTGGCATCTAGGCAATCGCAACCTGGAATTCAGTTTGCGTTGATCTGCAGAGAAGAACGTCCATCTGTATATGTATGCTATGATATCAGTTTGATCACTGGATGAAGGTTGTCATAAAGCAAGTCATTCGAGATATCATACATATCAAGACCAAAAAGAAAGATAGAAGGCTGTTATATAGTGGTCAAGTTATTGCGGATCAGCCCCTCCATGTGAAACCGGGATGTAACTCCTCCGCTCTCTCGCAGCCTATAGATAAGATGTCAGCCGGACATGTCTCAATTCCTTGATTTCCCTCTGGGGATCAGAACTCACCTCCACCCATCCTTGAACCCAAGGTCTCAAAACAGCCCAAGCAAGCAGCCCACTCGTGGCAAGTATAAAAATAATAACCACAGCTTCATCTTTCCTCGAATCTCGTTCTATCATCGCTCAATATCAGTTATATACACCCCTCACTTGCATGCGCCGCGAATGCCGAAGTAGAAAGGAGAAACATACGAAAACAAGTCGCAATAACATCCTCCTCCCTTGCGCCTTTGCATTTCGGTAAATTATAATCCAGACAGAATGCGCGATTGCAGTCGCTACACGTCAATGCTCGACCGCGACCGGGCGTTTGTTTATTCTTATCATCCTTCTGCTCTTCTCGCGCGTCGATTTCGGCCGTCTTGTGGTCCCATCCCCATAGATTCGTTAACTCTGTTGTTCTCCGCTTCAATAAACCATCCGAAAGGTCTTTATCTGTATTTATGGGTCGCAGTTCGATAATAGTGCTATTCGAGAAACAGGTACATTTGCAGAATGAGGAAGGTTCTAGAATGAGATGAATGAGCGCGATTCCTAGATGGGGTAGAGCGCTCTGCGAGTGAGACTTACTTGCTGCTAGTACCCCCGTGATGCTTGAGAATATACTCAGAAAGAGTAAATATTGTAATACTTGTAATAGCCCCTTCATTTCGAGTTAGAAATCCGGAGTAACGACATCCAAGTGCACCCCGATCAAACAAGATGGTGGATGATGTTGCGACTGTCGCAGATCTCCGAAGCTAACCATGACTTCTTATCGGTCACGTGATGATAAGCATTAAGTGTACAGAATCGTATTTGAATGCGTTTAGGGTATTTTATTCATTTTCATTTGTGTCTAGTCGTCATTAAAGTAGTAATCATTTGGCTATCCTCTCCCCTTCAGCCCTTTGCGCCGATTCTCGCGTTGTCTCTTTTCCTTCGCGGCTTCACGCCTTCTCCGTTTCCAAGCTCTATTATTGTCTCCGCGATTCTCCCAGAACCATTTCACAAAGTCACTTTCTTCTGGATGTCGTTGGGAAGAGGCTTCGCCCCGTGGTTTGGAAGGAGTTTCTTGAGCTAATGACTGAGTATGGTCATATTCATCTGTGTCTATGTCGTCGACTTCATCGTTTCCGTCATCACCTTCCGTAGATAACAGAAACTTGCGTCGATTGAATGCTGCAGTATCCGGTGTGGGTGCACCACTTCTCAGTCCTCTGATTTGACGGTCTTGCTTGGAGAATGGGGTCAACGGTTCAAGTAATAATGGCGTAGGTTCTTCCTCTTCATCTTCGATGTCATCATCGTTGCCAGCGAAAAAAGAAAATGTCGGCTTCTCGGATTCCGGTATGCTCTTCTCTGTTTGTGTACGCTTGAAGAGGGCTTCTAAGGGGTGTAGCTCTTTAGTTTCCGTTGTCTCAGCATCCTGAGAAGATGCTGACGGCTTGTTCTCCTCGTCGACTTGAGAGCTGGCTTCCTGGACACCATCGCTCTCACTAGTTGATTCGTTTCCCTCTACGTTTCGTTCATCGATTTTAGTGACTTTGCTTTTTATCGTCACTTGTGCCTCCATGGTTTTGTCTTCTTGGTCACTGAGTGATGATGCGCCACTGCTTGACGAGTCATCAGAGTCACTGTCAGATGTGCTACTCTCACTCTCGGAAGAGCCGCTAGACGAGGTCCAGTCCGAGTCTTCCTCCTCTTCAGACAAGGTTTGCTCAGGATCAAGAGGTTTCTTTTCCTCTTCTCTAACAACCTTTGTTCGGAACTTGCCCTTCACAGTAGCCCGTTCTTTCGCGCCATCTTTCTTCCCAGGGTGGTAGTCTGCCGTTGTAGTCTTCTTGCTGGCCATCTCCTCCTGCACATTACCATCCTCGTCGACCCATCCTTTTCCCTCCTCGAATTTCGCAGTAACTGGCTTTCTACCGATGGTAGATTTCAAGAAGGACGGGTGTGTGAATGTTTGCGCAAATTCATGGACTACCACTTCGTTTGGCGCCTTGGCCTTTTTTGACTTTGACTTCTTTGAAGCTATTTCAGACGTCTTATTAGGCGGCATTTTCGTCTTGAATAGACATTCTGCTTTCTCCGTGTACTTGGACTTGGGTTGTAACTTGGTCTTTGAGGCTTCTTTGTCGGCCTTTTTCTGTTTCTTCAACTTCTTGGCGCTTGCGGGCTCAGTCCATCCTCGTTTAACGCGTCTGTCGCCGGGTAGCTCATATCCATCAAGAACGCTGTCCTCCGATTTTCGCTTTGATGACGTCTTTGTAGGTTCGGGAGATGTAACGCCTTCACTGATTTTGTCAGAATCGACCTTTGCCGGAGTCTTTGTCTTCTTCGGGTCCGCTCGCGCAGCTTCGACTTTGAATTTCCTGCCCTTTAGGATAGATCCATTGAGCTTTTTCTTGAGTTTGTCCGCCTCCATTGAAGGCAGCGTGACGAAACCGTAGTCGTTTTCGGGAAATGTAGCAATATTGTGAAAGGATATATCGGTCGCCAAAGGACGGATCGAAGGAGCTAGAACGGAGTCCAGCAGGGCTGGTGTTAGAGGAGAGATATGGAGGCGAGTAGTAGATTCTGTCATGACAGCATAATGATTTGTCGAATCGTGTCTTTGTCTATCGCTTGGTGGTCTTGGAGACGTTGAAAAAAGAAAAACACAAAATCGAGCTTCAGAATTGATATACAGGATAGCTCTGTGGTATGGACAATTAACACGATATACGATGGAGAACAAGGAGAGAGAAGTGACAAAGAGCTTGCCAAAATAAATTAAACAGTATCTCAGGCTTAGAGTAAACACGAGGCAAGAGCATGCTCAACGATTAAAAATATTTTGACACTAACCACATCTCCGTCCAGGGCGGTGAGCAACTCACTAGCCACACGGCATCCCTATGTTAATGCCTGAGGCCACTGCCAGTCATCCAGATTTCTTCCGGCTGACGTCAAACACTCCACACTGAAACATCGAGATAATTCTTAGTTTAAAGAGTGAAAAGGAACTGATTGGTTTTAGATGGCATGGAGTGTTGGATGAGATCCTTTCATGTCTTTTGTCATGATTATCAAGAACACCCGAATGACTATATACGCTGACTCAATTCGCAATACTGTCACAAGTCTCGGTCTATCAACTTATCAAGTCTCCCCGCTCGCAATCGCATCGGCGTTGGGCCCGGCACTATAGCCTCAGCTGATGCTCCCAGCCCTACTGAATTGACTAGGCACTGATAAGCAATTGCACAACTAACTTATTGCCCTGGCCGACGATTTGTTTGTGTTTATTATTCTGTTTACTTGCGTAGTACGTAGTCTACTTAATTCACTATCGATTGTCTGTTGGGATTGGACGCATCCGGTCATTCCGCCCACGCCACCGCTCCCGCTCCAGCCTGAATTACGTTGTGGAGGCCACCTTAGTGCCTTAATGTACATCCTGCCTTCCCTGGTCACGACTCTCTCTGTTTCTCCTCGATCAGCTCACATGGCCACACCTCGTTGATTGAAGCAGCGACCGTACCTGGTTATTATTATCGTCGTCATCGCAACTCTGGCCTGCGTCTAGAACCGCCGAACAGTCGCCTCGGCAAGGACCCTCCTCCACTTTCGATGTGACTAGATGTTTATCTGAATCGGTCTGCTTCGCACTAGAGCTCTTATACCTCCTCAGAACAACTTGCCTACGACTATCCTCAAATGAAAAAGTAGCTACTGGACTTCGATATGGGAAATTCACAGACGAAGGAGGCGCGCTCTCCTTTGTCGGCGTCGCATCGGAATCGGTCGCTGTCCGATCAGGGCCACTCTCCATATCACGGTTCTCGATCACATCGCTCCAGTCGACATGATCTCTCATTTCTCGGTATTGGGGGCAGCTCCGGCGATCGAGAAATTATCGTTCATGAACAACGACGCGAAACAAAACAAGATCGCGAAGCAAGGCGTCAGGAAAAGGAGCGGGCGGCCCGGCTAAAGGAAAGAGAAAGGAGTATGAAGGAGGAGCATGTCGATGGTGGATATTTAGTCACTCAAGGCGTTTACGTTGGGACAGAAGACTTTAATAAGGCTGTAGTTCGTCAGCTCATGGTACGTTCGTATACATATGTCACACTAAGGCGATGGCAGTCAACCCGCTAACACAATTCTAGACTGAGAGACGTTTAGCACCTTTCTGGAGAGGGCTTAATGATTACTCAGAATCATGGACTGAACATCAACTGATAGCTGCAGCACGGGGATTGCCTATTCCCCCCCCAGATCAGACACCCCCCGAACTCCAATATACACCTCCTTCTCAAAACACAGAAGATGGTAACCAGTCGTCAGGGAAGAGCGCACAGTTCTTGACAGTTCCAACAGTATCTGGGAGACCTCTATCTGCTCACTCAGAGAATGGACACCTGCCGCCGCTGAGTCCGGCCCAATCTTTACCCCCTCCTACTTCCCCGATCGCATCCGGCACATCCATATCTCCACTTTTTCGAAGCCGTGCAAAGACGTTGGCTGCTTTGACAGGTTCAAGCAAGAACCAGAATGCAGAGATCACTCCGCGCGAAATCATGCTACCGCATGATCCGTTCGTGAATGGTCAACCTCTAGAAGCTTATCTCTACAAAGATGCCAGCGAGTGCCCGATTTGTTTTCTTTACTATCCTCCGTATCTCAATCGCACTAGGTGCTGTGACCAACCCATCTGTTCAGAATGCTTCGTCCAGATCAAGCGACCAGACCCACATCCGCCGGAGCATGGTGAGTCACATCAGAATGCTGAAAATGGCGAAGAGCGCAGTGGATCAGATCAAGATTCTCAGCTTGTGTCTGAGCCTTCGGCTTGCCCCTTCTGTGTGCAGCCCGAGTTTGGTGTCACCTATTCTCCCCCTCCATTCCGGCGCGGTTTAGCCTATGCGGGCTCTAATGGGCTAGCGGTGGCCTCAGCAACGTCTCCCTTATCATCAAGCTCCTCCCTTGGTTCTATGGCTTCGCCACCGGCCACAGGACGTCGTAGAGCGACATCCCTTTCAGCTAACGACCCAAGTGTGATTACGACTGACAAGGTCCGACCAGATTGGGCTCAGAAATTGGCCAATGCAAGAGCGCATGCAGCGCGTCGATCGGCAGCTGCAACTGCTCTCCACACTGCCGCATATTTGATGAGTGCGCCAGGTTCTGAATCACGAGGCTTTGGGCGGCGTGGGGTTTTAGGGCGTTCTCGAGGCAGTAGTTCCGGCACTCAGACTCCGTCAAATCGACCTACCGGCTCGTCGGCTCTCCATGCACTTGCATTTCTTTCTGAGCGGAGGGGTGGTACTAGCGACCAACATTCAACCTCTAGCACTGCTACCGAAACCACGGAGGGTAATGCATTAGCGCCTGCACGAGATAGTTCCAGACGTAGTCGAATTGAAGACCTGGAAGAAATGATGATGATGGAAGCCATCAGACTGAGTTTAGCTAGTGAGGAGGAACGGAGGCGCAAGGAAGAAAAGGAATTGCGCAAAGAAGCCAAAAAGAAGGAAAAGGAAGCAAAGAAGGCTGAGAAGATGATGCGAAAAAACGCTGCTTACAGCAACAGTCAGTCAAGCCTAGCAATTCTCAGCAGTGGAACCTCAAGTCGAGTAGACAGTAGCTCTTCATCGGTCATAGGAGAAGAGTCGACAAACTCAGATAAAGGAAAGAAAGTTGACCGTACTTCACCTTTTCCTACATTCGCCCCATCGAGCGAGGCTGAATCGGCAGACATTAACGGATCCAGCGCAACGACAACCTCTACAAGACTGGGAATTACTCGCAATGACTCGGATTCATTCACACAACCCTCCCCTACTGAACCATCGCGTCCTTCGCATCTACGACATGTGTCTACCGCGTCATCTACCTCATCCTCCTTCGACACGGGAACTACGGAACATCCAGATACAGCTGCGGCATCATCCAATCCAGCTCTGGAGCCAATGTTCAACTTTCGAAGTCTCGCAGCCGTGATTGGCGATGAGGAGAAGTCTAATGGTATGGCAGAGCATGCAGAGCATGCGGAACACGTTGAGGATACTGGTCAACAACAATCCTCTACCTCTGCAACGACAGATATCCCAATACTCTCAACACCGCCTACCGAAGACGCAACTCATGCGACGTCACCTGCTGAGAATCAGACTTCTTTACTTTCACAGGACTCTGTCCATAGCACAGTTCCCAAGGAACTGAGCGCTCATTCGGTAGAAGTTTCGCGAGAGACGACTGTCTAATACTTTTTGGGTATACGTTATTTTATCATTGCCATTATCATCATTTCAGCTAGACTGTACCATTTTCATATTCTGTGAATATACAATTATCTCTCCCATTTCCATCCTTGTCCCCCCGTGTCCTTTCTCACTACGGCTACCATCATACATTATGAGCCTACCTATCTATCTATTCCTTAACAGCATTCTCCTTCTCATTTACATATTCATACCACCTCTCTCCTTTTCTCTCTTCTTTTCTATCTCATTTGTCTTCTCATTTTGGGTGGCCCAACTTTCATCCTTCGATCCTTTCATTTCTCTCTCTTCTGACCAAGATTGAATCTGAACGAACCGAAATGAAGAATAAACCGTTCTCTTTTTATTTGCATTTTGTAGCAGGGCTTGGTCTATTTTCTTTTCTTTCCTTGCGTCTATTTTCTTGTCTTGGTTTTGTTTGGTTTGTGGTCTAGGGGTTAGTTTAAGGTTCGTGGTATTTATCTGCATATGCATTTTTGATGAAATGGGAAGAATTATTTAAGAATCAAAAATTGATCTATCATCACGTGAAGTCTATAAGAGGTATTCTATTCAGCGAGTGATGAAAAGTGTAAATGATCTGATCAAATCAGACCAAAAAAAAACCCCTGCTCCTCTCGTGCTAGATGTGCCCATTTCTGCGCTGGAAATCGTCATCAAGCCGTTAGTTTGGCGAATGAAGCCGTTGAGTATAAAGAACTTACTCGAAAGCCATGCCTTCACAAACTCATGTTCATATGCTTGGATATTCTCCACTGGCTTCGGGGGTAAAAATTCTGTCGTTTCGTTGGGGAATAGACCATTCTCATCCCCTACACATAGTCAGTTCATTGCCTTTCTTTTGAGATCAGAGATTGCTCTTACAATGATGAACACCCCCCTCAATCTCCGCAAAAGGTCTATCCAAAGTATTCGGTCGATGTGGATGGGGTGCATCGTTTGCAAATGGGGTTGCTTCTCGCCAGGGATCTGCTGTCCCACCGATAAACGCGAGACGGGGATACGAAATATTGAAGCCGCCGTATTTGTTGTTTATTCTTGCGTCTACCTCGGGTGGTGTTGTGATATTGAAGGCGTATTTGCATGGTAAGCTTGTGTAGTCGAGGGTGACTAAACGAGATACTAGGGATGGCTTGGATTTGGGCGTGCCGCTGCCGGTTTGAAAGAAGCCCCATCTATATATTTAGATGAACACTTGGTTGCTTGGATGTTGGGGAGGAAGGATTGACATACTCGGTGCAAACTTGGTATTCCCACAATCTCCAGTTTTGTGTCAAATCATTCTGCTCGTAGAAAGTTGTGTTATAGGATGAGAAACAGTCATCCGCGCTTCGGCCATTTCCGATACATGGCCAGACTACGGTCTCATTAAGGTAGCCCGCGAAGTTAAGAAGTTGAGTTGTCAAGTGGCGGTTTACTTTAGGATCATCCCATCCTGCGAGGGCAACGAGCTCAGCTGCTTTTTCTATATCTTCACTTGACGAAGTGTCGTTGTAAAGAAGAGTGTCCGCAACAGTGATATTGACGCAATATTCGAAAAAGGTCGGGTCATTAACCGCAGGATCCCAGTTCCGTCCTTGCCAGCTTGACAGCGGATAACTTAGGACGTTCGCAAAGTCATCAACGTGGCTGAGATCCTGCAGACCAAAGAGTGTTTCCAGGTCTTTGACTGCGCTGGTATTGTGGGCAAGATTGTCTAGAACACCAGTCAAATTCTCCACTGTATGGATGCAGTTTTGAGGGGCGTTCCGCCGTATCGGCTCCCAGTATTGCCAGTAGTCAACTATGGCCTCTGTAACAGCTGATGATGCAATGGCGCCAAAGAAGACATCTGGGTAAGTTACTCGGAGAAAAGCGACCATGGCGCCGGCATAAGACCCTCCGTAGGCGATATACGGAACATGCCTCGAAGTAAGATTCTGATCTTCAAAGCCCGGATATACAATGTTTTGAGCAAAGTATGCCACATCAGCAAGGCCTTGTTCTGTTGTCAAGAACCGCAAGCTCTCGGTTGAAAAGTCCTTGGTTGGAATACTAGCTCCGTAATAACGGTGCTCAAGGACAACGGCAATGCCGTTTGTCAGCTGTGCCAGCTGAGCAACCAGTCCTTTTTGCAGATAGGGCAATCTATCTGTCATAACTATGAGTATTTTGACTTTTACAGAAAGGATCTTCACAACATACCTTCACCAGAGGTTTCACCACTTTCTAGGACAAATACAGGGCCCCCTTCCTTGTAATGACTGGCATCAAACCAGTAGCGAAGAGGAAAGGTACCATTACTATGAGGTTCATATCTCGATTCATTATGGAAATGATCTATTGGCACCGACAGGTTATACGCATGATAAACAACAGCTGAGCTGTCGACTTTTGCATTTAGATATTGTTCCTCGTGCCCACCGGTATTGAGATATCCCTATAGAAGCATCAATGTGAGCCGAGCTTACAAACTCCATTTGCATTATTTACCTTCTGGCTGAGCCCTCTATGCACGGTTGCAAGACTCGCGCTAGCTACCTGAACCAAGGCAAGAAGAAACAGCATCTTCGTCCGCTGTGCTAGAACGAGTGGTATGCTATTCGGTGGTATTGGCAACCTCGGTCGAGGAGACGTGCATCTCGGTAAATCGTGGATTAGTAGTGGTTTATGGAGGCGAGATGGAGAGGTATGTCTTAAACAAGCTCTGGCGATCACTGTTGACGCCAAGTATGTGCCTAGTCCTTAGTTAGCTTTGCTCGTGCGGGGTATTTGCGCTGCTGAGGAGAGCAGTGATTGCATATTTGACTCTGAGAACTTATATACAGGTCTATATATCTATTTGGCGCTATAAGTCGTGAGAGACTATGTATGAAAGGAGTACAGACTGCGGGATTCGTAGGCAGAACGACTGAGTAAGTGCGAGTTCCCAAAAGAGAAGGAGCCAACCAGCCAATAAGCAGCAGCCACAGTGGGTCCCTTCCGTTCCGCAGCATAAGTCAAAAGTCAGCCAATCACAGGACACCAAGCCACAGCCAGGGCCGTTGTCGTCCAGCGCGACTTCTTTTCCTTCTCACTTACTTTCGTCCTATTCTCCTCTCTATCAGGACAAACTACATCCATGGTCCAGGAAAAAAACATACCAGTATCAGGGTGCGTTCCTTTTAATGACGTTTCCCCAGCTGGCATTTCCACGCCAGCAACTCAGTGAGAACCCCAGAGGTCCACGGTCCACCTGTCAATCCAGAGCGTTTCAAGATAAGATCCCAAGTCCAATAACATTGCATACCATGCTACATTTAATGGTTTGACATTATTGGAATTTTGGGTCAGTCCGAGCACAATCAATCCTTCGAATATTCTGTTTATGTTGTTACATGATTTTATCGCAATAAGAACAGCCAATCCTTGCTTGGACTTTTGTCATCGGCATTCTTGATATCATCGCTTGCCTTCTATCAAGCCATCAAACCATCGGTTTATTGATTGGTCCGTACCTGGATTTCAGAGAAAAAGGGTTATCAGCCGCGTACCATCCATGGCTCCTCCCGATTTAAACTCTGTCCCTCCCTCGCCGCGACTCGGTCATACTTCCCAACCTGATCCTGAGGTGCCCTCTACGAACCGGACATCTCACACTATGGGCCCACCACCGATGCCAGTAAATACTATGTCACCCACCATCACTACCGAGCCTGCAGGCCTAGGACCAGGTGAGCTATATAGGCATACCAGTATATACACAGGAAAGCTTATGTTCATCATGAATAGGTCCTCTACGTCATCCTCGTCCTATGACTGCCGCTGACTTACACCTGGTGTTGGAAAAGGAGCAGGAGGCAGTTGTTTGTGCCCCTTCCGTATGTTCCTGGTTCCCGTATACTAACTACACTTTACATTCAGGTCAATCGCCTAACAAGGGAACTGACTCTTCTCCGACAACAAACTGCATCCGTTGCATCGACTGCGTCTTCTACATCGACGGGCTTAACTGATCCTACGGACACATCAGTGTATCCTACGTCATCCCGTCAACATCGTTCGTCTTCGAATCTGAGTTCTCACATTCCTCCCGGATCGGCAGCATTGGCGTCGAGTGTTTCGAGCATTGCCCCTTCCCGCGATACCGCACTACCGTCGTCACGTCCCTCAGGGGAGTTTACCCGTGTGGGACGCAGTCGGGAGCCTTCAGTTACCTCACCACGTCAACCGGTGTCACCGTACGGTGATGTGGGCTTCCAATATTCTCAATCGCAAGGTCAACAGAGCCATCGCAGCTCTGTATCCCATTCTCACAATGCTGCCTATCCGCCTGAAGCTCGGCGTTCGACCTCGATATCCTCGACAGCGGGCAGTCGGTTCGAAGAGGCCGCACAACAACGAGCAGAGCTCGAAGCTGTCAAAAGGGAGAATGAGATGCTTCGGCGACGAGTGCGCGAATTGGAACAGACGCTGAAGGTTTATCGCGATCCGCATGTACACTCTCCGGAAGAGCCCTCAACGTCTACCCTAGCGACTGGTATGCGGGATACCACTCTAGCAGGGTCATGATTTCATACTTGGGATTACTACAAGATTGGATATGTTTTTGTGTGCTTGAGCAAAGCTGGTAAAAGACTGCGTAATAAATCAGACAGGGCACTACAATCTTTTCCTTTTCTTATTCTATTTCGCTTCTCCTTTATTGATTCTTTGGAGTCTGCGGGCCACAATTCGCAGCTGCCTAGACTAAGATATTAATGAACATGGTTGGTCTTTCTTTCTTGAAGAAACTAGTAAATTCCTGACTCTCTTACTTTCACATGTCAAAATCAACTACGTAGTGTGGCTAGAGCGTAGGCAGCTGGGTGAAGAAGATGACAACATCGGGAGAGGCTTAGCCAGCCCCTCTTCTACGTCATGGACTTGTGGCGCATGCTCCCCGCTTGACATGCCACCAACTCCTGTTCTTCCCTTTAAATCAATCCCTTCGCTACATTCTTGCAATCAATCATCAACTCTCACAATACTCCTAATCAGAAACAAATACTAAGCACCATGTCTGGAAGCAACGTTGTCCACGTCAAGGGCATTGCCCCTACAACCACTGAGAAGGAAGTTCGCGACTTCTTCAGCTTCTGGTATGTTGATCTCTGATCATCGAATGATTTGCATTCTTGATTTCCTCACGGATTGTGGTAATGGAAACTAACGAGTCGCCAGTGGTAAAATCTCCAACTTGAGTCTTACGGCCGAGTCTGGAGAGCCCAATGCTCCCAAGTCTGCAACTGTAACCTTTGAGAAAGAGACGTACGTTCCTGAATATCTCAACTTGAGAATGGACAGGTACTGACTTTGTACAGAGCCGCTAAAACTGCCCTCCTTCTTGATAACACTCAACTCGGCCCCTCTGCCGTTCACGTGGAAGCCGCCCATACCATCGACGAAATCGCCGGCAGCCACGCGGCCAGCGCTCAAGAAGCCAAGGACGAGAACCAACACGACATCGAACAAGAAGACAAACCCCGCTCTCGCATTGTCGCCGAATACCTCGCTCACGGCTACACCATCAGCGACCAAGCGATCCAAAAGGCAATCGCACTGGACCAGAAACACGGCTTCTCCAACCGATTCACAGCTGCTCTAGCTGCGTTTGATAACAAGACCAAGGCCACTGATCGCGCCAAGGAGCTTGACACAAAGTATAAGATCACAGACCAGGCTACTAGCCACTGGCGCGGACTGACTTCGTACTTTGAGAAGGCCCTTGATACCCCCACGGGCCATAAAGTGCGGGATTTCTATGTTCAGACCGACAAGCAGGTCCGTGATATTCACAACGAGGCTCGCCGTTTGGCCGATCTGAAGAGCGGAAAGACTCCTGCAGAAGAGAAGCCTGCTGCTTCCTCTGAAGGTGCCACTGCTCCAACTTCGGATATTGCTCCCAGTGCTACCAACACTAGCATTCCTGCAACTGAACACAAGCCCGTTTGATTTGTTTTCAATCAAGGAATATCTGATGAGTGACGGATTACTTTTTCTATGAGCTGCAAGCCTGTTTCATGTCTTATTCTTAGTAAATAGTTAGTTAGTTACAATCAATCAATCGACCTTCCAAGTATCACTACAAGCATGAATCTAGTGTCTGATTAAGCATTGCTAGGGTCTTATTCATCGTCCCAAACAGGAAGTATCGTCAATTGCCAAGACTGATATCATCCTGGGGATAACGTCATAATGATGAAGCAGGATTTCGTCCAATTTGGAAGTCGCATATAAATCGATTCCTTTCAATCCTCAATATCACACTTTGACAACATACACGAATCGAACAATCCATACATCCATTTCTAGAACTTCAGAATCTATAGGTATACACCAATCTCTCTCTCTGTGTCACCAGACTAACTCAATCCCAGACCTCCCTCAATCCACAAACCAAGTTACAAAGAACGAAACAATGTCCGCCCCAAACCCAGGCCGCCAATCCCCCGACCCCGAACGCCAACCCGGCGCCCAACAACAAGAAGCCACAGGGTCCGGAAAAGCGACCCCCAACGCTGCTCCATCGGACGAATTCTCAAAGACCAAATCTGATGAGAACAAGGCTGGTTTGTGTAGTAATCCTACGCATCCATTGGAGAAGAGCGCGAAGGAGAAGGTTTCTTAACTTCTCTCCTCTTAACGACTCGGAAAGAGAAGAGGTGGTGGGATGAGAGTGGTTATTTGATGATATGATCGATGAAAGGAGGATAGAGATGGATTATTTTCTTTGAATGTATTCAGGGATTGAATCTTAATGATGGAATGAAATGACATGAAAACATCATTTATGGAATATTACCTTCATGGTATTTGCTTGCTTAGAAGATGGATGAATGTATAGTCATGATTGCTATGTGGCACTATCTAGTCAACACATGGGGAAATCTTTTGAATCTTGATCCAGTACGAGAATCGACTTGACTCGAGCGAATCTTTTGGAAGAAGTAAAAATTGGAATTAGTGAGGGAATCTGTAGAAGTGGTGATCCATTACTGTTGAAGATGGAGACCAGATGTCGTATCAAAGGGGGAAGTATATATGTTGGGTGAGATGCGTGTCATGACGAACATAGAATGAAAAGTGGGTGGGGGGGGGAGGGGGATATGTGACAGGGATATAAAAGGGGCATTTTGATCTTGAATTTATACAACCTTTGGGAAAAATCAAGATTTTACAAAATATCCGACAGATCAACAATACAAACAACGCCAAGGGAAAGAGAAAAAGAATCGTATCTCATTCAAGGCCGTCTATTCAATTACCACCATTCGCTAAACTAGCAGCAATGGCAGCATCGACTTTATCAGCCTCTTGGAATACGGACTGTATGATTTGCTGTTCTTCCGGAGTCAAGATCTTGGTCAAATTTTCATATAATTGCGGTTGTCCTTGTTGTAGGCCTGGCACAGTGTCAGCATTTGAAAGAGTTTATAGAAATATGGAGACATACCAAGCATCACATTTTTGAATAGGCCGTATGGCTCAACTTTATCGAGAGGTGTTTCGAGGAGACTCTCTTCATCCAAGTCATCGTCATCGTCGTCTGCGAAAGAACCAAACTTTTGTGCCTAAAATATGGTCAGTATCTGACATGTATGAAGATATTTGGAAGGAGAGGCTTACCTCTTGACTCAGGAAATCCAAATAAGCAGCATTCTCGTCAGCAACATCATCGTCACCTCCACCCTCAGCTTCGTCTTGATCGTTCCATTCAACCTCACCATCCCACTCGGTATCCTCATCGACGAGATCATCCTCATCATCGTCATATGTATAATCTGATTCTCGGGTGGCAGCTTCGCGATGCTGAAGAGCTGCAGGCAACGTCTGGAAGAGTCTCGTAACCCCCTGCAACAACCGAGGCCAGCCCTGCTGAACGCTAACAGGTACATCCTCCACTTTCAATGTCAAAAGAGAGCTAATGGCTGCAATAGACAATTTCTTATCGTGGACGCGTCGGAAACTGTCAATATTCGAGAACCATGCGCTAAAGAACTTGTTCGTCCAACCCTTGGCTTCGAGGATCTGCAAAGTCAACGCCGGGTTGTAGTAGATAGCATTGATGACCATTTCCATGAGATGAACCCGGTATGACTTGGTCTTGGCGTCGCCGCTGTTGATCACGTTCATTGCAAGCTCAACAAAGATTGGAACATATTGATCGACATATCCGCGAAGGTTCAACATCAGGGCCTCTGCGAGTTTGCAGCCACATATTCTATCAACACCTCCGACCTTGTCGTCATGGAAGATATCCTCTACCATGCTAACGAGGGCGGCGAGATAGGCGGGATTCTGAACCAGCATTTCGGATCCATATGAAACAAAGTTGTCCAGCGCAGGTAGCATATCTATCGCAACATTAGTAAATTGAGACGTAATCAATAATATAAGTACGTACCCTCCAAATAAAGCTCTGCGCCCGCTTTGAATGTCTTGTGGATAAGCTCGAAAGCTTGCCACATGGTTGGTGAAATGCTCTTAGCAGAGAATGTGCAGCTATCGATAATCTCGAATATTTCATTGTACAAATCGTAGAGTTTGTTCTCTAGAGTAATGCTGATGACAGGCATCAGAATAGTTTCCAAATGTAACAAAACATCTGGAGTGCTCTCCAAAGTGAGGATGAGCGTTCCAATCGTCTGCAAAACACCCAAAGCAGTGATGCTCTTGTCGTCTAGGAAGTCCCCGTACGCGTCTTCGTCAGTCTTGGAGGCCTGGCGCTCAAGAAGTTCCCCAACGATTCGCATATAGGTGTCACGTAATTGCTCGCTCAGAGCCACTGCGAAGGGTGTAAGCTCCGCAGAAAAGACCTCAACAAAGTCCTCCATAACATTTGACAAAGCATCAACGTCGACTTCGTTGGCCAACTTCAGCAACTGCTGCATGATTTGAGGGATATTTTGCTGCATTGATTGACGGATAGTGTCATGGCGAATCAGAGGTTGTAATGCAAGAGCGGCCTCAACACGGACGGGCAATTCAGGATCAGCCATGGATTCCAAGATATTGCGGTAGATGATCATCAAGTTTGCTGGATCCTTGAAGTCTAGCTGTTCAAACTTCTCCAATGTATCACAAGCACGAGCCCTGAGGAAACCATGAGGGCTTCGGAACTCGGGGAAAACGTGACGAACAAAAAAGTATTCGACCTGGTCAGCAATCGGACTCTTTTTACCCAGGATGACTGAGGACAAGGATCCAATCATTCTCAAAGCTCCTTCTTTTTCTCTAGGAATCTTCTCCGCATCCGGTGCGCTTTCATATTTGCTGACAATGCCGTTAACGAACTGTAGGATTGAGAAGGTCTGTTTCTTCCGGCTCTTCGTGAGCGAAATCAGGAAATTGGTGGCAGCCACATCTGGAGCGGAAATTTCCTCGTAATAGTTGAGTTTTCTGTGCAGATACTCAGGGGGATCCGTCTGGAAAAGCTCGAGATCTTCGTCGGTCTGGCAGAGAAGAGGGAAAACAAGATGCGCAATCAGAGTGTCCATGTGGGGTTTCAAATGATCCCAGGTCGATTTCGGCTTCACACATTCCTCAAGGAAAATTAGGGTATACGAAAGGACGGGTTTGCTGAGCCATTGACCTTTGACCCATTTCTCGATCTCCTGCAAGTATCCGTGCATGATTTCGGGAGCGAACGTGGTGATGAACGACTTCGCGTAGTTCGTAACATCGGACGATGTGTTTTTGGTGATTGATGTAGGGTTTCCATATCTGCAAAAAGTAAAAATCGCGTTAGCATGGAAGTCGTCTCAGACAGCACAGATAATACGAACCTGACAAACAATCGGTTCAGATTTCCATAGGCCCATTTTTTGCACTTCCACCAATGGTTGGTCTCTCGGTCCTCAGGATCTTCGAGCATAGAGTTGGCCGGAGGTGCTTTGGCTACTATTCTCAAGAACAAGGTGCACCAGTCGACAGTAGCCTGGTGGGATTTGAGGTGCGGCGGAAGTTCAAACTGTGCGCAAAGTCAGTCAGTCACGGCGCTGCATGTAAGCCACAGAGAAGAGCAGTCAACGTACATAAATCGCATGCTTATAAGCCTTGACAACCGTATGCAGCATTTCCGCAGCTTCCAAACTCTCCTCATCCACTAATCTATTACCGATATTCAAAAGTTGAGGAAAGCAGTGTTCCACAATCTTATCGAATTCGCCCCGCTTATCATTCGCCTTGAACCTGTACACTTTGCAAATTGCCAACAGACACTGCAATCCTGAAAATACGGAGTTCGCATCGTTGGTATTCAAAAGTTGTAGGGTGATATCCATGAAACCGGGCCATTTTTCAGGGAAATCATATGAGAGGATCTTAGTGATGAGTGGTATGAACTGCGCACGAACATTTGGAGGGGACGCGGCGAGGATCGGGATGAGTCGATCTCTGAGTGCAGGACGCTCTTCTTCGGGGATCTTTTTAGAGGTGGTGTTGTCTTCAGAAGGCGCCCATCCTCGGTTGATGCGGTTTTTCAGGTAAACAACGGCTATAAAAAGCAAATATCAGCACACACAAATTTCAACAAGGCTAGAAAAATCATTGCGACAATAATCCTTCTTGATAAGTGAGATTTTCATTTATCCTTATTGTCGCAAACACATCGAGAGAGATTTTGTGGACGATAATGGCGGGGCTAATTTTTTTTTGCATACCAGAAAGTTGGACAGCGTTGTTTTGTTCCCCCTGCAAAATATCAAGCAAAGCACCTGTAAATCCGGGCTGAGTTTCGGCCTATAATCGAAGAAAAGAAAAAAACATAATCAGTAATAGATAGCATATATATAATCCGAGGTCAACACACATATTTAAGATCCAGCTCTGCCTGTCGACGTGTGTCTGCGTTCGCGTCAAGAGTTGACTGGATACGGTCCCGTAAGGCGTTCACGTCCATTTCCTCCGTGTGCCCTCGAGCACCAAACTGAGTTTATCACAAAGCTCGAAGATAAAATGAAGGCAAAGTGAGGTCAAGAGAGAAAAAAAGGGCACGGGTATCCTGAGGCCGTAGCGGGGTGATATATAACGAGAACCACTCGCGAAGCCTCGAAAGGATATTCGTATTGGTCGAGGAGGATGGGAAACGAAGGCGGTACTACTTAGAGCCACAAGAGGAAGGGTTTAAAATATCAACCTTGTCCTCTCTTTTTTTTCCCACTCTGCTCTGGTTGACCGATTTGATGAATGATAAAAAAAAATAGATTTGGTGAAATTGAATTGGTTGACAAGGTTGTGAGTGGGTTCACGGAAAGAAGAGTGGGTTGAGTTGCTCAGTGCACAGAAAATTATTAAAAAGCAATTAAGGAAATTTTTCTGCCAGCACGACCCACACTGAGAGCTTAAAGGGTGACTCCACGCCAAGACTGTCCTCGATATCTCAACAGTGCTCTTCAGGGGTATGACTGTTAGTTAACTATGGTCTGATAAACATGGTTTTGTCTGAAATTTTCCAGTTATTTTTACTCAGCTTACTGGTTATGGAAGAATGTAAACATGCAACTGGCCTTATATAGTATCTGTTGACTGTCTAGCACTGTAGTGTAGAACATAGCTAACAGCCCATGCTTAAGCGCCATATCATGCAGCAGCTTGCACTCTGACACCAGCTGTCTTGCATTCAGGCCTTCATAGAGTGTGGCAATAGCACTATTGGCTAGCAGTCCGCTAAAACAAGGGAGCCACTTCATATGCATACCCTGGCAGCGTTGTACAACATAACCATCAACATCACTAATTCAATGACTGGTCCAGTCCATAGACGACTGACTTGTACGACACAATAACTTGAGCGCCAATTACATATAGAGAGACGCGGCGAAAATGACATCGCGCTTGATCATCTCTTGCGCTTGCTGCATCTTGAGATAAAGCGTCGGATCCCCAACCAATTTGGCCGCATTCTTGACTTCCCTACATGTCTCGTCCAGTCGGGTGATGGTTCGGACAATGGTTCCTTCCATAACGTCTGTGAGATCCGTAATCCGGTTGAACGACATACCCTTTGCCCATTCGTACACAACCTCCATCAACCCAAACCGAGGTTTGCTGGTGAAGTCGTTGGAATCCTCGCTTGACAGAATGACTTGATGCAGGATCTGGAAATCGTTCACCTTGTCCGCAATCCTGATAATTGCTTCTTTGCCCTTTTCCAGGCGGGGTGTGAGTGTTGGATCATTCTCCGTCTTCTCTTGGAATACAAATGCCGAGAGGAGGGCCACAATTTCCTCTGGTTCATACTCTGCGAGTACATTTTCGAGAATGAGTTCGGTAAGGACGAGCTCATCGGCAGAATGTATCTAGATTATGTTAACATATGGGTCTTTGAACGTGGAATACAGGACTCTATGCGACTCACCTCACAAGCAACCTTGCCCTTCAACAACACCCGTGAATCGGCATCCACGAATCCGAGCTCCTTGAGTACTTCAACCCTCTGCTCGTAGTCAGGTAGCAACTGCAGGTTTTGATCTGACATAAGTTGACGAAGTTGCGAGATATTTTCTTTGACCTGCCACTCGTCGTGTTGCATTTCGAACTGGAATAAAGTCAGTCATTGAGTTATCCAATGTATAAAATATCGAAGGGGACAAACATGTTTGAGGAAATCCGGACACGAAAGACAATGACAGCCCTGTGCAATAGCCGCCTGCTCTTGTCTCTTAAGCAATATCTCTCGGACTTGAAGCTCCTTCACACGATCCCAATCAAGTTCGTCCCAGCTCGGAGATTCCCATGATGCGGCGTATTTTGACAATTCCTTGTCACCGAATTTGAGTGACTCTACAAACAATAACAGAATGTCAATGAGTGTTATTGGCCTGTACAGGTGAACACTACATACCTTTCTTGATATTGAGGTACCATATCGGTCCTGTCACTTTGACAAGAGTATTGGTCACACATTCAACATCAGCCAAAGGGATCCGGCAGACTTTCAAAGACATGTCGGCAGAGCTTGTAGGTAAATCTCTGAAAAAGGGTCGAAATCTTGGTAGGAACGGCAATATGTCGCTTGGATGTCGCTTGTCGCTCACAGCGCCAATCTCCAATACTTGGATATTCGGCTCACCGCCACTGATACCTTCGCGAACAATAATTCCGGCAGTACGGATTCCATCCTAGCATGATCTGTGAGTATGGGGTTTAAGTAAGCGGGGCTCACCGGGTTGAGGCTTACCTTTCTATACACTACAAGCCTCTTAATCATAAAAAGTCTTTTCCCCACTGGAGACGTGATGAGACCCAAATGAAGATCTCGAGTAAGCTTCTCGTATTCCACAGAGGCTTGATGGCACGCCGCAAGATCAACGTCACAGTAGGTACAAGGCTCGCGTTTGATCTTGGATAAACTAGCTTCAGATAACTGCACCTGCTTCTCATGCTCTGGCAGAAGAGCTTGGGTTGCATTTTCACTGAAACTTCGCTTGATCATCTCTTCAATCTTCAGAGCTTCGACTCGCAGAAGATTCAGAATCATATTGTACGTCAGACGGAATTGTGACCTTAGTTTTGTAGGATCACCGAGCATCATGCGGCGCAAGGCACCAGCTGGTGGGGCTTCGTCCCTGCCGGTGGTAACGATAATCACATATCCTACAGTGTCCAGACCTCTTCGACCAGCTCGCCCTGCCATTTGAGTATACTCACCGGGCAAAAGATCCCTAAAGCCCTTGCCATCGTGTTTGCGGAATCCAGAGAATACCACTGTTCGAGTAGGCAAGTTCAAGCCCATCGCGAAGGTCTCTGTGGCAAAGAGAACCTTGACTAGAGTCCTAGCGAAAAGGATTTCGACAATTTCCTTCATTATAGGCAGAAGACCTCCATGGTGCACGGCGACGCCTCGACTCAGTAGTTCACGAAGACGCAAGATCTGCGGTAGGACCCTATCTTCTGGCTTCAATCGGGCTAAGGATTTCTCAATGATCATATGAATAGCACTCTTCTCTGCTGCTGTGCAGAAGTCTTGATTGGAGAGTGAATTTGCATTTTCCTCACATCGCTTTTTCGAGAAGACAAAAACACAAGCGGGTAGCAGATTCTCCTTGCGTAGATGTTGTACCAAGTGAACCCACACGTTTCGGTCTTGTGCAGCTGTGGTTCTTCCTCCTCCTCGGCCAGTCCGAGCAATATTCCCCGTTCCTCGATTAGCAGGCTGTCCTCTTCCTCGCCCCTGTCCACCTTGAGGACCTCCTCGTCCTTGGCCACCACCTCGTGGACCACCGCCTCTAGGCTGACCACGGCCTCTACCTTGCTGAGCGCCTCTCTGACTAACCTGCGACTGTGCTTGTGCTTCGGCGGCCTTCTGTGCTTTTTGCTTGTCTCGTCCAGAAAGAATATCATCTGCTTCCTTCCAACCTTTCTCAATGAAACGTTTGTTGGCATCGACAATTTTATGCATGCTTTTGCCGGACCAGAGATAGTGCTCCAGTGGGACGGGACGTTTTGGAGTAGAAATCACATAAATGTCCTTCTTCTTCGTACGTCCAACCCACGAGGCAAATTCATACGTATTCGGTACTGTAGCTGACAGGAGAATCAAAGTGACGTGCTCGGGAAGCATGATGATGACTTCCTCCCATACAACACCTCTTTCCGTGTCGTTGACATAATGCACCTCGTCAAAAATGACGAACTCCACGTCACGGATAAGGTCTGCTCCTCGGTAAAGCATGCTTCGTAAAATCTCTGTAGTCATTATGAGACAGCTAGATTCGGGGGATATCTGGACGTCCCCAGTCAAAATACCGACATCTTCAAATGTGTTTCGAAAGTCTCGAAATTTCTGGTTACTGAGAGCTTTGATTGGCGAGGTGTAGATTGCTTTGGTCATGTGTTTCGCAGCAAGGGCTATAGCATATTCTGCTACAACAGTCTTACCGGCAGACGTATGTGCCGCGACAAACACTGAGTCTCCATTCTCCAAATGATAGACAGCTTCTTTCTGAAAGGTATCGAGCTCGAACGGCCACTCTCTAGCCATATCGGGTACCAAATCATGAAAGTTTGATATTTCTTTGTTGACGTCCACAACATGTGCCCACTCGCGGCCGCCTTTCTGTGCTGTAGCTGCCAACAGTTGACTTCTAGGTTCGAATGCAGGAAATTCGACTGGTAGCAAGGAGTCGATATCTTCTTCCTCTTCATCCTCACTTGCCATTTCATCTTCATCTTTCTTATATTCCTGCACGTTTCCATCGGTCTCGGGACGGTCAACCTTGATACCCTCTTCTTGGTCTAGAGTCTTTTCCACTTCTTGATCGTCTTCTTCGGCTGCCTTCGATTCTGGTTTCTTCAAGTTGAGCCCTCGTGTGAATCCTGGTGGCACCTGTAGCAACCCATCCTCAGTACCGAACTTGATAATGCGGTCAAGACCTTGTTTTTTGATGCCACGTTGCTGCTCATTGGCCTGCATTTCGGATTCCATTTCTGCAATAGCCTCAACTCCCTCCAATCCACCTGGTGCAAAAGGGAAGAATCCAGCGGCACCTCTAACAAAGTCAGCTCGCGCTGCTGGACGTCTCAGCAGAGACGTTGAGTTCTTCGCTGTGGCGCTACTGGCGGGTACTGTCACTTCATGGTAACCCGTCACTCGACCCTCGAGACCTTCACGATTGAAGCGAATGATGGTACGCGTCTGGGTGGGCGCTACCTCAAAAATGTCCTGATAGTCAATAGACACGTCCCATCTCCTAATTAAATCAGTCTTCAGCCCATGGGACGTTCGATCATAAAAACAGATTTACCTTTGCAATTTATTTAACCAGCTAGGGCTAAAACGTGGTGAAGGAGTAAGGAATTCATCCTCCAGTTCCTCTTTGAGGTCATTTTCATTGTGGCGACGAATTTTCTTTCGAGATCTGGAGCTGTCTATAATACCTTCTTCTTCTTCGATGAGACGTGCATCGTAGCTTGATGCATCCAAAGCATCTAAACCCAAACGAAGCTGTGCCAGTCTTGATAATAGAACTTCAGTCATAGCAAGACAACTTTTGAAAGTCCTGAAGAATTTGATGTGGTTTTCTCAGGTCCTGGTTGGAAGATTGATTGTTGAGAGAGAAGTGTAAAATAAGCAACGACTTGCCCGTTAATGAGGAAGGCACATGAATTAAATCAGATTCTGGTGTCCTCTTTGGCGCTATTGCATGATGGATCAATCTCAAAATTCTGAGAAAGATACAGATAGCTATGGTGTGAGAGTTGAAGCTGTGACATCAGCTTGGTTTGATAGTTATTTGTGGAGCCCGCCAAAATAACCCCACGAAAGCCTTGAAGTCTTGGCATCAATCCAGCTCCTTGTTGCTGCTACACTTACTGCTATGTTCTGTTGTCGATTACTTATATCCTTGTGCAGACAAAGCTTTGTTGTTTTCAGATGTCTGCGGGGTTATGCTATGTAGATATGCATGCAATCTGTGTAACATCGTTCCACTAATTATTTTGCTAACTGTGTTTTATATTGTTCCGGAAGGATGTTCAAAGCGACATCTGGAACATTATAGCACCAACCATCAGCACCAGTTGACGATAAATACTATGTGTCTATGGCAACTCTCCGAGGAAAATTCAAAAGTATAGGGATTTCATTGGAGACTGTTAAGCAGAATACAGACTCAAACTGCGCACAGACGCGTGAGGCCCTTATTATGGGTAGGTATCACATTTTCATCAAAATCCTTCTTTAGTTAATCAAATGAGAGATCAACATTGGAGGTTACTGAAGAGCCTCGCTTGCTTCCCACTAGTGAATTCAAGACTATCAATGCCGATCATCTAGTTGAAGAGGAGGAATTACCTGATTACCGAGCTGATCGATTCTCCCCTGCTCGACTGGGTGATGTTTTCCAGAATCGCTATCAAGTACTTGCGAAGCTCGGTTTTGGTTCTTCCTTAACCACTTGGATGGCTTGAGATCTAAAGTATGTATCTGTGGCATTTATGGGTTTAGATGTTTTATTAACTGCTTCAGAGCTCATCAATATGTGGCGCTCAAAACATATGTATATACTTCATTGGTTCATCGTGAACTTCCCCTTGATCGTCATATTGCTCGCCATGTGTCCGGCAGTACACATAGAGGACGACAGAATATCCGGAAGCTGTTAGACTCCTTTGATGTTGTCGGTCCACATAGCAAACATGCCGTTCTCGTCTTCAAAGCAGCGCAGATTAGTCTGCGTGACATGAAAACGGTGTTCCAGCCCGGTGGATTCGACGAAGATTTCGTAAGGGGTGCAATTATTGAGCTTCTTGAGGCTCTAGATTTTATTTATGCCGAAGGGGAAATCGTTCATACTGGTGCAGTGACTCTCCTCCACTATCTTTCCTTGGTGTAGGTCATTGCTCATATGTGAAATATGATATTATCATAGATGCACATCTTGGAAACATGCTTCTGGGACTATATGACAATAGCCTCTTCAAACGCCTTGAGGGAATGGAGTTCGCTTCCCCAGTGCCCCGCAAACCAGTTTCCTCTTTATGACTGATTTATCTCTCGCACCTTATGCTACCTCAGGAACATCCAATGCTGCTATCTGACTTTGGCGAGGCAAGGATCGACCCAGGACCTCATGGCGGTGACATTGTACCATTGGAATACCTAGCTCCAGAAACATTACTTTACGTGGGATGGAGTTGTCCCGTGGATATTTGGAGTGTTGGTCTGACGGTTGGTCTTTGTTTTTACTCCTCTTCATACGCGGTTGTCTCCTGACCAATGCATTCTGAGGACAGGCATGGGATCCATGGGATCCCTGGGAACCAAAGAGATTATTCACGGGGCGGGTAGACGATCTTTACTGACTCCTGACATCGCAGGAAACTGGCCTGGTCTTGCTTCTATCCCAGATACTAGAACATTAGGCGCTTAACAACCAAGCTCATAAACAGATTCCCTCCAATACACCCCCCTCCCCCCAAAAAAATTGCATGCTTCAAGAGTGCCAGTCGCCAGACTGGATTCTTGTGAGTAGCAGAAACCTAATCATGTATAGTCCACACACTAGTTCACATCTATAACAATATTTGATATCCGGATTTGACAAGCAACGTTTGTCACATGGCGTTTCAATTTACATTGACATTGATATTAATAGGGTTGATTTGCTGGAGGAGAGGTCATCTAATAGGCCGCTATAAGAGTGAATTTTCCCTTCCAGTTTTACTACTAGAGTCGTTTGTCTTGTGTCAACATGGATAACATGAAAACATATTAAAATCATGCAGGTTGTCGATGTGTTATTGAACTACAGCTACTCACAAGATATTTTACACGGTTTATTATCAGATGGGTGTTCTGGGAACCTTGGACGCCTACATATATGCAGCAGACTACTGACGATAATTGATCTGAGTTTGATAGTTCCATATGACTATAACTACTAGCAAGTAGGCCTATTATCACTAGAAATGAGGTGTATGAACTACTTCTTACCGAGTAAAATCCTACAGCTTCCAGCTTTCTTATGATGCTTGGTACAACTTTGGTCAATGAAGGCAACTTCTTTCACATTCACAATCTTCTTTCTTTTCACTGACCTAGGTAGACAAGTATACTGATTCAGCTTTGTCAATTCAGATAACTATTATTGACTACTTAGGTAAATACATTATAAACTAAATATTCTGTCTCATGCCCGTAAATATAGACATCATTGCGCACTGCCCCAAGCTTGGAACCACCAGAAAGAAAAAGAGAATCGGATTCAAAGCATGCAAAGAGTTCCATGGCTTCATAGCACATCCCTCAGGCCAAAAAAGGATGGTAAGAGCAAGTAAATAACAGGATCATAAGGATAAAAACATCTGTGTGTAACAACAGCTTCAAAATGATACAGATCCAGAGACCCACAATGAGTCCTCGCTCTCATTAGCAGAAAAACAATTTCATCGGCAAGAAAAGACTGGGAAACTTTTGCGATCCTGCACATTGATTTGGAATTCGAATATTCCTTCTACTGTCCCAATATATCTGTTGTTCAATGTGTCAGTAACCTATATAGTGTTGTGTATAGTCGGATCGCTTACAAGGCCCTTCCATCGGCGCCCCAACCAACGCCCGCAGTGTCTGCGGGATCTTGATCCTGGGGCATGTAACCAAAATGTCTGTCGGCTTGGTCACTACTCAAAATATGCCTAATCCACCTCGGTGAACGCATCTAAGTTCACCCGTCAGTCTTGTATATCTCAACAAAACGGAGACCAAAAGGAAAGGAATACGTACTTCATTAGCAGCTAGTCGTTGCCGTCGCAGTCGTTCTGCAGCTACACTAGCCCGCATCTCTGCTACTGCTGCCCGCTGTGCATCGTACCGGCTTTCTGTCGTAGCACCAGGACGCGGAATCCGACGAGGAATCGATCTTGACCGTTGAGATGTTTGCCACGCTTCCGTTGGCGGTGCTTCATCAGGAAGAGCATCATTCCAGGCCTCTGCTATAGTACTCGGATTCCACTGGCCATTGTCAGTACTCGAACCGTTATTATCCGAGTCATGTTCAAGGTTAGCAGCATTGTTATGTAAATTGTCTCCTAGTGATTGTATATCTGCAGGCGAAGCGGTCCATCTGAGCCGCAACTGAAAATCGGAGGTGGCATTATTATCGTTGTTGTTGTGGTCGCCACTTTGACCGTTGAGGACAGGCCCTGCACCTTGGCCAGATTGCGATATCACAATGGATGCACGACGTCTTTGGCCAAAGCTTCGCTCTGTGGAACTAACCCGGCCAGGATAATGCTCCCGAAAGAGCTCCTGTAGCGCAGCATCCGTAGAACGGAAGGGCGAGGTGGTACGAGAAGGGTGATCAGCGTTATCAGTAGCACCGCCTAGAAATGATGCAGTGGCGTGTTGTCCTGAATGATTGTCGGTACTCGGTGCCCGATTTTCTGCATCACCTTCATGTCTTGATGACGACCGGGCCGTGTTGAGAAACTCAATGATCTGTCGTTCTCTTTCCGTGAGCCCCTGAACACTTTCGCGCAATGAGGTGACCCTATCAGAGGTGCCGGCGTTAATTCCTGTCAATGACATTCCGTTTAGCAAATCTAAAACTGCTTGGTGGACATTGCCCATTTCATTTCTCGTACCGAGATCATTTTCTTCGCTTTCTGAGCGTATCAGATATGGTGAATTATACATCGGACGAACTTTCTGCGTCTCTGGGTCGTCTTTATTCAGGTCCACAATCTGCCGACGGAAGAAGCCTGAGCGGATATCAACAATCCCAAACCTTCCAGTGTCTTCAACCCACACTAAAAGATCCCACGGTTCCGGTGAGAACGCCATACTTCGTACTGCGCCGGCAGAATCAGCTCGGGATGATCTAAATAAGGCCAACCGAGCTTCGTATCCTTGTATGCCTGGCATTGATTCGAGAATCACATTCACGTCGTACACGCTAATAATACCAGACTGTGAGCCGATGGCACATAAACAACTCGAGGGCGAAAAGGCTATAGTGAAACAACTGCCGTCGTCGAAATTGGGGCTCATGTTCAAGTCAGTACTCAAGGGCAACTCTATCCGACAGCAAAGATCCCATGTCCAACCGGATAATCGTTCGCCTCCGTGTCCATAGTCGATGGTGTCCGGGTCCCGTGTAATTCGATAGAAGTATGCATAATTCACATCACCGACAGCGGCGAGAAGAGTGGAGTTTGGAGAGATGACAGCATAGTTCATACATTTAGGATGATGTTTTGTTTCGAGCAGTTTGCGTCGCGTCAGTGAAAAGATCTTGATCGTCTTGTCATTATTACTACCCATTGTCTTGTTAGGTCGAGTATTTAACATCCAGCAGGGCGTGCGTACCTGAATACAGCGATATCCTCATGGGCGAACCCTTGCCTCTCATTAGCTGGTAGGCGATGAATTGTCACTGAATTCACGATGCTGCCAGTCAGCGCTTTGGTAAAGATCTCCGGTATATCATTGCCGCCGCCTAAAATGCCAGAAAATGTCTGCTGTTCTGTCGAAGCACCTGTTGCCCCTGCGGGGACCCTTGTTTCCATATCAAGCTCAATCGGCAACGCCGCGTCTATATCTGCTGCACCGGGCCGTGAAGCATTCCGGGCACGGGGTTCCCGGCCGGGAAGACTGATGAATGCACACTCTCCATTATCGGATCCTCCAACGACAATCCATCCATAAGACGCGGCAAGGCATTTTGGTTCGAAAGGTACCCGTTCAATTGTATCCCATCTCTGCGTCTTCACGTTGATCGAATGGACTACCTTATGAGCGACAAAATAGACAAGATCGGGGTCCGCTGTACTGATATAATGTCGGAGCTGATGGTGGCTAAAATGCAAGCCCTTGGGTCAGTACAATGCTTGCGTGAGGAGACAGAGAATACTGACTAGTTCGGGATTTTGAACGGAAAGAAACGGCGTTTTGTGGGCAGGATAAGCGAATCGGTAGGAAAGCTACTATAGTATCAGCAAAGGGGTGGTTAATTAGAAAGCGCTGTAATTCCAGATACAGATGAGCACCAACAGTAAAGAATAATCTAGTGTCATGATTGACCAGGAGACGGAGGCATCAGTGACGCTGCATGGTCGGATGGAGGTATCAGTTCCAGTACAGCTCTAGACACCGGCCGACTGAAGAGACTATATTATATACACAGACACGACAGGAGTAATTCTGATTGAAGTCTCGGAAATTCCAAAGAAGACCGTTGCAGCTGAATCGACAATGTTCCGTTGTGCACTCGATCACCTATCGACATATCAGAGAGTGGAGTCAGACGAGGCGCTGTATGACGGCACAACACGTTTAGCGTCGCTAGCTGTTTCCGGCACTAGAGTAAGTGCCTGGGTTCTCAGGCAGCGCCGGCTATTCGGCTGGGGCGAGAGATGCCTCAGGCCCTGGACGCTTCTACCGACTTCGATGGAGGCCCTGCACGTGACCTGGCCGAGCTTTTGCCCGGGCGCTAGGCATGTTTTGGGAAAGGCCCAGGGATTATTACGGAAATTTTGGCTTCACCAATTTCTTCTCCCTTTCTCTTCCTTCCATCCATCATCCATCATCCATCACATACATCTCTTTTCACCTTCTGCTGGTCCCTTTTCAGCTTCCGTCTCAGTGATTCAGGGCTTCTTTGTACTTTTATACTTTTAGTTTAATTCCTTTTTCTTTTTGTACTTTTAGCACAATGCTCTCTTCACGTCTCTCTCGCGCGGTAAGTGGCCATCGTTGCCTCGGAAAGGCTTTATTTGCTTCTGCGAGAAGACAAAAGAACTGACATCAGTTTGCAATACAGCTCCCGCGCACTCCCTACATTGCCCGCGCTTCTGCAATCAGAACCCCCGGTGCGTCGTTCCGAAGATGGAACTCGACAGAGGGTGGTGAAGAGAAGGTGAAGGGCGCAGTCATCGGTATTGATTTGGGTATGTATCTGTCAATTCATCACGGTGTGAGCATAAGCTAACTTATTACCAGGTACAACCAACTCTGCTGTCGCTGTGATGGAGGGAAAAACCCCTAAGATCATTGAGAACGCAGAAGGTATGTAAAAATTTTCGTCGCAGTTGCCGGCCTAGGTGGTCATAGCTTTCGAGGCAGCGGAGATGGAAATAGGCTAACCTGCTGATCTCAGGTGCTCGCACAACTCCCTCTGTCGTTGCTTTCGCACAGGATGGTGAACGATTGGTCGGTATTGCCGCTAAGCGTCAAGCTGTCGTGAACCCTGAGAACACCCTGTTTGCCACAAAGCGTCTCATCGGACGTAAGTTTACCGATAATGAGGTGCAGCGCGATATCAAGGAAGTTCCCTACAAGATTGTCCAGCACACAAACGGTGATGCCTGGGTCGAGGCTCGTGGCCAGAAGTACTCTCCTTCTCAGATTGGTGGTTTCATCCTCCAGAAGATGAAGGAGACTGCGGAGGCTTACCTCAGCAAGCCTGTCAAGAACGGTGTCGTCACTGTTCCTGCCTACTTCAATGACTCTCAGCGTCAGGCCACCAAGGATGCTGGTCAGATTGCCGGTCTGAACGTCTTGCGTGTTGTTAACGAACCCACTGCTGCTGCTCTTGCCTACGGTCTGGAGAAAGAGACTGACCGCGTTATTGCTGTCTACGATCTTGGTGGTGGTACCTTCGATATCTCTGTCCTTGAAATTCAGAAGGGTGTCTTTGAGGTCAAGTCCACCAATGGTGACACTCACTTGGGTGGTGAGGACTTTGATATCTCTCTCGTCCGTCACATTGTCCAGCAGTTCAAGAAGGAGTCTGGTCTCGACCTCTCTGGTGATCGCATGGCCATTCAACGTATCCGTGAGGCTGCTGAGAAGGCCAAGATTGAGTTGTCCTCTTCCCTTCAGACCGAGATCAACCTTCCCTTCATTACTGCCGATGCTTCCGGTGCTAAGCACATTAACCTCAAGATGACCCGTTCTCAGCTTGAGAGCCTCGTCGATCCCTTGATTCAACGCACATACGAGCCCGTCAAGAAGGCCTTGAAGGACGCTAACTTGCAGGCCAAGGATATCAACGACGTCATTCTCGTCGGTGGTATGACCCGTATGCCCAAGGTTTCTGAGTCCGTCAAGAGCATCTTCGGCCGTGACCCTGCCAAGTCTGTCAACCCTGACGAGGCTGTTGCTATTGGTGCTGCCATCCAGGGTGCTGTCCTTGCTGGTGAAGTCACTGACGTTCTCTTGCTTGATGTCACTCCTCTCTCTCTCGGTATTGAGACCCTTGGTGGTGTCTTCACTCGCTTGATCAACCGCAACACCACCATCCCCACCAAGAAGTCCCAGACCTTCTCTACTGCCGCTGACTTCCAGACTGCCGTCGAGATCAAGGTCTACCAGGGTGAGCGTGAACTCGTCCGTGACAACAAGTTGCTTGGAAACTTCCAGCTCGTTGGCATTCCTCCTGCTCACCGAGGTGTTCCTCAAATCGAGGTCACCTTCGACATTGACGCTGATTCCATTGTCCACGTTCATGCCAAGGACAAGTCCACCAACAAGGATCAGTCCATCACCATTGCCTCTGGCTCCGGTCTCTCTGATGCTGAGATTCAGAACATGGTTGAGGATGCTGAGAAGTACGGTGCTCAGGACAAGGAGCGCAAGGCTGCCATTGAGGCTGCTAACCGCGCCGACTCTGTCTTGAATGACACTGAGAAGGCTCTTAAGGAGTTCGAGGACCGTCTCGACAAGGCTGAGGCTGACCAGATTCGTGAGAAGATTGCCAGCCTCCGTGAGTTCGTCGCCAAGACCCAGTCTGGCGAGGAGACCGCCACTGCCGAGGACCTCAAGCAGAAGACCGACGAGCTCCAGACTGCCAGCTTGACCTTGTTCGACAAAATGCACAAGGCTCGTCAGGAGGAGTCCAACAACCAGCAGCAGTCTGGTGAGCAAGGTGGTCAGGGCGAGAACAAGCAGTAAAGTTGCGTCGCCACTGAATAATGTTTTCTTTTGTTTCTCTCACCTTGTGTGACTATTTAGAATTCTTTCCCCCTCTGTCATCCCTCCTCATCCTCCTTCGTCTCGATCTCCGCATAAAATTGTACAGATATTGATGGCTGTCATGTTTCTTCTCCAATGTCTTTTTACTATATTGCTGCATCCGGATATTTTATGCTTTTTTGGTGCGACGGTGTTACTTTTCTTCATCCACTGAATTTTTCTCAATTATGTCTTTATATTATTTGAAACTTTTTTTTTTTTTTTTTTTTTTTTGCACCGGTTGTCGATTTCTGATTCCCTGGACTGCAAAAGAAAAACAATGCACGGCGGGCGGGCGGAACGGAAAGTTTTTTCTTTTATACTTGATTATCAAAAGTGTAACTAACCTAATGACCCTAACACGGCCTCATCCTCACGCCTGGCTGTTGGGATGTTGGGTGCATGGAGCATATGATTATAGAATCGAAATCTCCTCTCATAATTTATCTGTTTACAAAATTCTCTATTCGTGACTTTATAGTTGATTATTCCTTTTGTTGATAGTCGGATTTGAGACATTCGTGACATCTGGAACTAGATGGGTGCTATAGTATCATTCTGGTATTTGCCGTACCTATTTGGTAGATTCTGCTGATAGATGTATATAATCCAGATGCGAACAGAGAAATGATATACATTGCATTCTGTACCAGTAAACCATAGGCCGTAACAAAATTCATGAACCTACATTTCAAAACATGGAAATCCTAGGTTTCTATATAATGGATGGATATTATACCTCCGGGTCGGGGTTCCTTCACAATTCCTTGGTTACAATAACCCTAACTCCTTGTGAGCCTGGCTCGGGAACGCCGACAAAGTAGTCGCGAGCGATACGGATATCCTCAGTAGTAGTTTCATAAGTCTCCATGTCAAAGCGCGATAGGACGAGAGCTAGAGTCAAGAATATTTCTGCATATGCGAGGCTAATAATATCATAAAGTTAGCGCGCCGAAATGCCTCGGGGGGTTCCCCGCAAATCCTTGTTCTGTAGGGAGACACATACTTGATACCAACGCATTGCCGACTACCCTTTCCAAAAGAAACAAGATACCTATCCAAGCGCGTATTGTTCTGTTTTGCGTCCATCCATCGTTCAGGATTGAATTTCGTCGGTTCAGGGAAAAGTGTCGGGTCCATGTGAACAAAGAGATTACATTGGCTAACTGGCGTCTAATGCAACGAATTAGAGAGGGTGAACTGACTCAGGTGACAAGGAAATTTCGCGGGAATCTAGTTTGGGGAAAACGAGGGGGGAAACCATGACTAGACGATAAGGCGAACAACGTACCGAGGCGGGGATTGTCCACTGTTTATATTGAATGGGTTCATGGGCGACTCGGGGTAAGCGAGTGGTGACTCCGTGCATAAGGCGTAGTCCTTCGTTGATAACGGCATTCTGGAGATTGTGATGCGGTTAGATATTGCCGGTAAGATATATGTTAGATTGTGGAAGTTGTACTCACCATATAAGGAAGTTTTTCGAGTGCGGTCAACAACTCTCTTCCAGAAGCAGAAAAGTCCGTCTCGACCGTTGACAATTCCTGGCGCAACTTTTCCAGCATCTTCTTATCTTGTAAAAGATAAAATGTTATAATTGTCAATACCTTGGCAGTGGTCTCGCTCCCGGCCCCGACCAAAGTCTGTGCCTCGTCCTGAAGACGATCCGCACTCTTCTCTTCAGGAGGCAGATCACTATCCAACAAAGCCTGGAAGATTGTACCGCTTGCCTTGGTGCCGGAGCGATTGTTAGCAATGATACTGTCGACTTGTCGACGAACCATGATCTGCCATCGCACCAGCAACGAAGCATCCGGGGCGAGCTTGCTCATGACCACTAACGGGATAGACTTCATGATGGACAAAGCCCATGGAAACTGTCGAATCATTGCGCCGCTCGAAGAGCCACCAATGACAGTCTCCTTCCATTCAAGCTTGAAGTCCGGCTCGGCAAGATAGTTGTAGCTCTCTCCAAAGGCATAATGCGTTATTATATCCATCGTCAGCGCCATATAAGCTGCATCAAGCCTCAGCGCCTGTCGAGAGTGGGAGGCCTCGGAGAATCGTTGGCATAATCGCTCAATCTTGTCTCGAACAAGGGCAGAGGCATTGTTGGAAATCGCGGTTTTCGAAAAGTAAGGATTCAAGGCGGATCTTCGGAGGCGATGCTGCTCGTGGGAAACTGTCGCAAAGCTTGATGCTGGGGCGCCAGCACCGATGGTCCAATTGACATACTTGTCTCGCTTCTTTGAAGCAGGTGCGTATATCACTTCATAGAAATCAGGGTCCTTGATATGGAGTTCGTCAGGTGTTATCCGTACAATTGGCCCTGTTCTTACACACGTCAACCCTTTTCTTTTATGTATCCGTTGGAATGCCCCTAGTCTCTGTTTGTTTATACGAGACGCACAGTACCAGATTTATTCGGGCTGAAGGCGTGTTTTGATTCAAATTGATTGTCTGATAGGTAATGCTTCTAACGTACCATATTTTTCATGCATCCGCTCAATTTGCCATATAAACTGGCCCGGATTCACCACGTCATAATAGAACTCATACCATTTCGTTAAGCCGGCCAACCTAGGCCCAGGAAAGCGAGACAGGGGGTGGAAACATAGCCGATAAATGGCCCCGAACACAAGGTATGCCAACCAGCTAACGACCGCGGACCAAAAGAGAGTCAACATTGTCGTTCAACGGATATCAGTTGATCCTCCGGCGGTCTCCTCCCTCAACCCTGGTAACAATATATGAAGAAGAACAGGAAAATGAAAACGAGGAAGGGGGAGAGAGAGAGAGTAGCCTCGGCCTGTGGCCTGACCACGTAGGTTAACTTAATAATTAACAAACCTAGCGAAGCCATTCGATTATCCAGTTTTCTGATCCACCCGCTGTCCCGTCCTGGATACGGACCAGGTTTTATTCACAAAATTGAAGTAAAAAGACGTCTGTCCTCGAGCCAATAAAGGCTAACAACAAGGGCTAACCTCTCCACCACGCCGCCCCTGTACGGACGCTACGCCGAGTCTAGGGACGTAGACAAAAAGTTTCCGCGTGCGCTAGCACCCTTAATACTCCGTGAGTGAAAGCCATTCCCCCGCCCGTGCCATTGTTTTCTGCGAGCTGAGCGTCGTTTTGACTTTCCATCCGCACATTTTCTTAACTTCAGAGTTTTATGCTGTTGATACTCGTTGGATTTAATTGAGTTGACGTGATCCACAGAGGTTACTTCAACTGAGTATATACGCTGTCGTCGGTTTACCTCACTAAGTATCGTTCCCGAACCCGTGCTGACAATTGCCTGACAGCTACCATCCCGTCCAAAGCCGAAGCGAAGCAAATTGCGGCAAGCATTATCGCATTTACGAGAAAATATGGCAGAGGCTCCAGCTGCGGCTCCAGTGCAAGCAGATGCGCCTCTGGAAATTGACGTATGAGCGCGAAATGCGAAACAAAAGCGAAAACTTTCATTGACACAAGCTGCAGTCCGAGAGCGATGATCTTGAGAGCATCGAAAGTGATTTGACGTCGCTATCCTCATCTGTCTTTAATTATGTATATGAAAATGGCCGTACTTATCACGCATATAGGTCAGGCTCTTATGTAAGTGAGCGTTGGCGAGACTTGTCGTCGACGGTAATGAAATGCGAGCTGTTTTCTGACATCTGGCTTAGATGCTGCCCAACGATGATAAAGAACAGGACAGGCTAGACCTGCTCAACCATGTTTTTCGTCTATGCCTTGATGGCGATTTGTGCTATTCTCAAAAGCAACTCGAGAACCCTCAAAAGATCCTCGATGTTGGCACGGGAACTGGTATTTGGGCGATAGAGAGTGAGTATAGGTGCTTTTTTCGCAACACAACATAGCTGAACTCAACCCTGTATAGTGGCCGATACCTATCCATCTGCAGAGGTGGTTGGAATTGATTTGTCTCCTATACAGCCAAAGTGGTCAGTTTCTTTTCTTCTTCGCCTCTATTAAGAATTAGGGTCGGCCCTGACTGTGTCGAACACATCTAGGGTACCTGTCAATGTGAAATTCATCATCGACGACATCACCCAGCCATGGGACTTTCCAGTCAACTCATTTGATTTCATACATGTGCGCTGCCTGGCTGGCAGTATAACAAATTGGCCGGAATTCTTGGAGCATGCTTATAGGTACGAGGATGATCCATCCGTATGTGAAGCTTTAACGACACGTATTGATATACTCCATTGCAGACACCTTAAACCAGGAGGAAGAATTGAACTTTCCGAGGGTCGTACTCACATGGAATGTGACGACGGCACTTATCCCGAAACATCATATACGTACAAATGGATTGTAAGTACCTACTTCCGCTAAAAGAGCTGCCGACGAAACTAACTCGTTTCAGGCTGAGTTCAACCGAATTTCCCATTCACTCGGCAGAGTATTCGATTTATTCCCCGAGTTCTCGGGTCTTTTGGAGAAAGCAGGCTTCACTGATGTGCGAGCACATGAAGAAATCTGTCCTATTGGAACATGGCCGAAGAACCCTCGATTGAAAGAAATCGGTCGTTACTTCCGTGTCCAATTCATCGAAGGCGCAGTCGATAGTTACTCGTTGGCCCTGTTCACTCGATATGGAGGTTGGTCGACCATGGAGGTGGAAGTTCTGCTAGCACATGTCCGGCAGGAAATCAAGTCCAACAAGATGCATGTCTACACTCATTGGTAAGTTTTCTCTCTCTCTCTCTCTCTCTCTTCTGTACCGGCCTGCATTGACATTGGATTAAGCTCTTTTGCGACTGCAATGAAACCCCTTGAATGAACCCGAAGTCCTACACGTACATAGATACCCTGGGTATGAGATTTTGTACCATGTTCTCATATCCCAGTAGTACTCTTTTCATCTATCAGCGAATCTATTGTTGCATCTGTAGCATGCCCTTTCCTTTAAGCCACGTTATGCAATCTTAATAGTTTTGCGATACTCATTTTTTCATTCTCGTGGATCCCGGTGTCTTTTTTTTCTTTTTCTTCATTCTATTTTTTTTTTTTTTTTTTTTTTTTTTTTTTGTGAGACCCTACCATCTCTGAGCTGACTGGATGCTCTATTTTTCGACCTATACGTATTTCAAAAAGTTGATATGGAAATATAATCACTATCTATGGTTAGATAGGATAGCCGACAATACAGCCAACCATATATAATCTCATCAATCCGTTTTCAGCATCTTGCAGGTCACTGTATGCAATGATATCCAGTAAGGATGAATAATCAATGTAAGTATCAGTCTGATTGGCAATCGAGTAAGCTCAGTAGGGAAATGCAAACCGACAGTTTGGGTAGGTGGATCTAGCGTCCTAACGCTATGGAGTTAGGTCTACTACATCGTCGATATATGAATTGTGATGGATCAAGAAGTACGGAGTATTCATCACATTAACTCAGTTATACAATATTTTGATAGTCTTCTCACCGATATGGCCACAGAGAATAGCCACTGGCTGGACTAGGTCAATATATTTCGCGTATGATGGATCTGATTGGCTGCTGCAATAAAAACTATTGATTAAAAGAGAACACTATTGGCTGTTCCGCTGAGCCGCTGACCAATCAGAAAACAGAACGTGCCAGATCTAGACCAAACGCCAACAAAACATCGACAGTTCTGTATCTTCATGATCATGATCAATGAGAATTATCAAGAGGAGAATGTATTCCTATTGCTACCTAGTGCGTGGATGATAGTCTGACTCCTCCTCGCATCACCGCAATAGTCACAATTCCATCGACAGTCCATCCCGACAGGAAATTAGTGCGTGCTGCTAAGCCTCTACGACGCCTTAATCCGGTTAGGGCCATCTATTTCAAGAAAAAATTGATGGTCCACTTTTTTGGCATTTTCGAACATTGGCTGCTGCCCTATGATTCTTCTTTTCTCTTTGCTTCACTTTTCTTCTTCTCCTTCTTCCTTTTTCATTATTTCTAGCGGTTTTTTTTCCTTCTGCCTAGACTGGGCTTTCTATAACAATTGGCCGGTGTGGAAAAATAGCCCTAGATTTAGTTTCGTTGGGTGACCCTCGACTGTGGGTTTGTTTATTTGTTCCTTCCTTAGATCATCGTCATCCTTCTCCCTACGCCAGGACTACAGGAGCTTCCCACCCCCTGAATGCTTCCTTCATTCATAGGTGTTGGTATTGTCTGACAGGGTGGAATACAAAGAGAGAACCTCTTGGACGACAGACAAACGGATTTGATTCTTGGTCTTGGAGGAATCTTTCAGTTGAAGTTATTGATTCTCACGGATTGGAGATCATTGATTAAAAGTCAGCTCACACTGACTTCAAGTCCAGCCATGTCGGCTGCCACTCCAGCTCCTCCACCTGGAGATAATAACCTCAACAGCCATCCTCCCGGTCACAACATAAATCTGCCTCGATTCCATCCCATAGCCATCAATCCAAATGTACCTGGGTCGACAGCTCCAGGCCCCCCACCATACCATCGCTCATATGGATCTCCATACTCAGATCACCCACCACCTCACCATGCTTCCACTGGTCCTTTACCGCCGCCTCTTCCACCAGCTCCTGCGTCCCATCAGTATCAGCCTCAACATCAGCAACATTCTCAGCAGCCAGGACCGCCTTCTCGGCCATCGTCTCATCCACCTCTTCTCCCGGTACCTGTGGCATCTCAGCTCGACCAGATCGAGGCTCGATTACGACAGATTGAACAAGAAGAGGCTAGTCGTGCGGCAGCTCGTGCACATATGCTTGCCTTGAGAAGACGAGAAGACGAAGAGTTTCGTATGGTGACTGAGAGAGCCGAGGCTGAAGAAGAGGTTCGTCTCTCGTCAACTCAAGAGATAGAAGATTCTAATGGTAGATAGGAACTACGACGACGGAGAAAGAGACTGAAAAGAGAATCAATGGGTTTGATGGACGGTCAGATGGAGTCTCCACCTGCACCAACGCCACGACGTCTTTCGGAAACCAGTGCTGCAACGACGTTAGCGTTTTTCAAGCAACAGACCCCTCCTGAGCCGCGACCATCAGATATGAGGGCACCACCACAGCAACAAGCTCAAGCTCCTCACCATCCGTCACCACCTACAATCATTCAACAACCTACGCCAATGGCGCCCACACCAAGCACATCGATCATGTCTAATCCTCAAGGGAATACGTTTCGGAAGAAGCAGAAATACACCATCAAAAATGCAGAGGCATGGGGTGAGCGGCATGGTCGACCAGCAACCTACGATGCAGAAGGACGAGCGTTATGGAAACGTCCCTCGGACGGCCGACTGGTCTATCTCGACTGTCCAGCACCAGACTGCGGTAAATCTGACTTCGTCACCTTGCATGGATTCATGTGCCATTTGACCAAAAAGCATAAAGATCGTACTTTGGGTAGTCAGTCTCGAGCCTTGGAAGTATGTGGAACTGTCTACGACCCCAATGCGCCGCGGCCACAACGACCCAGCTTGAAGAGAGATTCGGCGGGGAATAGTCGGGGAGGATCGGTGCATACGGAAGGCGACGAAGAGGAGGATACATATTCGTCAGTGGCATCTGATATTCATGACGATAATACTACTAATTTTAATAATCATCATAGCAATGTCCCATCGCCGCGAGAGGATGGCGTCAAGAAGGAGGCTGCGGATAGTCCAGTGACGTCTTCTGCTGTCGTCAATGAAGTGTCTTCAAACAAGGCCAGTATTGCGTCTATGATTGATAATGCTGTGACGTCAAGCGATCAATGGGTAAAGAAATCTTCTACTCCGGACGATGGGCCTGCAGTCGCAACCACCACCGCAGAAGACGCAGCGGCAGCGGCAGTTCTGGCAGGACAGGCCATCCAAGTCTAATTTTGAATTTTGAAATTACTTGTTTCTTCATGTTAGATTCCCCATATGTTCTCCGTTAAGAAACATACGTCTAATGCAATAGAAAGGAATTCTCTCATCCATCTCTAAGAGGCAGTCCGTAAACCCTCCCTAAGCACAAGAACATGAACCACATACCCACTCCCATCCCCTAACCCGCTCTCATCCCCCTCAGGCCCTGCGACAGTACTACTAAACTTCTCAACCCTCCAAACCCGAAAATATTTCAACGACTCCTTGAGCCACGCCTCAAACACATCCGGTGATCTTTGCTGTTGCGCTATTATGGCCATCGTTGGATTTTTGGGTTCGACTTGCTCGGGCTGAGTGGATCGTAAGTTGCATATATCGGCACATGTACGTACAAAGCATGGAATGAGTGCTTCGTTGTAGATGCAGTCGCAGGATATGATGATATCAAATCCATTTTCGCTTCCAGGACCATCGTCCGTATCGCTATTGTTAGTGTTGTGCAGGGTCTGGTTGCTGGGTATATCCAATTCCCAATCCAACGGGATGAATTGTATGTTGTTACTTTTGCTGCGTTTCGTATTCTCTCGTCTATGCCCCTTTTTCGATGACCCCCTTTTCGAAGACGAATGAACAGAATGCGCATTCTCCTCAATATTCATCCCAAAGAATCGACGCACGTACTCCTGATCCGTAGCAACATACTTCCTCACCAACGGCGCCAACGTAAGCGCCACAAGCCCCGAAATTCCACAACCCAGCTCAATCACACTCGTATCCGCGCCCAGTATTCCAGACCAAAACGGGTTGGTCGTCACGGCTGAGATCCATGATGCGAATAAAGGGGTGATCTTCCATAGTACGGCGCCTGTTGTGCCGCCGTCTCGGGTCGAGGAGAGGAGGGTGGGGGATTGGCGGATTGTGTAGTCTATGTTGTGGATGGAGAGGTCTATTGCTGTGGTGCGGGAGTTGACGAAACCCAGATTGTTGGAGGGAATGGTGCGGGAGAAGAGGAGGAAGGATTCTGTTCAGCTACGGGGTTAGTTGACCGTTGGATTCGCGGTAGTGAGGAGGACGTGAAGATAGGGCTAGGAAGTCACATGTTCTGGTTCTCTGACTGCCTTCCTAATGGGGTAAGGTATGGGGTACACAACCAGGACGGAGTACAAGACACATAGTTACTTCTTGCATATACATATGTAGATAGGCAACATCTGTACCTAGACATGGTACTAAGCACAGTGAGAAAAGAAAAATTTACTTACCTTCCTCGGCATCAACGACTTCCTCGCCAATGGACGATAGGAAATTCAGGAGGGACTCTGACATGGTCTGTACTCTGTGGTTGGATCTGTCATAGGATCATTAGCCTCTTACGGAGTAGAAGTGTACTGTACGTACGTACGTAGAGAGCGGAGGGGCCACTACGATCAAAAGAGAACTTTACCCCGCATCTCCGTCCTGGGCATGTAATTATGGAGTATGGGTTATACTCCAGCATTAAACAATCTCTACGGTAATGCGCAAGTTCTGACTGTATCCAAAACATAGGTATAATATGCCTGTCCCGAATCGTCCAGATAGTCCAGATAGTCCACGGCTTAATTATGCGGTTGGGACGGCTTACCCCAACAAAGCAACGCAGCCAATCAGCGATCAGACAGTTGTGGCTGGGGCGACAACAGAACGTTAACTACAATACAAATACTTCAATAGAGAGATGTCTACATAGTATAGTGTCTTTGCAAGAGAGATGACGGGCTGTGCTGGTAAGCATCTATGTGGTTTGTGGAAACACACGCACAGACAGTGGTCGACCGGACTCTGTACAAGTCTATGATAGTTGATAGCTACTTATTCACAAGAACTTGAATAAGCAACTTGGTGCATAAATATGGCTGTAATAGGCCAATCATCTAATCTAATAGCCAGATAGTTAGGCAAAAGCATCACGAAAGCCAAGAAATATCCAGTCTAGACTGCTAGCAAAATAAGAGGAGAAAGCTCTAAACAAGCCACCCGAATTAAGTCGTGCTCCCCTTTCTCCTCCCTTTTCTCTCCGCAAAACGCCGCTTGTAGGCTTATGCTCATCGTCCATTCTGATTCTATTTTATTCAAAACCAAAGTTTCTCTATTTTTCTTTCCCTTTTGATTATACTAACTCGTCCGACGGGGCGAGTAAGGCAGCCAGGCAACAGCACGGTTAGTAAGTTCTGCGGCGCAGTGCACCCCGAAAAGCTCTGACGTATCGTATCGTATCGCTGACCTTCTTTCCATAGAAAACAGACTTTCCCTCCTACACTCGCTCACTCCCATTCAAGTCTTCTTCCCACCTTCCCTCCTCTTCTGATATTTGATCCCCTCGACAAACTGCCAACATGGCGGCGCACCACGATATCTCCATCCAGCCTCGTATGCTAAAACGAGCTCCCTTCACAGTCGAAGCTTCCGGCTACGAACCCGTCGAAGGCGAAACCATCCCTCGCCGACACCCTGCCGCAAAAGACAAACTCATCTCCCGCCCTGCTGAGGACGTCGCGACCATCTACGACATTCTCCGGAGAGGCGCCAAGATCTTTGGTAATGCCAAATGTGTCGGATCCCGGCGTGTCCTCAATACGCACGTTGAAAACAAAAAGGTGAAGAAGCTGGTCGATGGCGAGGAGCAGGAGGTCGAGAAGCAATGGACCTATTTCGAGCTCACGAGCTACGAGTATATGTCCTATGTCGAGTTCGAGAAGCTTGTATTGCAGGTTGGTTCGGGCTTGCGCAAGTTGGGTCTCAACAAGGGCGACAGATTGCACCTTTATGCTGCTACTAGGTGAGTCTGGCCATCCATCCTCCTTCGCGGGGACGACTGCTAATAATCATAGTGCGCATTGGTTAGCTACTTCTCATGGTAAGTACTTAGTCCATGCTTCTTGAGGTGCAAAACTCACATCCACAGCCGCCGCATCCCAATCAATAACCTTCGTTACCGCATACGACACCCTCGGAGAGGAAGGATTGAGCCATTCACTCAAACAGACAAAGAGTGACGCCATCTTCCTCGACCCCGGTCTCATTCCATCCCTCACAAACGTCATAAAGGATATCCCCAATATCAAACACGTCATCTACAACACTGGCGGCGTCGAAGTGAAGCAAGAGGATCTCGACAAGCTCAAGTCGCAGCACAGTCATCTCAACGTTGTCAGCTTTGATGATGTCGTCAAGGCAGGCGAAGAAAATCCCGTTGATCCTGTTCCTCCGCAACCCGAAGATCTTTGCTGTATCATGTACACTTCCGGATCGACTGGTACGCCAAAGGGTGTGTCGTTGACGCATGGAAACGTAGTTGCGGCTGGTAATTTCTCTCCCTTGCTGTAAAAATTTCCAGAGCTGATGATAATAGTTGCCGGTGTTACCGTTATTGTTGGTCCGTATATCGGCCCAGGTGATTCTCTGTTGACCTATCTTCCACTTGCTCATATCCTGGAGTTCGTCTTTGAGAATGCATGCATGTTCTGGGGCGGCACCATGGGCTATGGAAACCCCAGGACGCTATCTGATAGCTCGGTGCGAAACTGCAAAGGAGACATTCGTGAATTCAAACCAACTATCCTCGTCGGAGTGCCTGCCGTTTTCGAGACGGTCAAGAAAGGCATATTGGCTCAGTTGAACAAAGCCAGCTTTGTCGTCAAGAACATGTTCTGGGGTGCCTTGTCTGCTAAGCAGTTCTTACTGCAGACTGGCTTGCCTGGTGCTGGTGTATTGGATGCGGTCGTCTTCAGGAAACTGCGTGAGGCGACTGGTGGTCGTCTCCGTATTTTGATGAACGGTGGCGGTCCCATTGCCAAGGATACATTGAAGTTCATCTCCTATGCCATCGCACCCATGATCAGTGGATACGGCTTGACTGAAACCACTGCAATGGGCGCACTGCAAGATCCATTGGCATGGAACCCAGAGGCACTGGGTGACATTCCCGCATCAATCGAAATCAAACTGGTCGATTTCCTAGACGCAGGCTACTCGGTGAAGAACAACCCTCCACAAGGTGAGATTCTCATCCGTGGTGCCAGTGTCACTCGTGGCTACTATGAAAATGAAGAAGAGACCAAGAACGCGATCACTGAGGATGGCTGGTTCCGAACTGGTGACATTGGCGAATTCGACAAGTACGGCCATTTGCGCATCATTGACCGTAAGAAGAACTTGGTCAAGACGTTGAATGGAGAGTATATTGCGTTGGAGAAATTAGAGTCTGTGTACCGTGCACATCCCATCGTGGCAAATATTTGTATCTATGCTGCAGAGCACCAAATCAAGCCCGTTGCCATCATCGTACCGGTTGAGGCTGAGCTGCAGAAGATGGCCAAGGCGCAGGGTATTGAGGGACAGCATCTGGAGTCTTTGGTGCACAACGAGAAGCTCAAGTCGACCATCTTGAAGGAGTTGCAGAATGCCGGCAAGGCTGGCAATCTCCGGGGCATTGAGATCATTGATGGAGTTGTCTTGTCTGACGAGGAATGGAACCCACACAATGTTAGTCTTCCCAGTGCTCTCGTTACATTATGCTAATATGGAAAAAAAAAATCCAGGGATATACGACTGCAGCCCAGAAACTTCAGCGCAAGAAGATCGTCGACCACTTCAGAGCCGATATCGAGAAGGCATACAAGTCCTCATAGATGAGGTGAGATGAGACGAGGTCCATCGCGACAAGACAAATAATGAAAGAAGGAAAGTCTACGTAACAAGAAGCATGACATGCCACGTGTGTTTCTAAACTGGTATAACAATCCAGTTCGCTGATTGGATATAATCTATATCTTCAGTGTTGCAATCTGATATCCTACGCCCTGCTGCGCCTTGCTTATATGATTAGCTATTGCATCAGATGGGGAAAATCTGGAGAAGAGAAAAACAAAACAAAAACAACTCAGGGATCTATATGTATAATGAATGTGATTATGAATGTTGTGGTTTATTTACTACTGTGACATTCAGCACTTTGTTTGTTTCCTTGATCTCTATTATCTATTATATAGCGGTGTGTTTTTAATTGATCTACCTGTTGTTTCGGTTCCATTGCTTATGGGTTGCATGGTTTGCTGTTATATGTAGTGTTTGAAATATTATGATACACGCTCCAGTAATCTCAACTTTTCTGGTTCTCGATATACACGTCTCTAGTATCTCACTGAATCTGCTTACACCATTCATACAACTTGGACATTGTCAACTCCCTTTTGTGTTTGCAGAGGTAGACGCTTATGTAAGGCGATATCGCGGAGTCGGAATATGCTTTAGCCGATGTCTCTTCGTGATGCGTGATGCGTGATGCGTGATGTTATCCTCTGTCTCCAACCTTCAATCTACCCCATTCGCAAGTATCTTGCTTGACAACCAACCGAAAAGAATATAAAAATGTCCTTCTGGAGGTACCTCAATCATCCGCCCAAAATATCCATTTACCCAACCCAACCCAATCGACAAACTAACCTCCCTGTTTGAATTTAGTTCATACAAAAGCCTCTCCCCCCGAACCCGTCTCCTCTTTGGTCTCGGCCTCATGGCCTGGGCAGGAATCGGAATGACAGCATCTCCACAAATCGAGTCTGCGCTAGGCCTGGTGCCGACGGAACAGCAAAAGGAGGAGTTGGAGAGGAAGATGAATGTGAAGATTGTTAGTGTTGAGAGGGAGAAGTGAGGCTCGCCCTAAAAAGAGATGTGAATATAGAATAATGTCAGAGACATGATTGCCGCGACAATGGTTGAGGGCATTCCCTTGGACAAGGACGAGAGAATAGCAATACTCCGTCGGATTAGCGGGTATATCAGATCTTCTTGGTACAATGGTCAATGACCGGCCAAACGACACGACAGCGCCACCGAATCGAGGCGACATATCATCATGGTAAAACTCGATACCCGGGTGATGGCAGGAGTTTTTCAAATATGTTTCATTACTGTCGAGCTACAAGACCAGAGATCTATGTCACCCAGCCCACCAGAACATCGTCCATTACAGCAGCGCTTGTAACGTCCAGCTCAAATACTCTTAATGTACATGAATCTAGTGTCTACCGCCCTCTTCATCACCTGTCCGCTCTAGCAAAATATGTCAAGTGTATGACTACATCCTGGATAGACATGAAGCTCAACATCCACACCTGCCTTGGACAGCTTGCGAGCGTAGTCCATGGTATCGTAAAGGAAGGCATCCAACTGTCCGACCTCGAGGTATGCGTACCATCATAAGTCCAAAACGCAAACAGACGAATTTGCTCATCCGCAACGACATTACAATCATCCAGCATGCGCTGCCATAACATCTGCTTCGCAACGGCGGGAACTAAACTTCTTATCCCTCGCCATCAACGTCGTTTACCGGGGTTAGATGGGGGTTTCTCGGGTGCGAGGCTGTAATCTGCTGTGAGAACCGGGACTGATGTCGCGAGGACCTCGCGTATCACGGGTGGTGCTGAGAGATCGATATTCCCGAGAATCAGTCCACCTCCGTGAACGTGATAAACCGCTGGCCCTGGTGCAGGTTGTTCCTCTCCTTCCTTCTTCTTGATACATATTCATCGCAAAGGAATCTCATACCTATCCGGCGCGGTGACAGTAGAGTCCCTGATCTCAATATTTTCAAGAACAGATGGCTTAGATGCCGGCATTATAGCCACCATCTTCCAGAACTGTGCTCGCCGTGTCTCGACATCACCGGCCGGGATTCCCTCGAAGTTTAGGGGTACACCCATTTTGCTTGCGAAGCTTTTCATCATCTTCAGTCCCACACCAACATCTTTGTCGTACGAGAAGGTCATGTTTCTGTGTGACTTTGGGGATCAAGGTCTAATCCACGTGGTGGTAAGTCAAGAAAAATGCGCGAGAATTCGTGATCTGGTCGAATTGTCTTCTCTCCTGTAGTCTTGAGAAGTGACCATAGGGATTATAGACGAATTTATAAGCTTGCTAATTACCTAGCTCAAACATTGACAAATAAAGACACCCCTCACTAACTGCTTGCCCAAGTCGAGCTATTCGAACGATCTCATCAAACAAATTCAATCTCAAAATGATAGCTTTTCTGCCTTCTGATTGGCCAGAAAGCTCTATCTATGTAATTTAGTTTCCTTTGTCAGACTCCGAGCTCCTAACAACAATTTTAGGTATTTTTTCCCTAGCATAATAGGATAATTCCAGCAAAACTAGTTTCGAAGTGGTTAAGAGTCTCATGAGTTGCCCCGTTGGGAATGATTTGATGCATTTAAGAAGTGTAGTGTGTCTTGGGATTTGTGCATAGGCTTGCATAAGGGTTTGACTTTGGGTGATGCGCGTGATTAGATTAGCCCTAACTTATAGCCCTAGCCCTGATAGACATGACGTTAACTTAAGGTAGAAGAGAAGAGACAATAAGTATATCACTTTACTGTCTTCAGATTCAGCTCTTTTCTTGACTGATGATGGTAATGTCCATATACGCACGTATTACGACAGTTTGCCTGATCGGGAGAAAGAAAATGCTCATGTATTGTCACCAGTTCTGATATACTAATCTCTCGATGACGACAAAATTTTGAGATGCTTAATTAAGGATTCGATTGAGTGGAAAGAATTATCCATTTATTGCTGCTACTGCCATCTGGGTACTCAGTAAGTATAAGGATTACAATCTAGCTAGGTAAGCGTATTCTTTAGACTCGGTGTGCTATCTGGGTAGGTTCACATCTGCCGGGTTGGATTACCAGTTGACATTTAGCATATAAGCTATGACTGCGTAGCTAGGTATCTTGTGTTAATGTAGCCCTCAACCGATGTTCTTGGTTGCAGAGTATATGAACACGGAAACAGCTCGAAGGACTCCCGAAGCGATTGGAAGAGGAAGACTCATCTCGTTGAAGTGACGTAGTCAATGTCCTTAGACCTGTTAAGTTCTGAGGGAATGTGAGACTTTCCAAGAACCCACAAGGCGAGTTGCCAGATTAGAAAATAAAGTGATATGCATAGTTCAGAATTATCCTTTACCCCTGATATCGGATTGCTTCTGTCACGGCTTCTTGCATATCTTCAATATTCAGACAAGTAGCATATAAAAGAGTCCATATCCTTGTCTGAACAAACCAGCTATGTAGATAGCTTTCCTACACAGGTAAACACTCCAAGCTATCCTAGACTAGGAATCCAAGTCCACCGTCTACCTAACTAGAACCGACACAAGTAGAAATATTAGCAAGGATCCAGCCATAACATCTTCTCAGTCCCTGGCAACAGACCGACTACGATAAACTTCTTCGTACTTTAACAACCTAGTCCACCAGTGTTACCCAAATCTACCAGGGTACGCCTATCTATCTATAGATTAATACGAAGTTACATCCCGATCCAGACCAATTCAGGAAGAAACACAGACCGAAAACAACGACGTCGGCTCCATCTGCCTGAAATTACGAACACAGGACTTCCCAAATCCCAAAACACCGGGTTCTGAAGGGTGGTACACTGTGTTTATTCTGTACTACATACATATTTAAGATGGAAAACTGCTTGAATTTGGTAGTGTCAGGCCGGAATAGTCCTTGGCTAGATGAGTGCCGAGGCGTTCTATCCACCACTAACATATGTCAAAGAGGAATCATGCTAGGAGTGTTTATTATGCTCGCGATATTGGATCTGTGCGTAGTCAAGGCAGACTCAAATCTAGTTTATAGACAAGAATGCACGGGGCATTTGTCATACATGTCGTCAACGCCTCAGGACATGGGTATAACGCATGGACTCTGAAATGAGGCAATGCCTCAATTCTCAAGAAAGCCATTATCTGATAAAAAATGTTGCACATATGACAGCTAGGTCTAGATCCATATCATTGGACTATACAGGTGGCAATGCCCCAGCATGTATATTAAAGCGTAATGATGGTGGCGTATAACCAGGTAAGGTAGACACGACAACTCAATCATATCCACCACCTTACCACTATCGTGCACTGAGCGAGCCCCCATAGCCATCCATCCTAGGACTAAACACTAGTATTTGAAACTACGCTGCGTAACTGTTGTCAGAATGGGTTGCACAAGATTTCACCACCACCACCCACAAACCCAAAAAATTCTCCTCGTCGTCTGACCACGGAGCTTTGGCTTGTGTGACCCTAATCAAATGTTGTGTGCTGAATCTGGGTTTTGAGGGTGATAACGGTGTTGTTCTATTCTGGTCGTGGCAACTAGATGAGTCTATTTCCACGAGTTCACGGTTTATGGATTACTATTCTTGATTTTGAAGCGGTGAGAAGTGTTGTCTTGGTAATTTCAACTGTTGATCATAGATTTATTAGGTGAGAAGCGGCAATTCCCATTAAAGATACTACAGTCCTTGACTCTACACAATGACGGTATGCTTTCTTGCTGGACGTAGGTATTACCTAGAGGTCATCTGGAGGCTCCCAACTCCGCAGATATGTGTATTTCTCCGCCTAAAAGGCCTTGCATCTATCCGGACCCAGAAGTCTTGTACAACCGGCAATAAGTCAGCCATTATCCATGAATCTGGTACCGTCATTCCAGACTCCCTTCTTCGAGATACATGACACCCTGTAAATCTGCGAACCGGGTACCTGCCTGTATACAACTTCGTCAAAGGACACAACGTAGGGAAATACCTGAGACGGTGAATGAAGGTTAAATAAGACCGTAGAGAAACAGAGTGTTTCCGATTGATACACTGCTTAGCATTACCTCGGTTTCCCCTGGTATTACTGCCACTCTGTCATTCTAAGAACGTGGGTTTGGTATCAATCATAGAGACTTAAAGTATAGAACTCTCAGACACTCTAATTCAAAGCAGAAAAAGACTTGTTCAATTAAATACGAATCCAAGCTCGCCATCCCTCAGTCTTGCCATGGGCACCACACTAGTCCGTTTTCGGATCATTTTAGGGCTTCGTCCGTTCTGATCTCATCGCCCAGGGACTATTAGACACGTTTCCCTTGGGGAAAATAAGGACTATCTAAAGACTTTGATACTATATTCTGAAAATTTATTCGAAAAGTAAATAGAAGGGGTCATAATTCATAATTGAAGAAACCTGGTATACGCCAACAAGAAGTACCTGGTTTTTACTATCGCTTTCGAATCAAACAAGGAAAAAGAAAAAGAAAAGAAAAAACTGAGACAGACAATTTGGTTGGCATACACGCATATAATAATAGAAGACATGGGAGAGACATCACCGGCTTTGAGAGTATTTCTCTCAAAGTCTCCTTTGTCTCTGATAGGATAAATGTAGGAAGGGGAATGAAATGATAAAGTTGCAATTGAACATGTGGAAAGAGGGGAAAAGAAAAAGACAAAAGTAAAAAGTACAAGAATAGAAAGAAAAAGAAATGAGAAAGACAACTTCTTTTGCTCTGTAATCCAACAACAATCGCAGTTAGCTTGCTTTCAACTGTGCCAGAGTATGCACTTCTGTTCCCTGAGCATGCCATCTTGTAATCCTGGCCATTCCTCACAAGTAATATCAAAACACTTTTCTCAATCGCTTCATAACTCCCATTCACCATATCGCCCGACTAAACAATCAAAAAAGAAAACAAATATCCTTCTAAATGCATCATGCATACACTTCCATCAACCCTTTATCTCAAAAACAAAACAAAAAAGATTAAGCACACAAACTCTCCTGGATAGGGTCAATGAACCTCGAAAAGGACCCACCACCGGTACCACCAGCACCGCCATTTCGGCTGCACTGACTGCTATCATTCACAATCGATGCAAGTGGGCATCTGTCTGCATTGGAATGCTTCGAGTATTGCTCAGATACATCCTCTTGCTCGTCGCTATGATAGCTCGCTATCATTGGATCGAAGGCGTCGTCTAGAGTTCCAGAGTTTGAACTCAGGTCAAGACTGGGTACGTGGCTTTGAGTACTACTACTACTGCCCGAACTGCCAGAGTCTCTTCGAAAGGAGGAGTCGTCATCATTATGGTGGTGGGGATATCGACCGCCGCCATGCGGGAGACCGTCTGTGGAGTCATGGCCAGCTAGGCTATCGGGGAAGATGAACTCCAGAGAGCCATCCGAAGTCGAAACAAGGGGGCTGATTGCATCTGCCGAATGGTTGGCTTGTCCGAAGTGCTGATAACTATGTCGCGGCATATCCCGGCCATGGTTATAGTGAGAATCCCCTGGTTGAGAGCCGTCGTACAGATACTGCATTTGAGAAGAATATTGTTGATGATCAATCGACGACGGCAACATACCGCGGCTAGCATCCCCTGAACTACCTCGCCCTCCACTGTCGCCCATACTGGCAGAACTATGCCGACGCTCATCCTTGTAATGGCCAGGAGACCTTCCCCGAACCACCATGGGATCAGATACTCGTTTAGCAATCTTCTCCCAACGCGTGTGACCCTCTGGACTACTAACGCATGCATGCAGCTCCACAACCAGGTTGTAAAACTGCTGCTGAGCTCGTCGTTTCCCATTATTTGCGGTTGCTTTCTGAAACTGGATCCGCTCGAACGTATGCTGATGTGGCGGCTGTGCCGGTGCTGGATACGCTGAAAAATCCATTTGCTGCGTCATCCCATACATTGGTGAATGTGGACCAGAACCGGTCATATTCGAGCTCAAATAGTATGGTTGTGTTGGTCGAAGTATAATCTTCTCTGGCTTGCGTTCGGATTGTTTGTCTCGCTTAGGAGTGTGTTGCACCAGCTCACGAGTCTCGTTTTCCGATTGATTGACGACCGCCGAAATTGACATAGCCCAGTTGACGATCGGTTCTACACGCTGACCCTGTCCCTGGAAGTAGTAAGTACTGTTCAAAAGGGGATGTAGAGTGAATGAACATGAAACGGAAAAATAGTTTCGACGGTAACATGTCCACTTCTCGTCTGCTTGGAAAAACCCCTTGTGAATCTTGGCTTGGATGACAGGCATGACCTTTTGGTTTTCAGTCCCCACGATGGTGTTTATAGGCTGGGTATCACCGAATGGAGGAGCGTCTAGCAGTGATTGCGATGGTCGATGTGGCTGTACGTAATAATTCGCGTCCAGCTGATTGCCAACTCCATGCGGCATACTCGAGCTGTAGGAATAGCGCTGGAAATCGCTCAAAGAGGCGGATGGAGATGGATACGCATTTCTGTTCAATGCGTATCCGCCGGGGTAGGTGTCTCTGGTCATAATGGGATTACTTGAAAGCGAAGGTCCAGTCCCATGTAGCGAGCTTGGTTGGTTTACCGATGGATGTCTGCAGATGCCGACAAGTCAGATTCAGAAAATGTTCTCGAGATAGAGGGCAACAAAAAACATACAGAGTCGGTATTCTGCCTCCAGGTGAAACAAACCCGGGCATCCCTCGAGACCACGAACTCGCTTGCTGTGCATAGAGTGGTGTATGGTTTGAAACAATACTCTCCGTCGCTGTTCCATCAGTTGGACTCATAAGAAGTCTGCTTGAGCCTTGTGCAAATCTGTCGAAAGCGATAATCAGCAAAATGAAAAGGCAGACACAAACGGCCGTATCAAAATCAGGGTTGGTCTGTCCACGAGCCTTGTGGGCTTACGTGTGTTAACCCGATTGACACTGCAGTGTAACTCGGTTACACGACAGGTCCAACCTCATAGCATAAAACAAAGGCAAAGGAAGCAAGGGAACATAATCGACCCCAATGCTGATGAAGAAAGTGAAAAAAAGTGGCGACGCTGAAATATTTCATCCAGACTGGAAACAATACTTACTGGACATCCTGCACACCAGATCCTCTTGGACTATAAGACAAGCTGTTCGTGGAAGTTGTAAGGGTACTGGGATCCGATAGCCTATGTCCGATGGACCCGATACGCCGACTGTGATTTTCGTCGTCGCCCGGATTGAAAGCGGCTGAAGGTGAGAAGTATCGTTGTTGGGACCCAATACAGTCGCTGGCCGAGGACGAAGGTGGGTAGCCTAACGAGAAAGGCTGGCTGTGCAATACAGCTGCTTTGCAGTTAGCCCAAAGAAGTACACCTCAACCTGCGGTCTGCAAAGTAGAAAGAGATGGGAAGAAAGAATGAAAAAGGAGCGAAGTGGAAAATTCAATGCGCAATAAGCAGAAGAATTTTGCCTTTTATTGAAAAGCGCAAGATATTCGGATGGCGGTGATTGAAAAAAGCACACAGAATGGGAGAATATGTCGGTTATACCGGACATTTGCTAGATAAAGAAAAAGCTAAGCTAACAGTGGCCAAACGCACAAAGAGTCGTCCAGTCTGGAGTCAGCGTCAGGGTCCTCTTTGTGTGACAAGGATGTACACCGGGCCTCGCTGAAAAGACAGACAGGGGGCCAACCATGCAAGTATGGTATGTACATACATACATGCTAAGTGCAAATGCTAGGAGCGACCAAAATGACCTTCCAATCAAAATTGCGTATTTTGCTCGCCAGTTATACGCTGGTGTCGGCGTCTTAATGATCAAAGAAGAAGAAGAAGAAAAGAAAAAAAATAAGCTCACCTGTAGTAGAATGCATATGGGCGGATCTGTTGTATTTCCTTTGAAACGAAGAATTGCTTTTTGGTGATTATTTGACGTGATGACATACAGCTTGGTATCCAGACCGAGTAGGAATCAAGCGTGGGTTGAAGGAGTGAAGACTGATATTTGTCGAGGGGAGGCCTATGGTGTAGGTGAAGTAATGTTTGAAGAAGTCCAGAGTGCCCGGTGGCCCCGTGACGTGTTCGGTATTTCGTCCAATCTCGAACGCGTCCCTGAAGTATTCGACTCTGTTTGCTTCCTTCCAGAATAAGCCGTCTGTAAACAATCAGTTCTCTCCTCACATCACTCAATATCATGTCGAGATGGAAGATGAATGAGCAGATAGGGGGGCATATGAGAAGCGGAAGAACCGGTATTGCAAAGACAAAAGCACAGTCTCCGAAAGTTTTGAGCTCGATGTGAGAATCTCCACGCTGGGCGTTTCTAACAAACACCGTAGAAAAATGTACTGAAGACGCCTTCATACCATCTGGCACGCATCTGAAGGCAGCAAAGAAGCACAAGAGGAACGACACCAGAGGGTATGGTAGAAACAGGGACAACATGTTGACGATGTCCGTAAACTACTGTCTACACCTAGTCACTGATGAGGGTATCCTCACCACACTACTAGGTAGCAGAGCAGTAGTGAGAGAAGAGACAAGATTCAGCAGTAGATATGATATCGACATCCTGTTGCTCATACAAGAAGACAAGACCGACACCATAGATCTAGGTGTAAACATAATGAAGGAAGGCGTAGAGGGTAAGAAGGTAAAGACAACATCCACAAGACTCGATGATGACAAATTTACTTACCGAACTAATATCTGTAAATGAGGTTGAGGTTGAGGTTGAGCAAATGTAACGACTGTGTCTTCCACCGGAGATTTCTCGAACAAATAGTCGTACTCCGTTGGACTCAAACAGCTGATGTTCAGAGGTTTTCACGATGTTACGTCTGTTTCACAAAAACAGAAGAAGAGGGAAAAAGAAAAGGGTTCGAGGTAGACGGGAAAAGTTATAAATCGGGTTATTGTGGGAGCATTTGTTGTCAGCAATAGCTGAATTCGTCCGTAACGTAGGCAAATAAGAATAAAGAAGGGGAAGAGAGATAGGGTATCACCAAAGATACAAGAGGTTCACAATCGGGAATTTTTGAGAGAGGAAGAATTAAAGGGGAGACAAAAAAGATCGAGTCGATGGCGAAAGAAAATATTTAATTCCCGAACAGAAAAGAAGATGATTTGAGTAAAGAAGGAGAAGGGAGGTGGGATTTTGAGGCCCTGATATCTGTTTCACCTAATACTGGTGGTTAAAAGCCTAGCTCTTTTTGTCTCTTGTTAGTCTGCCTCTTCTTGAGTCTCTCGTTCCGTCAAGCCCATGTCCTTGAGCGAAGCATGCTGATTGACCGTGACTTCTAGTCCAACCCTACGGAGAGCTACCCAGGACCATTGCCAAAGCATTTTCTGCATGTCAGAAGAGCTAATCCCAAGGCGTATACATTTCGGCGCACGCACCACCATCAATTTACATCAACAGACAGGCTATGGGTATAGAAAACGAGGACCAATCATACTGTTTGGCCATCACGGACCTAGGATGAGCTTTCCCGCATACTATATCATCATATCATCTGTCGGGAAAGAGAGAGTAAGGCAGCCTCCCAGTCCAAACCTGTGAAGACCCGCCGAAATTAACTCAAGAGGGAAATGTCGTAGACATTCGAGAATCCGGCTGTAACAATAACATGTCCCCGCTCTGGCCAAGGAGAAGACCGTATCATTCAACGGCTGGACTGCAGTTACCCATCCGTGAATCGGACAGTCACGTACGTATAGTAGCATTCCGTACTAGACTATAGCTGGCCTGCTGCAGGAACATGGCGTACTCAGAATCGATCTAGCCTGTCCAATAGGGTACCGGAACTGCGGGAAAATTACAGCGCGGCGATTCAGAGCTATTTGTAATTTAATCATGTTCATGTACGAGAACACGACCAGTGGGAGTAATCAATCACAGCGAGTCTTGCTATTTTCCATAACCACACTAGAGCAGTCACCCGAAAAATAGACCCCAGTTATGTCGTCGCGTGATCTGAGGACTGCCGACTCTGCAAGTCGCACGCACTCGGTGGTAGCCTGGCAAAACGTCTGAACCAGAAATTGAATGAATAAGGTACGGTATTCTTGAGTGGCTAGACGGTCGGCTTGTATGGAAATGGAAAACGGCCAGATTTCCCTAATCAGGAGCCATACTTGGCACTCGGATCTCCAGTGAATCTCAGCGACTGGGAAGATCATCGGTAGACCGGCGCCGATGGAGGCCTGTCTATTCCGGGGTGAAGGTCGGCCACTTGGCAGTATATACCAGAATAGGCAAGTATACATATCTGGTGGCGCCTCTTTTCACCGATTACGCAAAAGCCCGTTTTATTACAGGATCTTCGCGGAGACGGCTACCGATGACTAACCACTTTGTCATTTGACAGTGGTGCGTATATGTAAACCAGATTGATAAGATTCTATGCTTAATAGAGCAATTAAGCCCAGCCTTATGAGGTCTGTATCGAATATCGCCCAGCACAGGTAAATTCTGATCTTTGTTTCGAAAAACTCCCGTAACGCGGATCCGGACAGTGTTTTGCTCGTGATTCGTGGCTCGACAATGTATCTCTCAACTCATCAGCTATAACCGGCTCGAGATTATGACAAAGCTTTGTACGGTAACTTGGCCGGCTAGTACTTGTCTAAGGGTGGGTCTTCTGGGGGTCGTCCCAAGTATCCAGGACAGCATACGGAGTAGCTTGTGCAGAGCAGGCCTTAGATGCAGCTCGTGCAAATCAGTGGGCACCAGACAGTGAATCCGGTGCGGCTACCAGTCGGAAAGGGCCAGAAATGTCATGTAACTCGTAAGCGCGGAGTTTCGATCATTCACGAGGCTTGCAATAACCCCATCCAATCGAATCATGATCGGACTTGCATACGAAGCCGGACTTTGTTCATGAGGTGACGGCCGACGGCTTGGATCGCTGTGAATAAAAATGATATTATGCACACATCGAAAACTGTGATGGCACCAGATAAGAGTCGCTAGTGGCAGTAGGGTCCAGCGTGTGCGGTTAGATGGGTCCGGTGAGCAGGAAGCGGAGACGTAAATCGAACCAATCCGGAAGAAAGTGTATACGTACGCACCATTGCAATGCTTGAATGCGGGTTCCATGTTTTAGCACTGAGACTATTGAGCTAGAAGGCTGATGATGGGATCAATGTGATCGGGCTAGGCTGGTCGGTGGGGTGTCATTAGCCTAGACAGGGTCTCAGTCATGGAACCTTAGTTACCGACTAGGAACCGTAGTCCGTCCTTCAGAAGTTCAAGGTACAGGTAGTTCGTACACACAGGTGTAAAGAATTGATAAGAGTGAGAGTGCATGGTTGTGGAAAGAAGTGGTTGTAGTAGAGTCGGCGACAAAATAGAGTAGAGTGTGTATGAGGAAGGAGCGACGGTAAGTTCCTTACTAGTACTTACTTGCCTGTCAGTCACAAACCTAAATTGGCACCTTCCTTCCCGCTGCATAGTTAAATAGTGATTACCAAATTGGCGGTTCAATACGTTCATCCAGTATATACATAGTACAGTATTGACATACGTATGGAAGTTACAATGT